GCAAAATGTCGTGGCATCCAAGCAAGCCAAATGCGGTCAAATATGCTGCGAAGTTTGACCATCAGTTCGCCAAAGGGGACCAACTCTAGCTGGGCAGTTGGATAGGTATTCATAGTTACGAGTATTGGCTAGTAAGGCTAGTCATAACATAATGTTGGTTCCTGATTAGTGTGTGCCCCCCCTAAACTATTTCTGGACTCTCTTTAAAGTAGAAAGTCAAAAATTTTCTTCCCAAAAGAAAAACATATCCTCAATTAAGTAAGGATTTCAATTGGCTACAATTGAAATCTAATTACTATTGTTTTTTTTGCCGATGAAGTTGTGGTATTTGTAGTACTTGTAGTACTTGTAGTACTTGTAGTACTTGTAGTACATGTAGTACTTGTAGTACTTGTAGTACTTGTAGCTTGTAGTACAGTACTTGTAGTACTTGTAGTACTTGTAGTACTTGTAGTACTTGTAGTACCTTGCACTAAAGTGAAATGGTGCCTCTACTGGTCCAGGGTCTTGGAAAATTGTGGGAAAGCTGTTCTTTAATAAGGGTTTAATAAGGGATTGGTTCTTTTGGGAAAGGCTTGCAGTTTGAATTTGGCAATTTTGGAAATGGCTTGCTTCCCTTCTTCAGGGGCTGCTCTGGCACAGCTTGCTGCAATAGTGAACCCAGCAAACAAACCTACTAAAGTGAAATGGGGCCTCTACTGGTCCAGGGCCTTGGAAAATTGTGGGAAAGCTGTTCTTTAATAAGGGTTTAATAAGGGATTGTTCTTTTGGGAAAGGCTTGCAGTTTGAATTTGGCAATTTTGGAAATGGCTTGCTTCCCTTCTTCAGGGGCTGCTCTGGCACAGCTTGCTGCAATAGTGAACCCAGCAAACAAACCTACTAAAGTGAAATGGTGCCTCTACTGGTCCAGGGCCTTGGAAAATTGTGGGAAAGCTGTTCTTTAATAAGGGTTTAATAAGGGATTGGTTCTTTTGGGAAAGGCTTGCAGTTTGAATTTGGCAATTTTGGAAATGGCTTGCTTCCCTTCTTCAGGGGCTGCTCTGGCACAGCTTGCTGCAATAGTGAACCCAGCAAACAAACCTACTAAAGTGAAATGGGGCCTCTACTGGTCCAGGGCCTTGGAAAATTGTGGGAAAGCTGTTCTTTAATAAGGGTTTAATAAGGGATTGGTTCTTTTGGGAAAGGCTTGCAGTTTGAATTTGGCAATTTTGGAAATGGCTTGCTTCCCTTCTTCAGGGGCTGCTCTGGCACAGCTTGCTGCAATAGTGAACCCAGCAAACAAACCTACTCAATTAGAGATGCATTTACAGGCTCAGATAGGAGATGAGCAAAAAATTGACTGAGCTACAGCGTTTTTGAAAAAAAAAAGCCTCTCAGCAATTACAGTTTTTTTTTCAAAAAAAAGGGCTCTCCCAATTTTGTTTTGCCACAAAAGCGAACCCTCCAAACAATACATGAGTTTCAGAATAATTTGGAAAAAATTGCCACAATAGCGACCCTAGGTACTAATCAGGACCCAACATTAGTAATAACTAATAACTAATAAACCCGAATTGGAGTCCCACACCCTTCTTCTTGGACAGTTTGCAACAAGATAGCTTCAAAAAAAGATCAAGGGCCAGGTCCGTCAAAAAATGGATTGACTTTTTGGGCATTGCAACAGGACATTTATCAGAACGTGATTATAGAATCTTGGACACCATGCAAACAATGTGTTTTTTGGCTGGTCACGTGACCATACCTGCAATAATATCAGAACAATGTCATCAGCACTAACCTGCCAACCCCCATGTTCTTGGTGAAACCTCCTGTGTTTCTTGTTTACGCATCGTTATTTTAACATGTTTTTGCTTTTCTGATCTTTGTGGGGGTTGCTAACAAAAAGTCTATTCAAATGGTAGAATCAGCCCAGTTTTCTGATGGGGAACCTGTGAATCTGCGCCTTCTGTGTCTTTTCCACCTTGCCTTGCTCCACATCTCCTGCGACTGCTGTCGTGTCAGCAATCAACTGGTAAACATAGACAAACCGTGACAAACCTGTCAAGCTGAATGTCATGTAAGGAGTATACGGGGGTTCCAAAAATGATACCCAAAAATGAAAACCATGATTTGGAGGTACCACCATTTCAGGAAACCTCCATATATACATTGCAATTCAGTTTTTTAAAAACAAATCTTGAAATGTACCAGAATATCCAACAAACATGGGCATGTTATCCACCAACTGAAATAGCACACTTTGGACACTCTGCATTGAAGGATATGTTTGGTGGGGTATCACTCCATGTGTGGCCAAACATAAAGCCATTGACCAAACAGACTAAAGATTGCCATGTGTGCCCAAATAATGTCAAAATCTACATTGCCTGTGCTTGCCCAAGTTTTACCAGTATCCTTCTCTCTTGATGACTTTCAGGAATCCCAAATCGATTGAACCCTTCATATCAGACAATGTGGATATCCATTGGTGTCATTTCATGCCATTCCATGCCATTCCATGCCATTTCATGCCATTTCATGCCATTTCATGCTGTTTGGTGCAATTTCATGCCATTTCATGCTACTTGGTGGCTCATCCCACTTAGGTTATAAATAACCCTTTTCAATGGACAAACCCTACGTAGCCATACTTATCCCACAAACAAAACCAGGGATACAACCAGGATTTGTGGGTAGTTCACCACCAAGTACCGTGGCTGATATTCTGAAACCGAGTTAGTGGGGGACCGCACATCTGCTGCCTCCATGTCTCTGCTATCCTGATTTCATCTTCGAATTCGAGGTCCCCAAGTATTATATATATATATACATACATATATATATATATAGAGATTATATATAATTAAATTATATATACTTATACGAACACCTGCTATGAAAAAAAACTAAGAGCCGCCGATCCACCGCGTCTTTCGAACACAACTTATCACTTTCAACAAAGCATCTCCGCAGGATACCCGGACCAGCTACATCTGCGACACCTTTGGCACCCTTTGCAATGCCGCTATAGTAACTTTGTGAAAGGACTCCACCATGTGACGGTGTGACAAAAAACTATGTTGTTGTGTAAGTTCTGCTTATATTATATTATATATATAATTATATTATATTATAACTTATATATAGTAAGTTCGCATCACGTCATACATTTTCAATCATTTTCATGTGGCATTTTTCAAAAAAATCGTGTAGGACCTGACAATGATTTTTGTGAACATGGGGGCGGGGCACCACAGAGAAAGCACCATGATTTCCTGTTGCCTGATGCGGATCTTGTCAGTCGGACCTGAGAATCCCCATAATCCCATACGGTTGAACATCGAAACCACTAACCAAATTTCTATATGAATTAAAGTTATATGAACCACTGTTGGTACCTGCTGGGCCTGCGGTGCATGTTGGTCAAATACTTATGGTAAACATACTCCTGGTAACCCAGCCGATGGTTACCTCATGAAATATACCCTCAATGGGTAGCTCTGGAGTATCCCATTTCAGGACTTCCTTCTCTGGGGATGAATTACCTTCATCAGGGCGCCGGTCTTCTGACCCAGCCCATCAACTTCCCATATTATCAGCATTAAAAATCCTGGGATCCAGTGAGCAATCATCATGCTTCCCTTTGGATCCATTTGGCGGTTTTCCTGTGGGGTTTATCTATGCCTATGCTAACTGCTTGGGAAGGTCAGAGGAAAGGTCATGGCAGGTGGGGGTCCCCAGAGAGTATGAAATGTTGCCTACTGTACAAATGCCAATGTTAAACTGTACCCCTCCATAACTGAAGGAAGTGCTCCCAATATTCTCCTGAATAGACATATACATACTTCCAATATGGACAGTGAGAATTTCAATTGCATCTGCATAGCTATCCCTTGTCGCATGATCACCCCGCCCCCCAAACATTTGTGTACCCCAGGAAATTCTCCCGACCCTGTGACTCTGGTGGCATCACTCCTTGCACCATCATCTGCGGTGGCAGTACATTCGCAGGTGCTGCACCCAGCGCTTGCTGCTGCGCCCAATACCTTCAGACATGAATGGCTCTGAGTGGTTCGTTTGCTGGTTTCATGCCACTTAGAAAATACCAGTGTATACGTACAGTATCTGTGAATCACTATGAATAATAAGTACTATATATATATATATACGAATCATGATAGATCACTGTGGGATCATTCTGGTCAACTATACTTTAAGCCAGTGATCGCTTTTCCTATTATCTACAGCAAATATTGATCACGGTCATCCGCGTGGAGGTAAAGACAGTGCTTGGAATGCACGAGGGTTGATCTCTTCGACAAGTAGGCTGAGTGACTAGTATGGCTACATTAGACCTCAAAATCAACTTGAAACCTAGTACTTGTAGCGTAGCCGGTGTTTTGTTCAGTTGAATGCCGTCATCTCGAGTTTCCATTGGTTTCAGGATATGATTTCAGCATGTGAAGTCACATGAAGTCATGTTCCCCTTCCTGTCCATCAAATAATCACCCAAAAACCCTGCAGCCCTTCACCCTTTCCCGAGTTTTCAGAGAAGTCGCTGCTGCGCCAAAAGCCTTGGGCTTTTGGACCACCAAATGATCAATCATAACTGGGTCCATGTTTAACCCTCAACTCTAGGATGTGAATCTTTAGTTTCTATACATGTTAGGTATTTGGCTACAGATTTTCCCACTTCCATAGATCCAGAATATGGGAAATTTGGTCACTGTTGCACTTCGTTGGATCACGCGCTCTATTTGAAACAGGAAAACATCATGAGCTTCTTTCGTGTCCTGCAGGTGGAACATGAAGGAACTCATCGCAGTTTTACAGATATTTGATGATGTAATTATGGAACTGGTTTCCTTGCGAGGACGCCTACAATCCAAGATTATCTACATATGCATGTACAATATGATATAAATCATATCGAATATACATTGTGTGTACAATATGATATAAAAAGAATTCAAAAAACTAGTGCATGAATCATACGGTCCAGTGAAACAGCCGAAAAAATCTGTTCCATATGAGGACACCGCGGCGCCAGGTCATGGCGCTACTACCCTAGGGAATCAAACATGGCTGACACGGCTGGGAAATCCCTGAACTGCGTCAAACCAGGAGACGTCAAACCTCCAGGGATCCACATGGGAATGAACATCTGAAAAAATATGGCAGTGGGTCAAAACCTTGTACCCCTGGTGAACATCAAAATAGCTGGTAAATGGATGTTCAACCCCCTAAAAATGGTATTAATAGGTATTGATCCATACCCATATCATAACAGTCATAGCATATAAAATCATCAATGATGCGGATCCAAACTGTTCCTGGTATCCCATTTGGTGTGGTTTCCAGAAATGAACCCCCAATAGCTGGATGGTTTATGGACCATGGAAACCCCGAAATGGATGATGACTAGGGGTACCCCCATTGTAGGAACCTCTCATTTATTGAATCCCCATGAAAAAAATCATCGCAGGATCCAAACTTCGCGAACCCTTCGCCATCGCAGCTGAGTCGCTGCTGTTGCTTCTGCCGTTCCTGGCGCCCAAGGATGCCCACGAATCCCATGGTCATCTGGGAATATCTATGGTAAATATTACATTAACAATCATAAAATGATATAATATATATATATGTAGTATGTTCATGTTCTATCATTTTCTCTAATAGAGTTCTGGATACCATCATATTTGGATACCCTATTGTTTTAGTCCTTTCTATTCGAATCCCCATTTTTGGGCTATGCCACATGTTGAGAGAAAACCAAATGCTACACCATTTCTATGGGTCTATCTCAAAACGGGGCACCCCAAGTTTTTAACTCAAGTAGGAACATCTCATTTAATGGTTTATCCACAAGTTGAGTATCCACAAATAAATCATGATATACAAATCCCTATGTCGGGGTATCCACATTTTTTTGACAAACTCAAGATACTCAAGTAGGTCTAGAATTCTAGAACAGACAAACATCAGGATTCAATGGGGACCCCAAGCAACGAACTCGGCTTTCACTCGAAACTTTCCATGAATAGAATCCCTCCTCATCCCCCGTTCTTGTTGGTAAACCAGTGAATCTCGGATATTCTTCATGAAAACCCACATGTTTCGTGGTTGAATAGGGTTAAATCTTATTTTTTTCCATATGTTTCCATGGTTAAACCATGGTTCAACGCTATAACCCCCGTGGGCCTGTCGTTTCTTCTCGGCCAGCTCGGCGCGTGTGGGCAAGCCTAGGGCCTGGCGGGATGGCGTAAATCATATGATTGGTATAATGAACAGATCTTCAATGGATTGGTTTAAGGGAAAATCTACAGGAAACCATGGTTTTTTACCATCAAATATAAGGGTTTCCTGTAAAATGTCCCATCATCCAATTCTATGAGATCTATGGTATATAAATGATAACCAATCATTGTAACTGGTTGGTAGTTTTAACCATCTGGAAAAATATTAGTCAATGGAACGGATTATCCCATATATTATGGAAAAAATGTTCCAAACCACAAACCAAATAACCAATCATTGTATGATGGCGTAAATCTATATCTTATAATTATGATTGGTATAAATAATAAATGATAACCATATATAGACATATACAAAGATTGCGTATATTTATATGGTATCAAAATCATAATCATAAGATATTGTTTCATAGATCGGATACAGCCTGATACAGCAATATAACCATATCCATTTCTGATATATATATATATACGTATATGATATATGTATACAAATAGGTCATATACAGCTACCACACATAATAATTATACATGATATATGCATACTGTAGGTAATTCAAATAAAATATGTTCATGTACACTATAAATTTGTACAACTGTGTCTACATGCGCTCCAAATTATCAACATGAATATGCCAACGTGGAACCAGCGATAGACTATTGCGGCTATGGGTGATGCTCACCAGGATCCAACCATCCGGTGGCTGATACTTGGTGCTTGGTTCCACACATCACAAGAGGGGTATATGCACAATCTATCTATTTATGGTAGATTTAACTAAAGTTGATGGGGGGCATAAACCAACTTTTGACTGAGGGGTACCATCTTGTAGGTTTGGTCCACTTATATTCTGTTGTAAGGCCTGGCTCAGATCTGAGCTATTGCCATTGATGCATCCCAACATAGGTGCACAAAACGGAAATTTTGGATATAATATATTATACGCGGTTATTATAATATATATAATACATACATATAAAATGGTTGTGATCATGTCAATATATAATACATATATATATATATACATATTAAACGATTATAGATTATTCTACACATATTCTATATATTCATTGTGGGGCACTCCACATAAATCATATTATGCATGATTACATATTAATTATGGGCTACCCTATCTTCATAGACTTCTTAAACCCAAACAACTGCTCCCGCCTTGTTTGCCACATCCATTAAATCAAGTACTCGATCCTGACCTGGAAAGCTGGCCGGCACCAAAAGTGTCATTTCAAAGGAACATTCTTTGAGCAGAAACCTCTGACAATTACCACAGAACTTTTACCACATGACTTTGGCAATGCATTTATTTGGAAAGCTTTTGGCTTCTCGCTTTTCACGTGGGTACCAAAAAGGACAACCAACTGACCGGCTGTGACCGGCACCTGAAACCGGCTGACCACCTTATATATAATTGCCCATATTTAATGCTCCTATAAATAAGACACACTATATACAACTAGGCAATCAGGGGTTCCAGCTTGTATGACACCTGTTGATCCTCAGTTCTACCAAGTCCACAGCTGCCAACATTTCCACAACAAGTCATATATCTAAGCAGGCACCTTTGGTCATGTCTGGTATCACATGTTCTTTTCTATTGAACATCTTGAACCACTCATTTTTGATCCATATCTACCTTAACCTTAAGGGTGTAAAGCGCAACCAATCTGATTCTAAAACACTGCAAAAAGCGATGGGCAATCAAATCTCTGAATTAGAACTCACCAACCTGAAATGTTGGGAGATGTTGGGGTGGTTCAAAAGTGTCCCTCTGGTACCCAGCTCTGGTGATGGTGACTTCGTAATCTGAGGATTTGGGCCATCGAAATGCTCTGCGGCCTTAAAGGCTTCAAAGACCTGCGACATGAAGAGTTGGGACTGAATTTCCACCAGAAATCTGGAAAATTCGCCAGCAAAAATGCTGGTTTTAACCGGTTTAACCTGCAAATATACATTTTTTTGAGAGCGATTGGTATATTTCATCCATCAGTATGTTGACTATCACTATGGAGCTCAAATTATAGCTAAGCGCTTCAATGCTGTCCTTGTACTTGGTACGTAGCCCAGAACACCATCAGTTGAGCCCACTGGTACAGGCTTTCATCCATGGTCTTCCAGGATCCTAGGTATTGATGATGTGGTCACTGACCGACGTGGATGTACATCAAGGTGCTCAATTGAATAAGGACGTTAACACATCGTTGTTTTGTTAACGAACTTTAAGGAGCAAGCAGGAGTTATCAAGTGAAAATAATCATTAGCCAAAAACAAACCATGGTGAATATTAAAGTCCGTTTTTGTTGTTAGTGGGTTCCATCCCTTCATTTCAGTGGGACAAGAGGGGTTAATCCACACAAAAACTAGGATAACATGACCTATAACTACTAAGTGTGATGGGAGTGCAGTACAGCACACTCTTCAAACTGAAGTTGAATCTCTGATTTTGTTGGTTGACTCTCTAAAGTTTCAGCTTAATATCATATATGTGCTGATTTTGAAACCACCATTCATGGCATTTCATGGTTAAACATAGTAATTGTCAATACGGAAAACCACGGTGAAACCCACCATTCTCATCCATTATCCATATGGTACTTCATGGTATTTCATGGTGACGCGTTCCATTTCGACATGTTTTCGTTTGGTCCAAATCCTAGCAGAAAAACCGGGCACCTCTTCGAGGTCTTCTTTCGCCTGCTCGGCTCGACCCAAACCCACCTGACAGGCAGAGCTGGCGGCTGGGAAAATAAAACTCACTGAAGCCAGTGGTTTGTCGTTCACCCCAGCTCTGGCGAAATCACAGCAGAATGAAATAATGCAATTTTGGAGTGGTACCCACATTGCAAACCTTCGTGGGGTGTGGCCAGTGACATCGCGGAGTTTCTGCAAACTCATTGTTTGACAGGGTTCCGCCACAAACCCAGATACCTTCGATGTGGTGCGAGTTCCAAGTCACTATGAATACAACATAATACAACCACACACCCTAGTATTCATAGTGATACCATTCAGATAGTCAAGTAGCTTAATGAACTATATATAATAAGTTACTTGACTATCTGAATTCCATGAAGTTCATCCCTTCAGTTCACCCAATGAAAATCACCAGCCCCAGCCGCGCACCTCTGCCTCAGCGAGCTTCAGCTGCGCTTTGGCCGCCAATAGGTCCTCGATAGCGTGGAAGATTCACCAGCAAAAATAATGGGAAAGAAACAATGAGAATAGGGAACAGGGACACTGACTGAAACAAGCACGAAATTGGGAATGTCATGGCATAGTTCACAAAACAATGAGATATTGAAACAGAAAAATCATGGCATAACTACCCAACAATTCATCGGAATATATTGGAGAAGAAACCATGAGAATCCAGTGGAAATTGAATGACATTAATGGTATCCCATGCTTATGCATGCGTTACCTTTAAAACTATAAGGTGGTTTGATGCTAAAGGGAATATATCAACATATCATCTAACATGGGACATTAAGACCATTATTCGCATGAAACAAATGTGAAAGTACCTAGACCGTTCGAGAAATTCCAAAGAACCTGGGTAAAAGCCCAAAATCATAGTGGGTATATTATGAAATATTACCCTGAGGTACTTGGAGAGTCTAAGCAACCGAAAGTGATTTGTGGGACTATCATCTTGAGATAAATTTTTAAGGATTGTAAACAAACATCATCTAAATGTTAGAAATCACCAAGTACTAGGGGTGAACTATATAACTATGGTATACTATGGTTACTATATAACATTATATAACCACTTACGCTCCGTGGGATGATCCTCCAGGACTCCAGGTTTGTTGAATCACCAAGGCTCTTGACCGGCCTTGCCGTACAACCGTTTTGCATCCTGGTGGCACGGGGAGAAACATGATCGAAACAGGATCCCTTCACCAAACAACTGCCGCAAACGGATATTCACCAAACCTTAACCATACATTCACTGGTTCCATGATGCTATGTTCCACCACAAGACTGTGATTCAAGTCTTGGGTATTTATTCATGGCGGTAGTCAGAAAAGATCGGATAAATTCCAATGAATCCAACCTACTTAAAGCATCTTAAAACGAAAAGGTGCTACCAGTACCATCAAAAACAGGTGGCATACGCCTGAACCTCTGCCGGGAAGTAAAACCTTGGCCGGGAGATGCTTCCTCCCACGCAATCGTTGTGTGTCTGTGAAACGTTTGCTTGGAGGCCCTCCAAGTCTCTGGGTCCACGTAGCAGCCAATCAAAGGCGCAATCGGCGCCAAGAGTGCTATGTTTTGGAAGCCTGTCCCGAATTGGAGGCACTCTCTGCGTGCGTCCATTTGGTCGATTGACATCTCGGCATTGGTTTCGATTGAGGCAAGGTCTTTGGCTGCATCTTGCTTCACCTTTGTGATCCTCTTACAACAGGTTCTTTGCGAACGTGGCGGCTGGTCGACCGAGTTCCTGTGAAGCCCCATGCCTTGTTTCTGAAGCAGTCTTATATCAAGCAATGATTGAACTTCAACGTCTGACGGAAAATCATCACCCACAAGTTGTTGCATAACCATCACTATGTTCCCCAGTTGAATTTCTTGGTGAAATCCCCATGTTCCATCATTTTCCATCTTAAAGCGGCTGAGCTATCTATGGTTTATGGGATAGATCACTTGGCTATAGATAACTATAAACCAACTATAGTTATGTTGATATATGGTACTACAATCACCATTTATGTTAGATAACTATAGTTTTCATGGATGATAATGGTTAATGGGGTTTATGGATATAAATAATTGTAAACAAGTAATAACTAACTATCCGTATGGTTATCAATTCTATGGTTATGGTAAAATATGGTATACTTACATAACTATGGAAAATCACCATGTTTAATAGGTAAATCACACATTTCTATGGCAATGTTCAATAGTTTTGTGTATGTCTACCAGAAGATAATGGGCTTTATAAACCAACATTATGGTTAATTAATGGGTATAACACTATTATGATATTATAGGTATATAACTGTTATTCAAACATTAATGTATATAGGTATATAACTACTAGTATTAATATAGATAAATATTATAGATAATCACAAACATTAATGTTGGTTTTATAAAGCCCATAATAACCATAGTTATACCAACTATTTATAGATAACTATTATTCATGACTACTGGTATTAATAGATAAACCACATTATAGTTAACTATAGATTTATAAAACACATAGTTATCTATATAACCATTATTAAAGATTTATAAAACACTATTATAACCATAGTTATACCAACTATCTATCTATATATATATATAACTATTATAGATAACTATGGTTTTATAAACCAACATTCACTAATCACATCTCGACACCGAGACACCCCCCGTGGGCCCCGCCTTCGCCGAGGCCATGGCGCTATGAAAGGCCTCAGTCCGCAGCAGGCCGTCGCTTAAGGTGCTCAGGGCCTGGCAGATTCAGCTGGGGTTGAACTGGTTGAACTACCCTCTGGTAAACTAACATAGGAAAACCATAGGAAAATGGTGGTTTAATGGGATTTAATGGGATTTAATGGGATATAACCTCTGGTAAACTAACATAACTATGGAAAGATCCACCATTTTTAATGGGAAAACCCACTATTTTATTTCTATGGCCATGTTCAATAGCTATGTAACAAATTACCAGAGGGTAGCAACACAAGGGACTTATCGGGAATAATAGCCTCAGTATATGGGATAAACTAGTATAATTATCATTATTTATCCCAGTTATATCACTTATTGAAAGCAACTTATTGAACTAGCAATATCTAATAGTATAATTATCCCAGTTATAGGGATTTATAGTGATTTCGAAGGATAAAGTTGAACTATAACTGCGGTAATCTGGGATATCTACATCTGGCCAAATTATAAAATGGATTAAAATGGTAAAATGAATCTCAATCTCGATATTCTATATAAGAAAATGACACATTCAAACCAATCCCCAACCAGTTAAACCAGGAGAACTCATATTCATGGGAATATGGTTGGCTGGGTATATTTGATTTAAACCCCAAATAGCATGCTCTGACCTGGGGATAATTGAGGAGAAATTTCATTGTAAACAATGATAATATGGGATAATCATGGATAATATGGGGATATATCCAACCAATAGAAAAAAACACGGATCTGGATCAATTTCACGAATTCACCAGCCCGAAAAGTTTGGCAAGTTTGCGATCGCCACCCCAATCCAATTCCTCAAATTCTACTGATGTCGCGACACCTGAGGTCCATTCGAACATGGGAAAATATACTGATTACGATTGGAAACGCAACAGAATAAAATAAGGATAATTATCTAATAATGGAAAATCTATCAAAACCACAAACAAGCTTTTGGAGTCCTATGGATCCAAATATTTTGCTGAGACCGTACTTGACCCTAGAAATCATGCCCCAAGTACTCCCTGAGAGGGTACTTGGATCCATAGGGAAGGATGATGGAGATTATCATTCATCTACATGACTGAAGATGGATGAAGCATGGAGAAAAGGGATTGTAAGACATGCGGATGATAGGCAGTTCATATTCCTATCTTTCGGCATAACCGGATTTGGGGCCAGCTCACGAGTGAGCTCCGACCACGAAACGTTACATTTTGGTCTAAAGGGCCAGGGACCACAGAAGATGCAGATGAACTGGACATTTTGAGTAACGTAAGTACTAAACAATCCAATTTTTAGGGTAGCCAATTCTATCCTTACCCATTTCCACATTATGTGCAAATTAACTCACACTATGTAGTGATATAAAGATGGTGAACAATTGAAAGACGTATATATGTTACCGTCAACAGTCTTGAATCACTTTTGTTCGATCTATTAGCACTAGGGGAAACAGAACATCCCCCTATAGAATCCAATAGATATATGATATATATATATATATATACATTATAGAATATACATATGTAAGTATGTATAATAAATACTTCAATCTTCCACAGTTTGAACATTTATGTCACCCCAGCTCGTGATGGTTCCTGAGATCACAAATCATGTGCAGCAACTGATTTCTGACCTCCCTAAGATTTCTGGATTGGGGGCCTGAGGAACACTTACTATCCACGGCTAGGCTCTCATAACTTCTCAATGAATACATCGGCTGATTCTCCGTTGCGGAAGCCATTCGTTGTTTTGGGATTTTTGGGAACGGGGGAAACGACCAGTCCCACTTCAGCAGGTTTCACACATTTTCTCACCACACGATCCTGGCAGACCAAACGAAAACATCTTGTTACGCCAACATGTCCCTTCACGTGTGTCCGTGTGAGTGTTTACAGCAGTGACAAACAACATCAAACAACCACAAAGAATGAATTGGGCCTGTGCAACTGCAATTTCTGCGACGAAGACCTTCTTTCATCATTCAGATGTCACACGGAAATGAATCACCTACCCCTGCGCAGTCATTACGATACCAGAAAGCGGTTGAAAAGGATGGTCCCCACGAACAAAAGAAACCTGAACACCAGTGTGAAGCATTTCGGCTTGCGTTCCCCTTGCTGATTCCACTTGAAATTGGGCTCAATGCGTGCGCAGCTTTTGGCACCTATTTCTCCTGACAAAATGCCCAAACCGCACTCAGAACCTGTCGCTTAGTCTTCCCATGCAAGATCTCCTCCCTTTCTAGCTGTTCCATGCTGTTCCTTCTCACTCAATGGCCACTTGAACCCCAATTGAGTTGCCACCTCACGAAGCCACTCTTTGGCGCCTTTCTGCCACACCAAGGAGTTGATCCCCCTGCAGTGTCCCCCCAGCTCCAAAACCTCACTGTGCATCGTGTATCGAGGTGACTCGTGAGACCACTCATGGTATCCCGCCGGTGGTGGTATACCTTCTGGACAGAAAGAGACCTGGGGCCAACATCCAAAGTGGGTATGATTGAGAGTACGATATCGAATAGGCGATGGAGGGGATGTTATCATACCGATCCTATCCCACTTATATTGTGTTTGATGTTGACCCATAGTAGCCATGGCCATGTTGGCTCAATAATCTGGCGCTTTAAAGCTACATCTCCTTTTAGCCAGTGTTGATTTCATAGGTTTGCAGGCTAAATCCGGAAATATATTCTTAAATGTGGTCTTGAATCATCTTAAACCTCTGTGCCAGGTTTTATTTTTTGACGGTTCCCCATCTATTACGACACGCGATCATCTCCATCGTCCCAGACCTGTGCCAGCAGCGTGCGATGGAAGGGCCGCCAGCGTGTCACGCGATCAGCAGCCAGCTGCGTGACCTCCGCGATGGATCAATGGGGGATATCATGGGGATTTTTACCCTCTGGTAAACTAACGTCACTATGGAAAATCACAATTTTTAAGAGGTAAATCCACTATTTCTATGGCAATTCTCAATAGCAAACTGTTAGTTTACCGGAGAGTAATGGGGATATAAGCATCAAACCCATCAACATCCCGGCGGATCTCTCCCCTTCCCACAAGTTAATAAAAATCACGTTTTCGTGATATCGATATGGTCGTTTTTTGGTTGAAAAATGCAGGATATATTTTTTTTTAATGTTTTTTTTGGGTTTGACAACCCTTACAGCGTTTCTATCTTCAAAATGCGCCGATCTGCAAGAGGCAATTTTGGCTCTCCTCGTCTCAGCTCATCGATGATGTATGAACATGTACATGAAAGTTAATACCCCACCCCACCCCACCCCACTCACCCCCAACGTACCCCTGACGTATCGTCTAAGAAAAATGACAGGTGATGTTAACGTGGATGATGTGTGAACATGTACATGAACATGAAAACCCCACCCCACCCCACCCCGAACCCAACTTTTGTGGGACGGCAAAAGATCCGTCTGCATCAACATGAATCTGGATAAACTCTGAGTCATCTTCAGTTGCCTGTCAACTAGGCAAACAAAAAACATGGTGGGTAAAAGCAGTCTGGTGACCTATCTCAGAGGGAACTGGAATCTCCCACTCCCGCTTCTTGGGATGCAGTTCCACCGCGGTTGCGTCGGTAGACAGCCACAATCATAGGGGCTGCTCCCAACTTACATTGCCAATCTTAGATACCCTGCAAAAAACTAGGTTTTTTGCTGGTTAGTAGATAATCCCATTGATACCAAAAGACTAAAGGATTAAAGTATCCATGTAAGATTGACCTAGCAGGGATTCTTTCACCGTGGCTATACCCAATCTTAATCACTCCAATTGCACCTCCGAGTACCTTTGGAAAAGTCACCCATTCCGCCCATTCCGTCTGCAAAGGGAGTATGTCTGGTTAGTCATGGGTTTCCCATTTGGATCCTCAGTGAGGTACATGCCTTGGATATCTTGCAGTTGTTGACATGTGGGGTTCCCATTGGCATATTGGACCGGAGCGCTGTTCATTTCCCAAATCACGTGGCTATGAGTCAGTTCAGCCTGGTTGCCTTGTGAATCCCTGGGATTCATAGATGTTCATTCTCACCAAATCTGTTTTTTTCCATAGGTTTTGATGCATCCTCACATGCGTTTTTCACTGCAACCCTTGCCTTCAAGAGGGTGTGGTTCATGTCAGCACCGTCGCCTTTGGAATCACACACAGACCTTGGTGCAACAGCGAGCGGAGGAGTAGCACCAGTTCTTAAAGTGGATCATTTCGGAAATGACTGTCAATGATTTTCAGCCTCCGACTCAAATAGACATGAAACCGTGCTTCGAAAAAAATCGAACGATCAGCCAGTGTCGTTTGGTCCCTGCGGTTTCACTGCAAAAGAATATGCCAGAAATAGGTGCATCCAGCAGATGAAATTGGCTGGTCGATATGTCTATCCAGGGCTGGAAAGACAGTGTCATAACCCAGATTTGATTTGTTTCCTCTTGCCAGATCCCAAGCCACTCAGAACCAATGACATCCCCACATATCAAAACCAGTGGAATTCCAGTTGAGCAGCGTTCAAAACCCTCTGTCCTTGTATCTAATCACAGGTTCTTAAGAACGGGATTCCCAGTTGATCATGGATGATGATCATCTCCAATATGTAGGAAGGTAGTATAGCCCGACCATCATCAACTCTACCAGGGGCCCCCAGGGGCCGCAGCCAAGGGGCAGCTTGGCCTGTGCCAGAACCGTCAGAGCCTGCGCCTCCCAGTCTGGCATCCTGTCTGGGGAAGAATGGGACCAAACTTATCATACACAATGATGTAACCAGTAGAACTAGATGCGCCTAACTATGTAATGTTCACTACACTATATAGTGTTTTTTAATGCTACGTAAAACTATATTATTATACAACGCTATAAATACAAATACTAAATAGTACTATTTAGATTATTGACTATATATATATATATATACATATATACTACTGGAATGGAGGAAAGATGTGTGGACGCCACTACTAGTCCCGCCGCAAGTGGTGATGTTCGAGGACCCACTGCTGTCTAGGCTGTGCGCTTCATGTGTCTGTCTGGGCATTGGTGAGTTTGTTGCTGCTTGCAAAGGGTAGCCAGTCTGGGGGCCTTGAACTCCAACCTGTGTGGCAGGAGGGACGGTTACCCCTGGCTGCAGTGCCGGTGTGCCATGCATCCATGCATCCATGCATCCATGCATCCATGCATGCATCCATCCATCCATCCATCCATCCATCCGTCCACCCGTTCATCCATCCATCCAATACTATATATAAAGAAACATACGATATAATACTATACAATACCAGTAGTACCCGCACGAGGCGGGGCGGAAGTTGCCTTAAAGATATATATATATATATAATACCTTTCTCATCTATAGAGCTTGCATGCGCCGTGCGCCAGCCAAGCCCGTGCGTGCATGCATTCTTGAAAGTGGTGTCCTGTTTCACATGTCACATTTGAAGCTCCACTTCGCTCTTCACGCTTCACACTCCACACTTCACACTCCACACTCCACACTCCACACTTCACGCTTCCCACTGCACACTCCACACTTCACACTTCACACAACACACTTCACACTTCACAGTCCACACTTCACACTTCACACTTCACACTTCACGGTCCACACTTCACACTTCACACTCCACACTTCACACTTCACACTCCACACTTCACACTGCACTCTTCACGCCCCACACTTCACACTGCACCCTTCACACTCCACACTTCATCTCATCTGAGCTCTTCTCACCTTATCCCAGCTCATCTCTTCTCATCTCATCTCTTCTCATATGTCATCTAAGCTTTCATGAATCACTTCCCAGTACTACTACTAAGGAACTTGCATGCGCCGTGCGCCAGCCAGGCCCGTGCCTGCGTGCTTTGTGCGAAGCTGTTGCAGTGTTGCTGTCCAAGAACATGACCTGCGCGCGACCCGGGTACAATGCAAACACTTTCCTCACACTTCACATTGCACTCTTCACACCCCACACTCCACACTTGCACTTCATCTCAACTCATCTCATCTGAGCTCTTCTCATCTCATTCCATGTCTTCCCATATGTCAGCTAAGTTCTTCTTGGCTATGTTTAAGTCAAGTACTTCCCAGTACTGATGTCTACTACAAAAGCTTGCACAAAACACTTACTGTACTACAAAGCTTGCACAAAGTACTACTTCCCAGTACTACTTTGTACTACAAAGCTTGCACAAAAAGCTTGCACTTCCCAGTACTACTTTGTACTACACAGCTTGCACAAACACTTCCCAGTACTACTTTGTACTACAAAGCTTGCACAAACTACTTCCCGTACTACTTTGTATCACAAAGCTTGCACAAAACACGTTCCAGTACTACTTTGTACTTCAGAGCTTGCACAAAGCACTTCCCAGTACTACTGTGTACTACAAAGCTTGCACACACCACAAACTACTTCCCATGACTACTTTGTACTACAAAGCTTGCACAAAACACGTTCCAGTACTACTTTGTTACTACAAAGCTTGCACAAAACACTTCCCAGTACTACTTTGTACTGCAAAGCTTGCACAAACCACTTCCCAGTACTACTTTGTACTACAAAGCTTGCACAAAGCACTTCCCAGTACTACTGTGTACTACAAAGCTTGCACAAAGCACTTCCCAGTACTACTTTGTACTACAAAGCTTGCACAAAACACATTCCAGTACTTTGTACTACTTACTAAAAGCTTGCACAAAACACTTCCCAGTACTACTTTGTACTACAACTTGCTTTGTAAAACACTTCCCAGTACTACTTTGTACTACAACGCTTGCTACTTTGTACTACAAAGCTTGCACAAAACACTTCCCAGTACTACTTTGTACTACAAAGCTTGCACAAAACACTTCCCAGTACTACTTTGTACTACAACGCTTGCACAAAACACTTCCCAGTACTACTTTGTACTGCAAAGCTTGCACAAAGCATTTCGCAGTACTACTTTGTATTACAAAGCTTGCACAAAACACTTCCCAGTACTACTTTGTACTACAAAGCTTGCACAAAACACTTCCCAGTACTACTTGCACAAAACACTTCCCAGTACTACTTTGTACTGCAAAGCTTGCACAAAGTACTTCCCAGTACTACTTCGCACTACAAAGCTTGCACACTTCACTCCCCAGTACTACTTTGTACTACAAAGCTTGCACAAAGCACGTTCCAGTACTACTTTGTACTACAAAGCTTGCACCAAACACTTCCCAGTACTACTTTGTACTACAAAGCTTGCACAAAGCACTTCCCAGTACTACTTTGTACTACAAAGCTTGCGCAAAACACTTCCCAGTATTACTTCGTACTACAAAGCTTGCACAAAACACTTCCCAGTAGTACTGTGTACTACAAAGCTTGCACAAAGTACTTCCCAGTACTACTTCGCACTACAAAGCTTGCACACTTCACTCCCCAGTACTACTTTGTACTACAAAGCTTGCACAAAGCACTTCCCAGTACTACTTTGTACTACAAAGCTTGCACCAAACACTTCCCAGTACTACTTTGTACTACAAAGCTTGCACAAAGCACTTCCCAGTACTACTTTGTACTACAAAGCTTGCACAAAGGCGTCGGACATTGCAGCTCCAAAACCGGATCTCGACACCAAAGCGACAAAAAGACGATTTTGAAGAATTTTTTAAAAGGAATTTTAAAAGGAAAATTGCTATCGCCAAAATTGCGAAAATCTGCTGACAAATCGCTATCGCAACCTGGATGCAGCCACTCGCGCCGCACAGACGAGGTACCTTTCATCGCCGGCTGCAGCCACTCTACACGGCAAAACACAAGGTTTCGTGCTCCGGCTTCCTCCCCAACACAAAGCCCATGCAACATCATGCAGCAATTCCAATGCGATCTGCCACCACAGCTTCAAGAAACGCATAGAACTACGCACACAGGAACAACCACTCGTTGCAAAACACATAGGAGGAACAATTCGCGACAGAAAAGACCGCAGCCGCACCCGCCGCACACACGAGGTACCTTTCATCGCCGGCTGCAGCCACTTTACACGGAAAAACACAAGGTTTCGTGCTCCGGCTTCCTCCCCAAAACATAGCCCATGCAACATTCATGCAGCCATTCCAATGCGATCAGCAACCACAGCTTCAGGAAACGCATAGAACTACGCACACAAGAACAAGCACTTGTTGCAAAACACATAGAAGGAACCCATCGCGTCCGGAACGACCCCAGCCGCAACCGCCGCACAGACGAGGTACCTTTCATCGCCGGCTGCAGCCACTTTACACGGAAAAACACAAGGTTTCGTGCTCCGCCTTCCTCCCCAACACAAAGCCCATGCAACATCATGCAGCAATTCCAATGCTATCTGCGACCACAGCTTCAAGAAACGCATAGAACTACGCACACAGGAGCAACCACTCGTTGCAAAACACATAGGAGGAACAATTCGCGACAGAAACGACCGCAGCCGCAACCGCCGCACAGACGAGGTACCTTTCATCGCCGGCTGCAGCCACTTTACACAGAAAAACGCACGGTTTCGTGCTCCGGCTTCCTCCCTAACACAAAGCCCATGCAACATCATGCAGCAATTCCAATGCGATCTGGCACCACAGCTTCAAGAAACGCAAAGAACCACGCACACAGGAACAACCACTCGTTGCAAAACACATAGGAGGAACAATTCGCGACAGAAACGACCGCAGCCGCAACCGCCGCACAGACGAGGTACCTTTCATCGCCGGCTGCAGCCACTTTACACGGAAAAACACAAGGTTTCGTGCTCCGGCTTCCTCCCCAACACAAAGCCCATGCAACATCATGCAGCCATTCCAATGCGATCTGGCACCACAGCTTCAAGAAACGCATAGAACTACGCACACAGCAACAAGCATTGTTGCAAAACACATAGAAGGAACCAAACGACCCCAGCCGCAACCGTCGCACAGACGAAGTAGCTTTCATCGCCGGCTGCAGCCACTTTACACGGAAAAACACACGGTTTCGTTCTCCGGCTTCCTCCTCAACACAAAGCCCATACAACATCATGCAGCCATTCCAATGCGATCTGGCACCACAGCTTCAAGAAACGCATAGAACTACGCACACAAGAACAAGCATTGTTGCAAAACACATAGAAGGAACCAAACGACCCCAGCCGCAACCGCCGCACAGACGAGGTAGCTTTCATCGCCGGCTGCAGCCACTTTACACGGAAAAACACACGGTTTCGTGCTCCGGCTTCCTCCCCAACACAAAGCCCATGCAACATCATGCAGCCATTCCAATGCGATCTGCCACCACAGCTTCAAGAAACGCATAGAACTACGCACACAGGAACAACCACTCGTTGCAAAACACATAGGAGGAACAATTCGCGACAGAAACGACCGCAGCCGCAACCGCCGCACAGACGAGGTACCTTTCATCGCCGGCTGCAGCCACTTTACACGGAAAAACACACGGTTTCGTGCTCCGGCTTCCTCCCCAACTCACCACTTCCCTTCGTCACCACTCCCCTTCATCATCACTTACGTCCCTTCGTCACCACTTCCCTTCTTCGCCACTTCCCTTCGTCACCACTTCCCTTCTTCGCCACTTCCCTTCCTCACCACTTCCCTTCGTCACCACTCCCCTTCATCATCACTTCCCTGTTTCACCACTTCCCTTCGTCACCACTCCCGTTCTTCACCACTTCCCTTCTTCACCACTTCCCTTCGTCACCACTTCCCTTCTCCACCACTTCCCTTCCTCACCACTTCCCTTCGTCACCACTTCCCTTCCTCACCACTTCCCTACCTCACCACTTCCCTTCGTCACCACTTCCCTTCTTCACCACTTCCCTTCCTCACCACTTCCCTTCGTCACAACTCCCCTTCATCATCACTTCCCTTCTTCACCACTTCCCTTCGTCACCACTTCCCTTCCTCACCACTTCCCTTCCTCACCACTTCCCTTCCTCACCACTCCCCTTCATCATCACGTCCCTTCTTCACCACTTCCCTTCCTCACCACTTCCCTTCCTCACCACTTCCCTTCGTCACCACTTTCCTTCCTCACCGCTTCCCTTCCTCACCACTTCCCTTCCTCCCCACTTCCCTTCGTCACCACCCTGTGTCATAGCTTCTTATTCTTTTGTTGTGTATTGTTAGATAATGTATTGTTCTGTGATCTACCACCCTTCATCATAGTCAATTGCATCAAGTAAAAGTCATTCGTAACTCGGAAGTATTGCTTCCCAACTTCCTTTGATTACATACTTGAGACATAATTGAGGGAATACTGTACAATACTATAAAAAAGAACAAATAATACTGTATAATACTACAGTGTAATATACTATGTAATACTATGTAAAACTATATATATATACACACACTACTATCATACTGTATAATACGATATAATGCTATATAATACTATACAATACCACATAATACTATGTAATACAATGTAATACTACAAAAAACTGAATACAACACTAAACAATACTATGTAATACAGTGCAATGCCAAATGATACTATATAAACTGTAAACCGTTATTACTATAATACTACATATGATAAATTACATAATATATGATATGGTATATATATATAAACATAATCTTATATCTTGCTATGTGATAGTAAATAGTCAAAACAACAAACAACAATAAACATTAAACAATTATTTTAATTACTTTATTTATACACAAAACACTAAATATAATATCATTAAAACAATACTAGATATAATACTATTTAATACTGTATATATATATAAATGTATTATAATGTTATATACTAAATATAACACAACGTAACACTATAATATATTGTAAAATACACTTTAATACTACAACAGTGATATGTATTAGCGATGTAACCAGGCATTGTTTTATCCCAAAGTAATGGAAGCGCCATCGTACATTTAATGATTCCATTGGAGAAATGGTGGCTACAAAAATCATCTAACCGCCCTGTCGTTCTTCATAGATGTTTAGTGAGTTTAGTGGAGAGAAAACTGTCCCCTTTTCAACCAACTGGTCCTGAGTCTCGGCATCTTCCGGTCATTGAATGTCATTGATGCATATATGAATTATGTGTTGAAACAGTGCTGGGACAACATTTGTCTGACCACAAAAGGCCTGGTCCCGATAATTTAGGAAACATGTTTGTGGTTGGGTGGAAAGAATGAATTCACAAAGTGCAAACCCGAAAATGTGTTCACTCTCAAAAGTTGATCTGAAACAAGTAAATCCTTCAGGCTACCCTCTGGTAATTTAGCCTATCCATGGACAACTGCACATTTCTAGGCAATTTACCCATTAAACATGGCCGTTTTCAATCGCTATGTTACATTGCCAGAGGGTAAAAACCAGCAACCAATCCAAAATTTGAAACCTTCAAACCATCCCCTTCTGACCCAAGTCTAACCGTCTAACCCCCTATCTCTGCCCAAGAAACTTGTCGGAAAAGCAAACCTTGACAGCCTTGCAGAAGGCTGCTGCAGTGGTCCCCAAAAAGGTTGATGGTTTCAACTTATGCCAAATACCAGACTAGTTACTAGTCAATTGGGGTCATCAGCCCGAATAGGATGGGTTAAAAAAATGAAACCGCCAGCCAATGTGGGATCCATATGCTATATTTCTTTGAAGAAGATGCTTGTACTGAGTTGTTGTGCTCCTTGGCAGGACATGCGATATCCACAGGTGTTCCTCTTGCAAAAGATATAATATATGTATATATATATATATGATGATGATTTATGGCATGTTCCTCTCGGAAAAAACTGGTGGTTTTACTCATGTTCAAAGCTCGCAGTGGCGTCCGCACCTTCTCCGCCAGCCGCAACGCTTCCACCTCTTCGGCCAAGTCGAGCAAGGCCATGGCCTGGTGGGGGGAAATGGGATGATTTGACCAACAAGAACATAACAGAACCAACAAATGTAAGGTGAAATAATGGGGATACACATATGATATAATGATTTATATCATTTTACATCATTTATATCTGTTAGAAACAATTTTTAGTGCTTTACAACCAACCACCAATGGGTATTTACTGGTAAAATCGTGGGGATGCCATGGGAGATTTATGGTGCATCTATAAAAAAAATCTGAAAGTACACGTTCTTCCTCAAGTTAGTTCTATCCCCAAAAATGTTACCCGCCCAAAATTGCAGCCTGTAACACGTCGCAAGATGTGCGGACTTGTTGGAACTGCACCATGCTAGCTCAGATCCCCCAGTCCCGGTTCAGAAAAACACATTCGTGAGGTAAACATACTGGGATTTTATGAAGCAATATTTTGGCGTCCCTCAATTAACCGTCTTGTGGTGACGTTCAATGAGATACAATGGGGGTACAACCAACACCTTCAGGATACTTTTGGTAATGTCACAGCATGGAGCATCCCCCGAATTCTGATAATTCTGGCAATGTGAATGGAAAGCGCACATATACATATTCCCTTTCATGCCCCAAATACGTCATCAACCAATGAACAAACTACAAGCTCAGCAAATCCTAGTTCTTGGTGAGTTGGCCAAAATAGGATAAGTTTGGTTTGCGATCAGGCATGGTTTGACACATGGGTGCCTAACAAAGACAACTACTATCCACTAGAAAAACAAAATGATGAAACTGAGACTCCTCAGATTCCGTCTTCCCTCTTTGATGCGGTGGTGGCGTATGCCCAGTTGCGCCAGGCGGCTTATGTTTTTGGACACTCTCTTTCTGCGGGCAGCTTGGCTTGCGCCGCCATGGATTTGGCTTTGGCTTTGGAAAGTTTGAATTTTGACTGGCATCTGGCGTCCGGCGTGGTCGTTCCAACACATCTGGTCAACAAATCCATTTTTGCTTGCAAGAAAAGCAGCATGTCCTTTTCCAAAGTACTCAACTTCCTGATTTCCTGTACTTCCCATCCGTGTGGTGACAACATGGTATGAATACCAGCAAATCCAAAAATGTTGCTCATACTCAAACTGGATGGAGTCATCAAAATAATGCCCTGCTACCAGCTGGAAAACATGACGGGCTACAGCAGTGAAGTAGTTTAGTTTATAACCCCAATTACCTATAGTTATATATATATATATATATATTATATATATACACACACACATATATTTATCTAAATAAAGATCCATAAACCATAGTCAACCTAGCCACCTTGGTGGCCCCACCTTATAGTTTGGTTGGTCAACTCCCACCTTCTGATTTAGCTAGATATAGATATCCCAACTAAAAATACACATATCCGCCGACCCCTGCCTAGCCTTGGCCTAGGCGGGGCGGCGCCTGGGATCACCGTAGGTGTGCGGCATGGCCCTGTGCTGGCTTTACCATGGTACCTTTGTATCCGGCCTTAGAACCGCACAACCCTCCGGCCCTGGCAGCAGCTTTCGAAGCGTCCTGCTGGCTTCATGGTGCCTCCCTATTGGCCCCACAAGTTGTTTCTATTGGGCTTCGAAACTGCCGCGTGGCACGCTTTGGGCCTTAAAAACCTCAAAACCCTCGCAGCAGCTTTCGAAGGCCTCAGCACCGCAGAACCCTCCGCAGCAGCTCTCGAAGCGTCCTGCTGGCTTTGAATTTGCCATGATGGTGCCTCCCTATTGGCCCCACAAGCTGTTTCTATTGGGCTTCGAAACTGCCGCGTGGCACGTTTTGGGCAAGCCTTATAAAACACCATCAAAACCCTCGCAGCAGCTTTCGAAGGCCTCAGCACCGCACAACCCTCCGCAGCAGCTCTCGAAGCGTCCTTCTGGCTTTGCCATGGTGCCTCCCTATTGGCCCCAAAAGCTGTTTCTATTGGGCTTCGAAACTGCTGCGTGGCACGTTTTGGGAAGGCCTTAAAACCCTCAAAACCCTCGCAGCAGCTTTCGAAGGCCTCAGCACCGCAGAACCCTCCGCAGCAGCTCTCGAAGCGTCCTGCTGGCTTTGCCATGGTGCCTCCACAAGCTGTTTCTATTGGGCTTCGAAACTGCTGCGTGGCACGTTTTGGGCAGGCCTTTAAATCCTCAAAACCCTCGCAGCAGCTTTCGAAGGCCTCAGCACCGCACAACCCTCCGCAGCAGCTCTCGAAGCGTCCTGCTGGCTTTGCCATGGTGCCTCCCTATTGGCCCCACAAGCTGTTCCTATTGGGCTTCGAAACTGCTGCGTGGCACGTTTTGGGCAGGCCTTAAAACCTTCAAAACCTTCGCAGCAGCTTTCGAAGGCCTCAGCACCGCAGAACCCTCCGCAGCAGCTCTCGAAGCGTCCTGCTGGCTTTGCCATATGGTGCCTCCCTATTGGCCCCACAAGCAGTTTCTATTGGGCTTCGAAACTGCCGCGTGGCACGTTTTGGGCAGGCCTTAAAACCCCCAAAACCCTCGCAGCAGCTTTCGAAGGCCTCAGCACCGCAGAACCCTCCGCAGCAGCTCTCGAAGCGTCCTGCTGGCTTTGAATTTGCCATGATGGTGCCTCCCTATTGGCCCCACAAGCTGTTTCTATTGGGCTTCGAAACTGCCGCGTGGCACGTTTTGGGCAAGCCTTAAAACACCATCAAAACCCTCGCAGCAGCTTTCGAAGGCCTCAGCACCGCACAACCCTCCGCAGCAGCTCTCGAAGCGTCCTGCTGGCTTTGCCATGTGGTGCCTCCCTATTGGCCCCACAAGCTGTTTCTATTGGGTTTCGAAACTGCTGCGTGGCACGTTTTGGGCAGGCCTTAAAACCCTCAAAACCCGCGCAGCAGCTTTCGAAGGCCTCAGCACCGCACAACCCTCCGCAGCAGCTCTCGAAGCGTCCTGCTGGCTTTGAATTTGCCATGATGGTGCCTCCCTATTGGCCCCACAAGCAGTTTCTATTGGGCTTCGAAACTGCCGCGTGGCACGTTTTGGGAAGGCCTTAAAACCCTCAAAACCCTCGCAGCAGCTTTCGAAGGCCTCAGCACCGCACAACCCTCCGCAGCAGCTCTCGAAGCGTCCTTCTGGCTTTGCCATGGTGCCTCCCTATTGGCCCCACAAGTTGTTTCTATTCGGCTTCGAAACTGCCACGTGGCACGTTTTGGGCAGGCCTTAAAACCCTCAAAACCCTCGCAGCAGCTTTCGAAGGCCTCAGCACCGCGCAGCTCTCGAAGCGTCCTTCTGGCTTTGCCATGGTGCCTCCCTATTGGCCCCACAAGTTGTTTCTATTCGGCTTCGAAACTGCCACGTGGCACGTTTTGGGCAGGCCTATAAAACCCTCAAAACCCTCGCAGCAGCTTTCGAAGGCCTCAGCACCGCGCAGCTTTCGGAGCGTCCCGCTTGCTTTGCCATGGTGCTTCCCTATTGGCCCCACAAGCTGTTTCTATTGGGCTTCGAAACTGCCGCGTGGCACGTTTTGGGCAGGCCTTAAAACCCTCAAAACCTTCGCAGCAGCTTTCGAAGGCCTCAGCACCGCACAACCCTCCAGGAGATGGTGAACACTGACATAGGATACAGCTGCTGATCAGCAAAATCCGCCGGCAGCAACTGAATGGTAGACCTCAATGGATCTGCTTGCAGCCGGCATGACCCCAAAACACTTGCCCACTACCCTGGTAGAAGTCTTGAAATCTAACAATGTGCCACTTTGCCCCTGCAACTAAACGGAACTCTCCACAACTTAGGGCCATCAACCAGACAAACCAAAGCCATCCCCATACTTTGACACCATCACTGAATCTTCCTTTTCAACACCTATAGTCAGCCAAAGCACTGAATGCCACGCTTCCTCTTCGAACCATGTGGAGAGCCAAAATTCGCGGCCAGCTCCATGCCGGCCAGATCCGGATGCACCGCCGCCTCCGCAATGTCACCCGACGGCTTGCGATAGATCCTGCGGATCTCCACACCATCCAACCTGACCAACTGGTCCATCGACGGGATCGTGGCCGGCCTGCCCGCTCCTTTCACAAGCACTTTCACCGCAGGTTTCACATCAGAACCTTCACCGGCCAGCACGAATTTGACATTGGGGTAGCGATCACTGACCGCATACATGAATACCACCCTGCCGATGGTGGCTATCGTCGACACCGGCTCCCGCTCAAGAGCCGCAACCTCCGACAACTTCATGATGCCTATGGCCCCCCAAAGATGCGGTCGCCGCAGCAGCACCAGCACTGCCCGCCCCAGCAGCCACGCGAAATTGCGGCATTATGGCGCGACTGACACGTTGGGCAATTGCTCTGTAACTCTGAGCCTTCATAGATTTCAAAAACCACAATGCAATTTCCTCCGCATCCCAGTGCTGATGGCACAGACGCTGCAAACAACCAAATCAACAACACTGGCAAGATACCTTCTCCAGTCTTGATACAATGAAAACTAAAACCATGAAACTACACACATATGTATATATATATATAGTCCAAACCTCTTACGGTGATCCTGGTCTTACATCTAAGACTAACAGCTACATTAACTCTATATGGGATAGGATGAATCTCATGTGTTCATACTTGAGAAACAGTTTATACAAACACAAGCTAAGACGCACATCCGATCATCCAAGCACCACCAAGCTTGTTCTGTCCTCCATGTCGACCCAATTCACTGCAGCAAGGAACTTGGTGAGGGCACCAGGTTGATCCTGATCTGCGGGCTCAAAGCCGCATACCAAAAAAAGGACACTACATGATCCCATCATACCCAAAACAATATTCATGTTTAAGACATCTATATGATCTATCAAAATCGACTGAATGTATATTAAGATGCAACATATTTAACACATCATACCCAGTACTCTCTATCCATGTGTATATATACACTTGTATATCTATATCTATACACCATGCTTGATGTAGGTTCATCGACAAGAATAAGAATCTGTTAAGAAGTTTTCGGATCCATAGGGAAAAGGATTCTAGAAACAACTTTGGGATCTTCTTGTCGGGCACCCAAACAACATGGCGCGACCAGTTCCCCCAGTGACTACGTGCATCCCCTTATCTCCCGAGTGGTGCAATTCCCATTTCGCACCTGTGCTTCCCGCAGCCATTGCCAGTCAGCACGCAGCCAGGACTCTGCATGCAGTTCTTTCTTGAGGCCCCAAAATGAAAAAATTCTCCAATAATGATCCCTACCCCTATGAGGGTTTTTGCTTGGAAACCCTGGGATGGTGATCCAACCCCTCGAATGGAATTATGACTGACATGTCTTAACAAGGCTTGGGCGCTATTTTGAAAATGGCAGCGCAATTGTTTGAAGGGATGCCATCCCTACACATGTGCTGCTTCAGTCTGACATGTGCTTAGCTCCTCCAGGGCTCAGCTCAAGTATTTAATTTCCACTTGCTTGCCAATGAGATGGAATGTGCTGTGTATCTGACTATGGACCCATATACCTATCTGTCCATCTACCTACCTGCCTATCTCTCTACCGGACCACCCAATTAGGGGGGGGTCGGCGGCACCAGGGCGCTAGCCCATTTATATATATATATATATCCCAATTACATCCCTCTAAATCCCCACGGTTCTTGGTTAAACCTCCATGTTGCTTCGGCTCTTCGGGCTCGTCGAGCCGGGCCTGTCGGTAGAAGGCCCCAGCCATGCCACTGATCTCGCGTGAGACGTAGCACTTTGCATCCTCAGTGCACGGGAAGATGACCAAGCGGAGTGTCACCAACAGCATATGGAGGTATCCCAATAGCTGGATGCTTTATACCCTCTGGTAAACATCACATAACTATGGAAAATCACGATTTTTAATGGGTAAATCTACTACAAATGGCCATTTTCAATAGCTACATATGTTAGTTTACCAGAGGGTATGCTTTATGTTGGAAAGTCCGACAATAAGATGGATCATTTGGAGCCGCCATTTTGGGAAACCTCCATATTCACGGTTAACAATGGGGATATCCACCAACACAATGGATCTTTAGTTGCTGGGTGGACAATCTGAGAACATTTCTGACACATAAGTTCTGGGTTTGTCTGAACATTTCTGGGAAATCCACACCATTTGTTCATCACATTTCCCTATTTAAATGGCCATTGGGGACACCCTATGTTCAGACACCATACTTGAAGCATAAATCTTAGCTTACCAGAGGGTATAAATCAATATAATTAATCATTATTATCTCGTTATTATCCAATATTATCCTATCATCCAAGTATCATTCGCTCTACCACCATTATAAATATAAATCATTCTTAAATACCGTACACATCAGTGCAAATCATGATAAATCACTGATCATCATCATCTCAATTCTATCCACAAGGCCTCCATCCGAAGCACGTCGTTAAACACCAAGTGTCACCCTGGAAGTACTTCAGCCCACTGCTAGCCGCCTTGAGGCGCAGCAGGATTTGTTTTAGTACACCTGTATGTATTATGAAATACATTGGTACTTTTTGGTGTATATGAAAATCATTGAACATCTGATGAAATCTGATATTTATGGATACCTAAATATATATTTATATATATGATAAATCAAATGATGAATATTTATGAATATGATAATCTGGTGTGTGTGTATATATATAATAATGTATGTATATATTTTGTAATTGCATTTTTATCTTCTAAAATATTATCAGCTGAAGATATCTGAACATATCATCTGATTGACATATATATTATATGAGAGTATCTCGTAGTGTGTAGTGTATTTTGCTGTGGCTGAGTGATTTCGGCGTCATCAAATGATCTTTAAAAGCAGTCATGGTATCCTTGTGAAACCTGGACGGCCTTGGACCCCTTAGAACCACCTCCGTTTGGTTAGGCCGCCCCGGCCTGAAATGCTTGGTCACTATCACCATCGAGTCGAGCCAAGTCCGACAGGGCCTGGAGTCAGGCCGTTGGAGGTGAAAACTGCGCTTCCCCATGTTCGGTCGGAACTGAATCCAGCTGCATGATAACGCCCTCATAAACCTATACATAAATAAATATATATATATATATATTGCATATGTCTACTATATTTTTTTAAAAAAAAAAACTATATACATAATCATGCATGCACATGTTCTGTGTTTGTTTCTGCATGTGTCTTCCTTTTCAGGAACTTCACAATATCCTCTGGAGGGGTGAACCACTATTCGACCATTGCAGGATGTTCAGCTGATGCGGGAGATCCCTAAAAGTGGGACCCCAGGCCCCAAGCAGTGAAAAATCATTTTATATAGATTAGCCCTACATAACTCCTACATACATCTGGGTTAATTATAGTAATTCACTAACCTGAAATAAGCCAATTTTGGGATGATTCCTCTGATTAACCATATTCCAGTGAGGTCGCAGTGAGGTCGTTATAATGTACCCAGATACATAGTTTTACTTTTGTCCAAGAAATGCCAAGAAATGTTACCCACCACAGAGTTGAACCTAGGGTCTTGCCTCTTCCCCAGCTCGTAGTAATACCCATCATCTCGGATATCCTAGCCCCGAACAAACAACAAAACCCTATTTTTCTTTGGTTGGTATATATCACCATCATTCCCCAAATTCATGATCAGTCTTAGGCTAGCGGCTAATTACTTAAGCCAAGGTAGTGTGGTAAACCCAATAACAAACTTCCAGTTGAGGATAGTGTACATTATACATCATTATACCACCTACTTGGTCAATTTTGAGGCTTGTTTAAGATTGTATTTGCCACATTCATAGCCATGTTATACTGAATATGTTGGATATTACCCCAGCAAACATGTGTAGTCCTGTCACTGTACGTTACCCATCCAACCACAACCCCGCCATTGGTCGCCCCATAGCCCGACCTGGCGAGTGGCCCCCTGACCGGCACGATCACCACAGCGCAGAAACAGCGACCTGAGCGCGATGACGATGGCGATGACGATGGCGAGCTGAGCGCCTTTTGAATCAACTAGAGTAACCCCATCCCCCATTCATAACTGTAAATAGGTATCAATATGGGGGATGGGGTTACTCTAGTTGATGGGGATATAGTATATTGCAATTCACCTAGCTATTCATGGAGATAGGTAGGATATACTGTAACTGTAAATAGGATATTACTGTATACTGCAAAAAATAGTAGATATCAATGTATGTTTAACGTAATTAAATATGAACGGGGGATGGGATTGACCCCCGAATCAACTGAGGTGACTTGACCATCAAGATTAAAAATATATATATATAAATAATTATATATAATTATATATATATAGCAGCAGCCCCCACAAAGATCAAACATTACAATCCCACAATATTGTGGCTGGTTGGTGGTTGACCTACCCCGCTGAAAAATATTAGTCAGTTGGGATCATGAAATTCCCAATATATGGAAAAATAAAAAAATGTTCCAAAGCAACCACCAGGTGGTGAATTATATGTCTCTCTTTGGGGGCCTCTTTCATGGACTCAGGCCATCACCATGATATCACGCCACAAGAAAGCACTTAGGTGGTGAAGGTTGGCAACCTGGTTCTGCAGCATCTTCAATAAGTGGGACGTGTAGTTAGTGATGATTGGATCATCCAGGGCCGCACAGCTCAATCTCAGGAACACGACGTATCAATATCCCACTGACAGCTGGGTATTCGCTCTGAGCTACGTTTTAGTGCTCTGTTCCTTCGACCCTGCCCTCTTCATCTGCAGAAAATGTTGGGCTTGGCTCAGCTGCAAGCTGTTCCCCTTCGATCATCTTCCCAGCCATGTTTGATTTCTATGTAAATTCACCTGCCATTTTTTGGGATGAAGTTCTGAGTATCTCAACATATATCTGACATTTACCACACACGGAATCCTGCAAACACATGACACTGAAATACATATCCAACATACATTTTTCTGTCTAAAAACTAACCGTTCTTTGTCCAAAGCAGTTTTTGTTTGTTTAAGACGCCCGTTTTAAGGCTCAAGACTCGATGATCTCGAAGTCCAAAATTGACTTCCTGGAATCCAAATCTTGTTGCTGAAATCATCTTCAATTCGTTTTTCTTGCGCCCGAAACAAATGAGGGTTGCTCCCAACACCCCAGATACAACTGGGGCAAACTGGATAGATAAAGAAATAAAATGACTAGTTCCCATCCGCTATCTTTTACCATCTTTTACCTATATAAAATGGAATGGAGCAATTCTGCAAGTAAAATCACCCACAAATTCCGATCTGCCACTGGGCGCCCCAAGCATGGCGTGTTCCGCGGCATTCTGCCCCTTCTCCAGCTGCCCAGTGAGACGACACAGCTCCGCCATGGTAAGGTGGGCCAAGGCCTGAGCTTCGTTGGCGCATGGGAACTTCACCACAAAAACATGGGGATTCGACAAACACAGTGGGATTTAAACCGCAAAAATGGTGATTGAACCAGATTTAACTAATGAAAAATGGTGATTTAACCAGCAACATATAGGGATTTGAGCAATATCTACTGAAACATCTGGCGCCTCGGCGCGCGAATCCGAGAAATCTCGAGCTCTCGCAAGCATCCTGGCGGTGCTGCATGCTTTCTTGAGACCACTTCAAATATCCAAGAATGGGTCATTCATGGGTATATAGTAATACACGATATATATATATATATATATATATTAATATGGCATTTGGATGAATTTGGACATTTGATATCCGGTTATTACGGATTTGCTGATCAGAAAATACGGCTGAACAAACCAAACCATTGCGCGAATCAGTACCCTAGAGCTACGACATAGGAGCCCCAGCTGAAACATGGGGTATTCTTGAAGTTCCATGAAATTTTGGACCAACGCCCTACTCACATCCCGCAGTCTGAACAAAGAGTCTTGATTTCGATGTTCACCTAACAACTTTTGGGAATTATGGGCTTGGATGCATAACCATATTTCGACCGATTTATATTTCATGCTTTTGATCCAAATCCAGATGAAACTCTCATGTCACATAGCCGCTTGACATGGCATGATTTTCCAAAAGGCAGAGTTGCCAAATCCAATGGTTTGCCATTCATTTTCCACGAAACAAATCCCTGACATGGCCACATCTGGGGTATCCCCCCATTGTACTTTTGGAAAAACCCACGTGTTGTTGGTGAAATGCAATCAATACTCAACTCATATGTAGACGTATACTTATGTCACGTATGTATTATATGTATATCATATTAGTCAAAAGTGTTCACAAATAAAACAATTCTCACTGTGTATATATATATATACATAATATTTTTTTAGATGCTTTAACCATGGTTAAGATGGTTTAACCTACCTGTCCATCCCGCCCCTGTTTTGTTTGATGCCTGTTGGCCACATCGATGGCCTCATCCACTTGCAAGGCCTGGAAAGGCAGTCAGAGGGGAGAACCTTCCACTCTCGAGGACTTTGAGTCATTGGTTCTTATGTCTTTTTTTCTAGATCTGATTAATCTGATTGTTGGTGTTGTTTTCAAGTTATAGAGATTGATTGATTTTTCTGTGTAATTACTATCTGCGCTATCCTGCGATACATTGTTCTGTTCTTTTGGAGGATATTCTGACTAACCGCTCGAAGTACATCGCTTGGATCTCCTAGATGCATGTGTCACACACAAAAAACTACCCTGGGGTAAACTAGACTATATAATATTAAATATTAAACTAACATATAGATGCGGAAAACCCATGGGGCTTTTCCCGTTTGGATCATGATTAAAAGGGATCATTTATAGATCGTGATCCCAGGCAGCTCTGATCTCCAAAATCTTTGGGTCCATCTGAGTCCATTTTCGCTAAGAAACTTAGCAAAACAGCAACCTACCTCTTGTTGCGTAAGATATCCTCAATTCGTGGCTCCAACTGGCTTCCCAGCTATAGCAGGAATATCAGGAATATAAAATTCAAATTTTGGGTTATGTAGTTATGTAGTTAAATTATATAGTTATATATGTAATAAAATAATCCACATTATATAATCTCCAATAAATAAGATATAATGATTTACCCTCTTGTTATTTAACATAGCCATGGTATAGATGGCCCATAGAAATAGATGGTTTACCTATTAATAGCATGGTGGATCTTTCCATGGCTATGTTAGTCATAACCAGATGGTATTCCAATATATCCCAGTATATCATGGTACATCTCACGATGTCCAAGTTGTAAATAGAAAAACCATGTGGATGATATCCGATAGGACGAACATTAATGATTTATGTTTTGTACATGAATGTACTCTGCCATTCTGTTAAACCCCTCTGCCATTCAAATACGAAAACACATGGCCTCCGCTTCCAGCAGGCAAATGACGCGCAGGATCCAAATCTCTGCGGCTTGATCTTCGGAGGCCTACGCTGCAAGGGGCAGCTGGGTAAACCGGTAAACGTATCCAAAATGTGGTGGTTTATATTGGGTTTAGCCTGGCTAACCATCCTGAAATCGATGTGTATATATATATATACAATTATACACATCATTGTACGTACACATACATTACATTGCATTGCATTGCATTACATTTACATCTACATTTATATTTACACTTACATGACATTACATTACCCATATATAAATATATAATATTATATATTTGTTCCATATGTAGCCTCTTTATAGCCTCAACTCTGTTGGAGGGTCCCTAGAGGGTCCGTAGGATGGCTTTTCCATGTAACAGATCACGTAACAGATCACATAACAGATCATGTAACAGATTAGGGGTTCCCAAAGGAAAATTTAGGAACATTTAACATGGATCCTATAAAGAGGCTACCAGTATAAGTATATATTTTTGAGAATCCCTGGATCCGCAGGAGTGGTCCCTGGCCTAGCCTCAGTTTAACAGTTAGAAAGGTTTGTATCTATGATGCCCTTGGCCTCTTTAATGCCATCATATAATTTCAATTGCACATGGGTATGTCTACTAGTACAAACTTTTGAAACCATGCATGCCAACTTACTATACCCATGTTTCATTTCTATTCCAGTTTTTGTTTTAAGTGCAAATGCATAAGATATAAGTGACGATATCAAGATGACTTTGTTTTGCTAGACTGTCATTATCCCACGTTAAAATTCAAATGAATCAGAATCATATTGTATATGATTTCTCTTAACCCCAAAGCCTGTTGGGAAGGTCCTTGCCCATTTGCTGGGGACGTGACAAGCCATTCAATAATTCATGTAACAGGCCGAGGTTGATTTGGGTCGAACTGGAGTCAGATTCTCGCACATCTTTGGGCATATCATGTGTAAGCATATTTATAGATATTCTACGTAACGTCTCCTCAATTTGTGATAGTGAATGTTGTGTCATTCAAGTTAATTATCCTTTATTTAGATGCGTGCATGCAATCGTTCTTGTTTCGTTCTTGTTCAAAGTCGCTAGTGGCACGTTGCCTTTGGGTCTTGTGCCTCCAAAGATAGATGTATCAGGTCATGATACTTCACATCACTAACCACAGTGGGAAAACAATGGGCCAGTCAATTACACATTTGATGATGTTATTTTTAGTACAAAGACAATTAAGCTTTCTGCCACCAGTTGAAAATGGCCGATACTTTACGAGCTGGCTACGAAAGCATCTAGCTTGTCATGTGGGATGTAAAAAGAATAGTGGCACAAGGATGTTTACCGGTAACCACATGAATTTCAAGGCAGCATGATAAGCTGCCAAGTAATCATGAAGTCCAGATTGTGTTCTTGCCTACTTCAACTCACAATTTTTGTCTGAAGTTTTATTGTTTATCCAGGAAACCTCACCTCAGAAAGGTTGTCTGCAAGAAAAACATGTTCGCTGAAAGGGTGCTTCCAATGCGGGTTTGGTAGCACAACACCCGTTCAACATTTAAACACGAATTATTCAAATTTGAAGTAGAGCGTTTGGGGACATACCATCGCATACACTGTTTCCATTCATTTCTTTCCTAATTACATGTGTTAAAGAAAGGCCTCTTTTGTGGAGCGCGTTTGAAACAAAGGAACGCAACCAGGGTCAAGTGTATCAACTAATGAAATCAGGACACAGGTAGGATAGCGAAACACAAAGGAGATGCAGTAGTTGTTCTTCCTTCTTTAAGTTTTGTCTTGGAACAAGAGTTAGTTATTCTATTCCATTTGTTTCTTTCTGCTTTCTCGTTTCAGTTTACGCAATCTGCCTTGTTCAAAATGTGCAATGAACCAGATTCATGCTGGATTTTTGCTGCCTTAAAGCCATTTCCCGACACTGTTCAAAACTTGCAGCGTGCCAAGGCAAACATATAATGTGTTCAGGGCTGATTGCCAGAGATATCAAAACATGAAAATTGAACAAGAACCTCTTCACACGTGGGTGCAGCAAGAAATGTTTGGGCAGCTGACATGGATCTGTCAAGTTTGTTGCCATGTCAGTAGGGACCCAAGTCATGTTGCTTTACGCGAGAAATGCCCAAGTTTTATGGTTGGCCTTTGCTCTTCTCTTTCCTTTTGACACGGCTCTCGAACCCTATCTTGGCATCCCAGAACGGTTCAGAACGGTTCTTGCGAGCAATTTGCATGCCAAGAACGGTTCAGAACGGTTCTCTGTCATGGCTCGTTATATGCTATCGATACTTATCGATCGTACTGTCGTTGTTGTTTTAGCTCCTGTTTTGCCGCACAATGTTGTTGATGTTGAGCTGCTAGTTCCTGACGTGCGCTTGCTGAGGTACTGCAGCTTAAAACATGTCTGAATATTTCTGTGTGTCGTTCCGGGTTCTTTGTTTTCTACGTCGCAAAAATCACCAAAAACTGACGATGTGATGTGCTGTAATTAGCTTGTGTGAAGATGCAACTTCAACACAAAATTCAAACGGATTTTGTTGGTCTAGAAAATTCAGTCCAACCTTTTGCTTTCATCAGTAGAATGACAAATGATATCTCACAACTACAAACGTTTCTTGAAGCAATGCACCAAACCAGCCATCGCAAGAACCGTTCTGAACCGTTCTTGCCAGCCTGGACGGTCGGAACAAGATAGTTCAGGAACCGTTCTGAACCGTTCTCACTTTTTCGGCTACCAAGAACCGTTCTGAACCGTTCTCAAACATGTCAAATAAATGGCTGGGAACCGTTCTGAACCGTTCTTTGGGTGCTGAAAACACGCCATAGATAGTGGCATAGACAATATCTAGTTTGCTGAAATGTAGATACATGTTTATGACCGTGCGCAGCATATTTGAATATATTTGAATATATGAGTATATGAATATAACACTATATGAATATAATATAATATTATATATATAATGTATGTATATACATATATATATATATAATAATAGTATATATGTATATATAAATATATCGCTTGACAGTTAAGGATGAGAAACAGTATAGTGGTTGGCCAAGAACAGCCGTTGTCAAGAAACACCGGTACAAAACACCACAAGATTTCCACTTGCAACTGACGTGTAAATTCACGATCTCTGTATATAGATATATCCATATATATATATATGTTCTATTTGTCTTACGTTATATTAAATTATTTTGCATATTATATTATATCATGTTATATCATTTCATGTTAAATTATTTTAAACTATAATGTTCTTTAGTATATCAAATTAAATTTAATTGAACTTTCATTTATGTTATTATATTATAATATACATTTACTATGTATATATATATATATATCAAGTAGGAATGGTCATAGTTTGATGAACCGCTAGTTTACCGAAAGCCAGCAGGTGACAGAAATCTTACATCCCCACAGGCACAAACTCTGCAGGCAACAGTACTACGATAGGGTCATGATATTTCATCATGCTCATTAAAAAAAAGGAAATCACTTTGCATTAACCAGCAAGGAAACACTGAACAGGTAGGGCAGGTGTTTATCAAGCACTGCAATTTCCTACATATCATTAAAAAAATGCGTGAAATAACTTGAGCTTACATGAGTTTACTTGGTAATAATGTTTGCACTGTAAAAACACTTGAGTTTACTTGGTAATACTCACAAAATGTGTGAAAACTGTAATATTGTTTGCACGCGTGATGTTTATCTTGAGTTGCCGCCAAACTCCAAAAAGACAATACAGTATTGTGCCTTTACTGGGGTTGTGATTCACCAACGTATATAATATTATAATATATTATAATGGGACTAATGGGGCAAATTTATATACAACTTATTTATATATATATACTGATACTGTATGCTGTATACTGTATACTGTATTACACTGTATACTTGAAATAAGCACTCTGGATCCACATTTGGTGATCCAACCATGGCACCCTTTCAAGGTTCGGACATCTCTGGGCATCTTTTTTCCAGTAGCCTCTTTGGCTTCCCATTGTTTTCTCATGGTGTTTATTTGTTTTAGTGGCCTCTTTATTCTGGGTGCCTAAATTTTGCCTAAATTTTAAAGTGGCTTCCGAATCTCCTGGGTGGGTGATCCTGGGATAGGGTGAATCTGTTACGTAACCTGTTACATAGGTTGTTTCATGCTAACAGAGATAGAGGCTACATATGCGTCAAAATTATATATTAGGCTGTCGCTCTAACACGTTTTCTTTATCCATTACTGCTCCCTTAAATTTTCCATTACTGCTTCCTTAACTTTCCATTACTGCTCCCTTAACTTTCCATTACTGCTCCCTTAACTTTCCATTACTGCTCCCTTAACTTTCCATTACTGCTCCCTTAACTTAACTTTCCATTACTGCTCCCTTAACTTTCCATTACTGCTCCCTTAACTTTCCATTACTGCTCCCTTAACTTTCCATTACTGCTCCCTTAACTTTCCATTTCCATTACTGCTCCCTTAACTTTCCATTACTGCTCCCTTAACTTTCCATTACTGCTCCCTTAAATTTCCATTACTGCTCCCTTAACTTTCCATTACTGCTCCCTTAACTTTCCATTACTGCTCCCTTAACTTTCCATTACTGCTCCCTTAAATTTTCCATTACTGCTCCCTTAACTTTCCATTACTGCTCCCTTAAATTTTCCATTACTGCTCCCTTAACTTTCCATTACTGCTCCCTTAAATTTTCCATTACTGCTTCCTTAACTTTCCATTACTGCTCCCTTAACTTTCCATTACTGCTCCCTTAACTTTCCATTACTGCTCCCTTAACTTATTACTGCTCCCTTAACTTTCCATTACTGCTCCCTTAACTTTCCATTACTGCTCCCTTAACTTTCCATTACTGCTCCCTTAACTGTTCCCTTAACTTTCCATTACTGCTCCCTTAACTGTTCCCTTAACTTTTCATTACTGCTCCCTTAACTTTCCATTACTGCTCCCTTAACTTTCCATTACTGCTCCCTTAACTTTTTCCATTACTGCTCCCTTAACTGGGGGAAGTTAAGGGAGCAGTAATGGGGCCCCTGGGGGCCAATTTGGAAGCCAATTTGGAGGCCAATTTGGGGACTCGAAATCATGGATTTTTGGCGAATTTTGGACCCCCAAACGGACCCCAAAACCTCCATTACTGCTCCCTTAACTGGGGGAGTTAAGGGAGCAGCGAGGGAAGGGAGCAGTAATGGTTTTTACAACCTAATTCCCATTCCTGCTCCCTTAACTTTTTCCATTACTGCTCCCTTCCCGGCGGGGGAGTTAAGGGAGCAGTAATGGGGCCCCTGGGGGCCAATTTGGGGACTCGAAATCGTTTCACCAAATTCGGCATAGCATTTTGGCTTTGGTAGCTTACGGTCCCAGACTTTGCCCTTGACAGATGGAGAAAGTTAAGGGAGCAGTAATGCAGAAAATGGAGAAAGTTAAGGGAGCAGTAATGCAGAAAATGGAGAAAGTTAAGGGAGCAGTAATGCAGAAAATGGAGAAAGTTAAGGGAGCAGTAATGCAGAAAATGGAGAAAGTTAAGGGAGCAGTAATGCAGAAAATGGAGAAAGTTAAGGGAGCAGTAATGCAGAAAATGGAGAAAGTTAAGGGAGCAGTAATGCAGAAAATGGAGAAAGTTAAGGGAGCAGTAATGCAGAAAATGGAGAAAGTTAAGGGAGCAGTAATGCAGAAAATGGAGAAAGTTAAGGGAGCAGTAATGCAGAAAATGGAGAAAGTTAAGGGAGCAGTAATGCAGAAAATGGAGAAAGTTAAGGGAGCAGTAATGCAGAAAATGGAGAAAGTTAAGGGAGCAGTAATGCAGAAAATGGAGAAAGTTAAGGGAGCAGTAATGCAGAAAATGGAGAAAGTTAAGGGAGCAGTAATGCAGAAAATGGAGAAAGTTAAGGGAGCAGTAATGCAGAAAATGGAGAAAGTTAAGGGAGCAGTAATGCAGAAAATGGAGAAAGTTAAGGGAGCAGTAATGCAGAAAATGGAGAAAGTTAAGGGAGCAGTAATGCAGAAAATGGAGGCAGACATAGGCTCTAAAGAGACCCCTCAAAAACGTGGTAGAGCGACACCCTAATATATATATATATATTAGTTTTAGCTACCATTTAGATGGAGATTTATGGGGTAGATAAACAACGCACATAGGGAGAAAACAAAAACAAACAATGGGAATATAATCGGGACAAATCATCTAAATTTATATTATATGTAGTATATACAGTATATAATATTAAATAATTATATATGTATTACATATGTATATATATATTTGGAGGACCCAATATGCAAAATTCGTCATCCTGAATAGCCGGAATTTATGCCTTGAAAAATCTACCCCTACAAGGATGATTTACATAATTAGCTCACCATAAGATCCTCACCATCATGGACCAAATGTGTGGGGCCACCAATTAAGTAAATGGCAGAATTCTGTGGTTTATGTTTAGATATGATCGAACTTTCTGGTTTCTGGTTGGTGGTGAAAAAAACATCTTGAAAAATATGAGTTCGTCAATGGGAAGGATGACATCCTATATATGAAATGGAAAATAAAACATGTTAGAAACCACCAAACAGGTTTAGTGGATGTTAGATGTTTGCAACCAGGCCGAAATTCAGACATATTCACGTTGCAACAGCCCTCTGGGATGGGCGAAACAAATATCCTCCGGTACTCAAACGTGGCAATGGGAAACCACCTATTAATGATTAAATGGAGGTTTTAATGGGACCAAATCATCTATCAACAGGGGGGTTCATCTTGATATTCCCGACTTTTGTACCAAGAATAAAGCCTGACACCAGTGATTGGGATGTTGCGATCACAACATGGATGGTGCAATCGAGCCTTAAGAACCTCTGCTGCCTTCTTTGCCACCTAGAGAAAGGCAGGAAGGGAGAACATGGGGAACTAATTAGATGACATGGTCAGAACATAATCTCTGATAAAAGGTAGAAACATGTCGTGTTGGGCCAACCATCCAAAGACATACATGCCTTTCTGATTCTGCAATGAAGCGTCCGGTGATGATTTCTTGCGGCACTTGATCAAACTTTGGGAAATGATCAACAAATACATAAGGTGAAACAGTTCAGTTCAGAACATCAAAAAATCCAGAAGCATCCAGAAGCTACAGATGAGTCACGCTTCAAGTCTCAGGTGTTTCATTCTTTAATGAGTAGAACTACTCCTGACGTTCTCCGGCAAAGCCCGACCTCAGCGATATCCGAAGGATCTTCACCAGGAAGCTTCAAGAGGACGAAGACCTGACGCTGACCCCAATAGATTCCTCGGGACATGTCCCTGTATTTATGGTGGACATGGGACATTAAAAAAACGAAAAGCATATGTTCAGCTTGTTCAGCTTAAATCCAAGGATATCATCCACATGGCTTTTCTATTTACAACTTGGACATAGTGAGATATACCATGATATACTGGGATATATTGGGATATCATTGACGAATTTGACATCTCCCATGGCACATCTCCCAAATCATTCGCTTAAGGCATCTTGAGGCCCCCCTGGCGCCTGCATCTGTCGGGCTCGTGCTTCTCCACCCTTGTCCTGTATGTCAAATGAGGCCACACAATGCCCCTGATTGCAGCATCAGCAAACATGCATCTACATGTTGGTTGACTGAATGAAGAGGCAGCTTTCTTTCGAACAATGCCTCTTCAACTATGTTAATTGGAATTCATCTTTGCTGCAAATGTCTTCACGCACAGCTCGAACACCTATATATATATATATATATCCGTTGTTGTTTTAATATGATGTTTAGTGTCCGAAACAACATGTTGGCCAAGTATGTTCCACTTTTCCCCATATCAACAATCTTAAATCCCATGTGTTTTCATATCTGTGCCCGTTTGAATCCTGCAAAAATCATCATAAGATGTTCCGTTCACACACGTTTAAAAGTTGTTCGCATGGATTTTTTGCGTGCATCCTGGCCAAACCCTGGCAAAATCAGCATTTTTTCCGATGTTTCCAATTTGTTTCCCCGCTTTGATCCCTGCTCAAATTCTGGTGAAATACTCATAAATCACAGAATTTCATGTGTTTTACCCCTCAAATCATGGTGAAGATGTGTGAAAATCCTGGCAAAATCTGAGACACATCCTCAAAGATTTCACGGGTTTCGGCCTTTCGCTTGAAGGCCTCACGCAGGGCGCGGTCCGCCAACTTGAGCGCCTTGGGCGCCTGGATGTTTTTGGGGAAGCAACAGCTGGAATGGATAAAACAGCATAATTTACTGTTCAGTACACTGGTCCTGAAATACGTTCCTTATTGATTGATATTTATGGATTCATAATCATCAAATGGCGTGGATTATCAACTATTGGCTGGATTGAGAATGCCATTACAGTATATATTATTGGCATGAATCTTGCTAATAAGTTGTGTTCATCAAGTATTAATTATACATTATTGGCTGGACTGTTTATCGTTATTCATGGGTAATGCACATTATATAATTACTGCCAATAATCAAATATTTGCTGGCTTGGGAATCAAGTATTATTGATAGTTAAGGTTCCTGACCATTGGTAATCAAGAATTGTCGATGATTATAAATTGATCGATGATATTTGTGCTGGGTTGATAATGAAACACTAGTTTGCTAGAAACAAATAGTAACAACACAATATAGTAATAACAATAAAATCAATAACCACTTGGTGATTATGACTATGTTTGTCCCTATTACTATTCAATTGCCCATGATAACAACTAGTAGTGAATATAGTACATAGTACTGTAGTATTACACTGACTACAAAATTTATTGTAACTATTATTAAAGTAGTAATTATGAATTATCATTGTTGTTATTAGTGCTTAGTAGCATTAGTAAAATACCAGTTTTTTATTGCCGAGTATCAAAATAATAAAAATAATTACCCTCTGGTAAATTAACATAGACCCTGGCAGATAGGGGTTGGAAGACTAGTTTCCATTAAAAATTGGTGATTTTCAGGGTCTATGTTTATTTACCAGAGGGTACAGTATATTATGACATATTATGACTATAGCACCCAAAAAAACACGAAAAGTGTTCCAGGATGTCAGTTCGACGATGTTTTCCTCCATAATTTCCAGCTTTTCAACTGTTCTATCTATTGCTGGGGTTGCTATATGGATCTATATGGACTTGTTTGAAAACAGGGTGCCCCAAATTCAAGTGATAAATAATTTTATTCTTTATCAACATTTCCATAAGAATTGAACATACCTCATTATCAGACAAACTCAACAATGGAGGATACGACATAACACATGAAATGAACCCTTTTCTATCTTTCTGGGAGTTGCTATCCGACATCATCTCCAAGATTCTCAGAATTTCATACAATTTCCCCATGTTCCCATGACATTCCCATCGCCAGCAACGCGGCACCTGGTCATTCTGCAGCAGGTTGCGCACTCCGCTGCACCAGCTGGGCTCCGGCACATCGCTCGGCGGATCCACCTGGTGAAGCCCACCAGATCTGGCCATGGCAGCCTCTAAACATGTGGATTTCCCGGGATTGAACCAACAATTATGATCAAGTATGGGGATTGTTCATGGGATTTTTAGCAACAAAAAAACATGTTTAAACATGTTTAATCAACAAACATTGGGGATTGAAGACTATAAATCCAAAACTAAAGCACTTTTAGGTGAATTTGTACTGATTGGTGATTTTCAAGCCCTCTGAAAGAAAAAGGATAGTCGATAGGGATCATCATCCTACAGTAAGTAGGATGGAAGCCAGGTAAGCAAACATGATACCACCAACAAAATTGAGATTTCTAACATGGAGATCTTGTCGTGTGTCGTGTATTGATGCTCAAAGAAAGATACTCAAAGTGGACTCTGGTGGATCTGATCTGACTGGCCCTCCACCCGACTCAACACCTCAGGGCTTTTCACCCGGATCTCCGACATGGCGACAAGAAGGTATCAGGCAAGGACGTTGATCATGTGTCCATTGTTGGTTTAAACCTACCCGAAACAGGGACAAATGTGGGCAGCTTTAGCAGTAGGAATTGCTGAACTTCAATGATTGTGCTGTCTGGATCAATGTGTAAAGGCTACATGATCCGAGTCATGTCCACCTACCGAAAAGGCTGCTCACAGATGGTTCTCCATAATCATTTGCAGTCATGGCCCTTTACCACTTATAAGTCACTACAACCCCATTATAACCACATGGTATGATAATCGCATTTATAACGATTTGAAACTGGTAAAGGGCTTTAACTGTGCGGGTCAACGTGATATCATTGATCAGCAAACGCAACTCCCAGGACCAATGAACAGTCCATATGGTTGGAATGGCCGCAGCCGTTCAGAAAGGCACAAAGCCAAAGGGCTGCGGCCGGGGTTTACCGAGTCTGATCAGGAATGGGATTTCCAGCGAGAAGAATGAGACTTTAGCATCAACCGAAGGAGCTCAAATAATAAAAAAGGTGGCCATTTGAGTCAGATTATCTCCAGCCACTCCTGAACAATTGGCTGCATGAAAGGTTCACTTTTGTTATTGTTGCCTGCATTTGCCACAGGGGATTGGTTGTATGATCCCTAGGTACCCATGAACGTCCATCCCCTCGTTCTGTGGATCAATTACACATCATTTTGCCAGTGTTGCCCTACGGTACTTAAGTCACTCAAGTGATTTTCCTGACCTCCAGTAGAAAATATATAGCATGAATATGGAACCCCCACCATCTGTAGATTGTTTTCCTTGGACAACCTATGGATGTTCATCATATCAGAATCATATTAATCTATATTAATCAACCTAGAGGGTATATATTTGGCTGCACTGCCACCTTTACAGGTGGATTGATCACCTACAAAATCAACGTGATCAATGCTGCCTGCTGCTGTATTGTTGAACAAGACTTACGCAACACTTATATCCATACATGAATATATGCAACAAAACATATCAATATCAATATCAGTATCAATATCAATAGAAATATCAATATCAATATCACATGTGTATACATAATATATACATATATATACATAGTGGAAGGCGCTGGGCCCTGCCCTCCTCTGGGCGCGTGGCAATCGCTTCAACTCTTTCGCAGCAGAGTCCCGCTTCTGGCTCCAGACTTTCCGTCTGGAGGATTGTTCTTCACCTGGATGATCAGAATATATCAGGAGGATCAGGAGAGGAGCATGGGGAGAATGATGAGGATCAACATTTTGGATCATTTTGCTAGTTATCATGAACCTATAAACTAACATAACTATGGAAAATCACATTTTTTAATGGGAAAATCAACTATAAATGGCCATTTTCAATAGCTATGTTAGTCATTACCAGAGTGTAATGATCATGATTCATGAGCCATCACCAGGACAGTCACATGGCATTGCGGCATACTTGGCGATGAAATGTGGATCCCTCCAGCAGTGACAGAAAACCCGTTTTTTTTGACCGTGGCAATTGGGGATTTTCTATGGCCGTGTTTGATTACAAAAGGGTAAATTCCCACATATCCCACCAAACATGTCTTGTTGAGAAACAGATCTCTCTCATTCTCTCCCATGATATATTCATTGTTTCTACTAGAAATGAGAATGTCTGGCATACATTTAAAAAAAAACTGCGATGTCTACTAGAAAGAAAAACACATATTGTTGAGAAACATCTCCCTAGTAGAGCTTTTGAAAGATGCTACCCTCTGGTAATTTAACAATTTGCCATTGAAAATGGTGATTTATAGTGGATTTACCCATTAAAAATGGTGATTTTCCATAGCTATGTGGCTGTTTACCAGAGGGTACAAGAAATGTCTCTTGTTGGCACCGCTTGTGACGGGTCACACCGCTTCAGACCAAGGTGCTGCTGTGAAGAAGCCGCCTTGGGAAGGCACGGATTGCAATTCGGCGACGCGGGAACAAACACGGATTGCTTAACAGACATAGTGACTATAGTGATTTAGTGGGATTTGACCATGTCAAATCATGACTTACTGGTGATTTATAATCTTCTTGAACGATTTGAACCCGAAGAAATTATATGTGCTGTCAGGTTGCCGATTAGTTGCAGTTCATCCTAATGGGAATCCCCACCATGCATGGCACATATGTCGTTAACTGGACAAACAAAGTCTGATATCGCAGAAGATATGATCATAGCACTTTCCACGCTATGCCCCATCTTCAATCACGCTCACAGTCCATTGTAACTTCCGAGGCACTTGTGCAGCTCCACATTTTCGCGCAGCAATTGCGGTTGTTCGTCGTGCAAGACTTCCAGCTCTGCGACTACTTCCTGCGACAATCTTTCCACAGAAGTGATGTGAAGGAGATTTTGTGTCCTCTTGATGGTTTATCCCATGCAGTGTGTAGGTTATATATATATATATACACCTTGTAATAACCCGTTCAGTACACAATTAATACATTGTACTAAACGTGTTTTCCCGCTTTGTAAGCCATTACAGGATGAGTAGCCTGAACCATTGGGTGAAACCTCAATAGCGCGGCTTCGGCAGGGAGTTGATTGGGACCAGTTGGCCTCACCCCTCAGCGTAACTTGGGACCAGCAAACAAAGTCAGGATGCAGGTTTTTCACCATTGATAAAAATACCATCATAAATACAGATTGGAGTATCATCAGTCATTCCAGTTCGTATTTAAGAATATCTAAGCAACTCGGGTCCCTACAAACTAGTTCTCGAAGTATGGGACCCAGTGGAGTGGCTACTACAGAATCTGCATACCCATGTATCTGGAACCTATCTATTCAATGTTCTTCAAACAGAAACAAAGTTGATTAAGTCCAAATTGAGATTTCTTGCCTCGAATCAGTGTCCATATGGCACCATCCTTGCCATCCTTTTCAAAGGCACTGCCAAACATCTTCCGATTTTCACGGACAACAAATATACCATCTGGTTATTTAACATAGCCATGGAAAATCGCCATTTTTAATAGGTAAACCCAGGTAAACCATCTATTTCTATGGGCCATCTATACCATGGCTATGTTAAATTACCAAAGGGTATATAGATAAGGCTGGGCGGTCTGGGAGTCCAAATCAATCCCAGCAAACTCCAAGGTGAACTTCTCCACAGGTTTGGTATTGATCGTGGATACCCTCCAGCAATCAAACATGGCAATGGTATTGAATGCTTTTGATATGCCCTTTTATCTTTTGATATCAATTACAATTCTTTAAAGCTGACTTTCCAAAAGGTTTGTATGGCAAACTTGCGTCCTGTGTTTGTGTCTCCCGCTTTGCTACAGCACGCTGTAGCACCCGGTAGGACCTCGGTACAGCAATGGATACGAACATGTGAACTTAAGTTATACAGTAAGTTTATAGCTAGATTGTTTGATATATAATCACTATAAACCCTAGTTCTATAGACTATTAGACTATTTAGACACCAAATTAGCTAGTGGTGCCATTTCCATCCATTTCCATCGTCATATTCACAGCTGAAAAACATGCTTCAGTCCATACATCCTCAATCTAAGTTCATATCCAATCATATACTGTACCATCTCTTTATGCTTCATTAAGGCTTCACAACATGCTTAACGACTTCAGTCTCCGGCAGTCTCCCCATTGTTTTTTGTCCACCGGGGAATCACCACTGAGGTCAAGGACTCAGCAGATTTCAGCAAGTCTTCCAAGAGGCGCTCCACCAGCGCCAAGGATTCCTCGCCGTTGTTCGGCTGAGATTTTCACCAGCTGATTGATGATTTATATATGGCAATCCCCGGCAATCCCCCGAAAGAACTGTATTAGTATAAGTACAATGATGTATAAGGTACGATTTTAGTACAGGATTTGACCAACTTGGGCCTTTCTTTGGGTTACTACATGTTACTACCTATAGTATACTTCTTTAAAATCGTTGTTTTCCGCTCGCTGAAAGGCTACTGTTTTCGGACTCAACCTGCCGGTGATGTGGCTGCTAAACCCGAAATGGTGTCCCTTTATAGTGGTTGGTTCATAAGATTTCCAAGTTTACAGATTATGATGATCCCCAATATTTGGGCGATATGTTTGGAGAACCCCATACAGATCCATACAGTCATCACCCGTTTCGGTTTTAGCAACCACTGCTCCATTGCTCGGCCAAAAGGGGCCTCGCTGAAAGGCTGTACATAGCTGAGCCCATTTAACTTGGATCTCAAGGCCTGAAGCTGCAGGAGCTGGCTGTTCTCACACAAAATCGGGAGCATCGGGAGCATATTACGCAGAAATCTGTTGGAGAAAGTTAGAAATGAGGGTTCACATACGGACCGGATTGTATAATATTGTATACTGCTACAGTCAGGGAGAGTATCTAAACTGAAGCTGTTGATCTATAACATCGGGCTTCGCCATTCAAAAAATGGCTATGCAAACAACATGTTGGGTTATTTGCATCCAGAAAGTTGGGGATGGTCACGCCCCCCAATGGCTTTACATTAGGGCTTCGCATAGACAATAGGTTCTAAAGGTGGTGATCCCATTTATGAATATTTATGATAGCTAAGCTGACGCAAATTTCTAGGATAAGTACATTGGTGTATGGTGTATGATAGATACAGTATACCTATAGCCTATAGTCTATTTTTTAAAAAAAAATAATAAATGAGTTTATAAACAGATCAAACATATCAAACATAACTCAGGAGGCCAACCTTGTAGGAATCCCAGTTGTTAGTTTGATGATCATCGCGTGAGAGCACCCTGTAAGATGGCTGGTGATTGACCAGACTTCCCTGAGGCACTGCTCGTGAAGCACGGCAAAAGGTATGGTGCCTATAGTGGAAATTGTTTACCTGAGGCGATTCAAGAAGCTCAGCTTCGAAAATTGACCATAAACCCATTTTGCGAAAATGATGGGCATCTGTGAAGTGCACCGCTTGAAATACACATTGCCGCAAACAACAGACTTGTTTCATATCAACAGTTTTTGTTATCCACATATTGCAATTCCAAACCGAGCTAGACTCCTGATGGCAATAGCAACAGCTCATTGGACTTCCCTACATGGATACCGTCATCAGAGGTGTTTCTTCCCGATACTTCGTTCATATCACCGGCTATAGGCTATTTCCAAACATGGTTTTTCTTCAGAAAATACCTGGCTGGTGGTTTTGACCCTTCCCAACATGTGAGTCGTCTCAACCAATCATTCCAAGTATGGTTGAACAACTGAACAACAACTTAAATATGAAAAAAACAATGAAATCCCCAGATTGCAAATGATGAATTTGTGGCTCGACTGGGATCCCCTGTTTTGGCTCGCTATTTCAGGGCCTGAAAAGCGGACAAAGAAGGTTTGGCCGGCGACCGTGCCATGATGCCATACGCACAAAGCTTGGCGCATCTGTAGAAGACCATGGAATACAATGGGTATGAATTGTGTAGTTTGTCGTACAATGTGGTGAGCCCAATAATATACCATCCCATGAGCCAGCCTGTTGTGTTTTTTTCCATCATCCCTAATGGAGGTCTCCGCAGACTCTGCAAAAAAGTTCATCCACCAACCTGAAATAAGTTCATTTTGGGATAGTTACCCATACCAACCATGATTTACAGGTCGGTGTGCTTCACCCAGAATAGTGCGAAAATATGTGAAGCTGATGTCCAATGAATGGCGGTACCATGTACTAAGACTCTGCTAGTCTCATGTGACCTGAGTCTTTGCATCTGGGCCTTGAGAAAAGAACAGCGAAAATTGGATCAGTGATGATCATGATCACTAGAACGAACATAAGGTGGTGACATATATTGAACGGCTATAGTTGATGTCACCATATATCTATCTATATATTTATTTATATTAGATGGTGTCCCATAATTTGTAATCCACTCAAAAAGCACTGCCTTCCACCAGCAGAAACCCGGCTGGCAGCCCAGCTTTAGGGACCCCATCATCTCATTGTTGCATTGAAGCCATAGGTGTTGGGCTCGTCGCAAACATAGAAAACTGGAGTATCAGTATTCTGCTTGATCACCAAACAACCACGAAGCAACACAACTTACTTTACAATCTCATGGTTTCTGATGATGGCAGTACCGTTCGTCATGTTTGCTCTGCAAGCTGTGCCCGTTTCGAACACAACACGTTTCTTTCTGCCCAGCGCAAGCAGCTCAGACCTGCTGGGGTAGGGGAGGGGATGAGAATGCCGCAGAAAAGTATCTGGCCTACCCGAGGTTGTATCTATGGTCAGTTTCAGTTTGGTGGGGAATTAAATAACGCATCACGAATGATAATGAACATATTGTCAATCGCAGATCAGATCAACATCTCATTTCCTGGGATGGAAAAGAACATGTAAGAAACCACAAACTCACTTTATAATGATACTATGGGCCTACAATCTGAAATGAACACGTTTGGGCATGCAACCAGTTGTTTGAGGCTATGACACCAGAGTCCAGCAAAATCAGTGCTGATCGATTGCAAAAACAGAAAACAGTGGGTATCCCCTGACCTTCCAACCACAAGTTTTAACGTCTGGTCAGTTTAACCCCATGTCATTTCACTGCCTATCACTGCCTTTTAAAGAGCAGAGGCAGAATCTTTGATAACATCAAGAATGCAGAAGAAACAATACCAGCCTTTAAGGGGTTACAAAAAGTTCCCTTCCCTACCGCTTGCCATTACTGAATCCTAAAGATAGCATCCATGACGCACACGCTCCGCAAAAAAAGTAGCGCGCAAAACGTCACACCAGATCTTCGATTCTACAAAAACTTTGGTCAAACCATCATGTGAGTCACACCCCCCAGTTTTTTTTTGTGGTGTTCATGGTCATTTCAGGCACTTTTCACGCTGTTTTGAGGCACTTTTCACACTTCAAAATGGGCCAAGCAAATCAAAACAATGGTCTAGAGTCTAGAAAAAAATGCGTCAGATTTTGCAAGTTGCACCTGGATCTGACCTCTTAGCAGATTCGTGTTTTTCCTCTGATACTGGCTTTACACCCAATCTTCATAGCAATACTTCCGCCCCAACTGCATTGGGACTGAGCCAAGACTGTTAGTCCACTCTCTGGACGTGAAACAGTTTGTGGCTAGATAGGTCTGATTTTCTGCAGTCATCTAAACACAAGGTTCAACGGTGTGCGTAGTAACCCCACAGTTAAACGTTGCGGAGGAAGGTCAGGGTATGAAGGAGCTATTCATCAGCAAACTACTAGCAAAGCTACGCAAGGTTAGACTGATCGATCATGTGTGCAGTTCAAACGCGGAAGACCAAAAGAACTACTTCAAGTGTGGTCTTGCTTTTTTTCGTACTGAAACATGCAAATCCATGCAAATTCAGAATGGATAATCTTCAGATTACCCCGTTAATCGATAGTACGTCCCTGGGGTGTTGCTGATCATTTAGTGCATGCTCCTATAGGTCACTGACTGTAGGCAGCCCAATCCCGCGCCGCACCGTGAAGATTCTTCCAAACGATCCATCAACGGCCTGGAGGCGTCCAGCAACAAAGGTCAGGTGTGGTGGGCGACCCCAATGATGCTGTGGAAGTTCACTGAAGTGTCCAACTGATGAACATCCAAGTTTCGGGATACGCACTTTTGGCAAATCACAATCACAGCGGAGGACTTGTCATTGTTTGCTGAATTCATGAACATGAAAGTTGCTGTTGGATCTTATGGGAATTAGATCTGACTGATTTTTACGGGTTTCGGGATCAAGACTTTCAGAGAACAAGGTCATCATTGACTTATCTTGCGAACCTAAGCGTGCACAACGGTTAAATGATATTAATTTGTACACTTGCAGGCTTTGAAATCTTTCAAAGAGTTTTGCTGGTTCACCTCTGTCAGGCGCACTGGCTCGTGTCAGATTTTGTCAACACCGCTGCGTTTCATTTGTCAAGAGTCTTTTGTCAATGGTTTTGTGTAGGAACAACCTAGTTCAACGTAGTTTAAGAGATCTTTGGTAATGGTCAACCAAATCCAATATTCTATGGGAGATTTCACTCGATGTATGACCAACATACTTCTTACGGTCCAAAAACCCGCCCCGAAAGAAGCGCCCAGAGTCCAGTGGAAGGGGTGGAGGTGGAAGGATAGCAGGTCAGGTGCCATTTGCACGAGAGTGACCAGTTTGAAAAAACACTGCCGATAGATCGACACCAAGCTGGCTTGGAGTTGGATGCAAAGCCTTCAATACACACATCATGATTTATATGTGTTGTTGATATGTCCCAATTCAAATTTATCTATAAAACCATGTTGCCCAACTATCTATCTATCTATCTATCAATCTATCTATCAATCTATCTATCATTATCTATCATTATCTATCATTATCTATCATTATCTATCATTATCTATCATTATCTATCTATCTATCATTATCTATCTATCTATCATTATCTATCTATCTATCATTATCTATCTATCTATCTATCTATCTATCTATCTATCTATCTATCATTATCTATCATTATCTATCTTTATCTATCTATCATTATCTATCTATCTATCATTATCTATCTATCTATCTATCGATCTATCGATCTATCGATCTATCGATCTATCTATCTAAATATATCATATCATTAAATATCTATAATTATCGAAGGAAGTTTAGAAGCTAAACTTCCGACAATATGGACAGTTGAAACGCAGAGCAGGGAAGAGGCAGAGAGAAGAGAAACGATAAGAAGAAAGAAGAGGTAGATGCGCGAAAAGATAGGAAAGTCGCGATTCACTGTGTTTTTCCAATGATTTGTGGCTCCGGAGGGTCGAAAAGTAGGCTCGCTAAAGCAGCGGGTGCGGAGCCAGCTGGCCAGATGAGACATGAAAAAGTGCACGCCGTTGTGGCGCGAAGCACATTTCCAAGTCAAAATGGCCAAAACACTAGAGGAGCGGACCACTTTTGGAAGTTGCGATGTCGAAAAAGTGCACGCCGTTGTGGCGCGAAGTACATTTCAAAGTGAAAATGTACAAAACACACCATTCTCGGAGCACTTTTGGAAGTTGAGATGTCGAAAAAGTGCACGCCGTTGTGGCGCGAAGCACATTTTGAAGTCAAAATGTACAAAACACACCATTCGGACCACTTTTGGAAGTTGAGATGTCGAAAAAGTGCACGCCGTTGTGGCGCGAAGCACATTTCCAAGTCAAAAGTGTTAAAAACTGACGGTCTCGGACCACTTTTGGAGGTCGATGTCGAAAAAGTGCACGCCGTTGTGGCGCGAAGCACATTTCGAAGTCAAAAGTGTAAAAAACTGAGGGTTTTGAGCCTTTTTTGACGTGAAGATGTCGAAAAAGTAGACACTGATTAACTTAACTAACTTGACTAACTTAACTAACTTCACTAACTTAACTACCCTAACTTCGACGACAACAGCAACAGCAACAGCAACAGCAGCAACAACAACAACAACAACAACCAAGAAATGTTACCCATCCCTCCGACGTGTCTGCCTCGCGGTGTCGCGGCAGCTTGGTCCTAGCAACAGCGGACAGGAATCGTCGGCTGCCGCTGTGCTGGCGTGCGCCATCATGCCGTCAGAAGTACAGAAAAACATGAAGAAATGTTACCCGGCCCATCCCTCCAACGTGTCTGCCTCACGGTGTCGCGGCAGCTTGCTTTGTCCTAGCAACAGCAGACAAAAAGGCAGAAACACACAACCACCTTTCAATCCATCAGTGGGTTCGCTCTGCCATTTTTGCGCCACAGCAACACGCTTCTCCTATAGGTTTCCTATTTTTGAAACTTCCGCCACCGCCTTGTGCGGTACTACTGGTATACTACTGACATACAGTATACATATGATATCTGGTGCCCGGGGCCTGGCGATGCTGCTGCCAGCTTCGAGGCACGCATCCGCCGCTGCGCTCCAGGCGTCCACGCCAGGCACGTCAGTCCTCTTCAGTGTTGCAGCCGTAGGCGTCGTGGGGGAGGTCATGGGTGAATATCTATTATATAGATAATTATGTAAAATAATTATATAGATGTATAATATATATTATATATATATAGTCATCACATTGTATATCCAAGAATATCTATGATTCAATGTGTATATATATATATAATAATAGTAATAATAAATAATACTATATAATGTATATATAATATAAATATATATATACGTGATGTGTATAACATATTCATGGATCTACATCAATGTGCCAGAATTGTTCAAATACGTTCACCCCTTTTGATCCGTCCCAGGGATTGAAACACGCATAGTTGAAAACCAATAAACATTGATAATCCTCGTTTTCAGTACCATTCTAGCAAAACCTTACCCATATTCCAAGGCTGTTCATATTCCATGCCAAAATAGCTCCGGAAATTTGGAAAATAATGAACGACCTTTGATGATGAGAATAAGGTTGTGTGACCCTTGTCAGGCGCTCCCTTGTCACGTGCTGTCATGTCCAATCGCCAATCGCACATGTTTAACCCCGCTGAGAACCTTCTCAAGCAATGATTTCTTGAATAAACATAATCATAAAGTCTTGTTTCTCTCATCAATCATCAACTTCTCTCTAGGATCTTTTAAGACCATTGGATAAGCTGTTCAGCTTATTTTTTGACGCGTTTGGCTGGCGGCTCAGCTTCCGCATCTGTAAACGGGGCCAAGTCTGGATTACGCTGTTCTTCCTCGAACCCAAATGGTACCATATTTCCACTTAATACAGTTACATTGAGTAGGATGCCACCCCTGGAGTACGATGCCCCCCCCGTATGCGTTGCCGTTCCTGCATGTGGGCTTCTCAGGCATATGTCAATATCATTTTTGACCAAATCGAGGCTGCAAATTCCATTCCACATACCCACAAGGCATCACACTCTATCGCGCACGACTAAGACAACAATCGAGAATTTCCATAGCCTCCACAGGTCAAAAGTATCAAAATTTCATGGAATGCGATTGTATGCGCGACTGCTCAAAACGCTGGAAAAACAACAATTTCCCCCATATTCCATATTATCAGATTCCAGAGCATTTTACCTCCGAAGAGGAAAAAAAATAAAAAAAAACTCTTCAGGTCAATTTTTTGAAAAAAAATGTTTTTGGCTGTCTGCGCAAGTTTTTCGGGTGTACGATCCCTTTTGTGGAGTACGATGATCTGTGAGTAGGTGTGTGGAGTGCGATGGGGTCCTCTGTGGTGCGATGACACCCCTCGAGTGCGATGCGACATGAGTATGCGCGGCCGGAAATCCCCTGAGAGAAGGATTCTGGGCCACAATTCCCCAAATTCAACAGAGCGAGCGGATGCTGGTTGTTGTAATTTAACAGGATTTCAGCCCACTCAACAAACAAGTCAAACAATATTTTGAAACCCTCTCCTTCTTCAGTCTCCAAAATGGGAAACTCACTTATCAGGACACGCTTTAGCTCATCCAGGCTCCATAGCATTTCAGGAACAACACAAGGCATCGACATGGTGCCAAACAATTTCCAAATTGAGCTGAAAGGGTCTTCCCATCGCAACCAGTCATTTCACAGGTGTGAAACATGTCACACACAGGGAAACAGGTTGGGAAAACAGTGGGTCCAAAGAGACAGGTCTGGAGTACGATGGATTCATAGTATATGTACATTTTCTGAATTTGGGTAACTTGGAGCTAGAACCATATGTTCTATAGTTTCTTTTGATCCATTTCATTTTTCCCTAAACCCATATGTTTATCTGATCCATGGTCATCTATGTATTAAAAAAAATCAAATAATTTCATCAATCGTTTTTGTATCCATAATAATAATAAGTCCATCAGGTAAAGATATATCTCCATCATACATCAGCTATTTTGTATGATTTTTCATTGGTTACCCTCCAGTATATTAACATGAGGACCCTACCAAGATAGGGGTTGGAAGATTAGTTTCCACTCAAAAATGATGATTTTCAGGGTCTATGTTCATTTACCAGGGGCTAAATCTTTATTTGTTCCCTAGGGCCCTAGCCTGCAACGTGCCCCTTTTTCAGCCTGGACATCTGCAGCAGCAACTGCAGGATGATGCGCCATCGCTGGCCATTCAGGGCCCGGCAGGAGCCAAGGAGTCCGTTGTACGTGACCTCTTCCGGTGAAGGCATGAATGGCACATTGGAAGTCCCTAAAGAAAATTGGAGGTTTTAATGGAAGGAAACACATCCGTAAATGGAGGTTTTAAATGGATTTTTTGTGGGTCATATCCCCTGTGGCCAGAAAAATACCAGTCAGAAGTCAGTAGGTCACCCGATTAGAAGCCCCGCAAATTGAAATGATAATCCCATAATTTCATAAAAATAAGTAGTATTTTGGGCTTTAACTGCGGGCATCCCCGAAGAAAGACTGGAGGTTTTAATGGTTCAAAAAACATCTTGAACATAAAATGGATGCTTAAATGAGTCATATCTGGCAATGACTAACAGTTTGCGTCATGTGGCGCCATTGGTGGCCTGTTTAGATTGATGATTTACCCAGCAGAAATTCATGGAATCCCGGCCGGTGTAGTTCCCGTGTTGAATCATTCGTTGGCATCATGTAATTGGCATGTCCCTTGGCATGTCCCATTCCGATTCATGGGCTAAATTGGCTAAATAATTTAAATTGAATAGGATTTTTAGTGAAGACTAAATGCTATTGATTATCATGAAATCATGATCAAACAACAATGGGATTTATACTGGAATTGTACCCAATAATGAAAAATTGTAGGGATTAACCAGTGGATTTGGGGATTGTGTATATAGTATGTATCTGGATGAATCATAATAACTCAATAAAGAATCATATCATAGTATGGAAAATGAGTAATCAATTTAGGGAAACAAAAAAAAACATATCTTAATCTGGTGAGTTTCGGGAATTGGCTATCTCCACTAGGGAACCATGGCGAAAAACCAACATGTTACGTGCATCACTAGATTCACAAGTGGATTGTATATCCAATGGATGAATCTGGGAATGGTTGATGTCCGTTGTTGTTGTTTTTGCGACACCTGAATTATGATGGGATTTTGATGGTACCAGTATGGAGTTCCCAACTGCTGTATCTTCCATTGGAACACTCAGCACCTGAAGCAAATCTGAGCGTAGGTCGGAGGTCTTCCCACTGATGGAAAGTCATGAAATCCATGCAAAGCTACGCAAGCTGGAAGAAGTTATACATGCCACAGCCTCAGGTCGGAGTATGTTCTTTACACATGTTGAAGCCGCAATTTTGATGGGAGATATTGATGATAAACCAGTGGTTGAGGGCTTTCACCTAAATTTTCGGACACCCCCTTCGGCAATCTATTGACCGTGTCATGCATCACCCGGTGGCGCACTCAAAGCCCAATTCATCAAAGTCCCCAGGCCTTGTCAGGTTTCACCATTTGCCTGCAATCTGAGGAGCTTTGCCAAGTGGTGACACACAGATATGAATCATATAAGATAGGAACATTGTAACATATAGGAACTATAGGGCCACCTTGGCCATCACAATACAGCACCCACGTTAAGTTGTACAGGCACACATCAGCACCCAGTCGGGTAGAGGGTGGGTGTGCGAGTTGCATTGACGGTCAACATGTGATCCAGGTCTTTCTGGGATGGTTTTTCCCCTTAAAAGCTGTGGCTACAGGAATGGACAAGGAATGGGCATTGAAAGGCATTTGGGGATATTCCAGCTTAGTCGAGATGGACAATGGACGTGTTCAATCCAAATGTCTTAGCTCTCGTCTAGTCCATCTTGACAAATGAGGCAAGGAAAGAAACCACATGTAAGATATCCAAGTATATTCAAAAACATGTGTGTAAAGGAAAACAACAAGATCCTAAATCACACTTGAAATCATGTCGGAGAGTTCCCTCAGTACATAACTATATCACTACGGTAACTACAACTAAATATACCGCTTTTTAACCATACGAACTGGTATCTGGTATTTTAGACTAGCTCCTGGAAGGTGTTCCTTGGCCCCAGCCATTTCAACAGACCGTGACCGGTTTTGCTTCCCATCCAGAAAGGTGATTCCGCCCAGCGACCCAAGAAGCAGAGCTGTTTCCCAACGAAGTGCCTGACAGCTGGCTCCCGGCAACGAAAACTCACCGTGCTGACCATGTGCAACGCGTCAAAAAACATGGAGGCAGCCCCCAAAAAATCGTGTTCCTATAGCGACCAATAACTTGGACTATGCCATCGGGACTCCAATTGTATCCAATTGTTGGGAAAGCGCCAGGGTTTGAAGAAGGATTTCTCCATTGGTCACGGCGCTGCAAAATCATGACGTGCGTGATAGCTTGGCCATACATGTCTGGCTTTTTAGCTTGCACAGTCAGAGTGATGGACAACAGGACGAAAAGCAAAAGTGATCAAGAGTGGACATGTTACACACCGAAGCGAAAACCACTAGTAAAAAGTCAAAATCATCGAACATGATTATCTAAACACCCAAGCAGTAGAATAATCTGAAGCTGAGAGGATATGCTGAAAATTTTCTGGGGTGCCACGATGTGGCACACCTGAAATGATTCGGGAGTTCCCTGGAGGTTCTCTCAAAGTTGAGGCTTCTCCTCTTCCGGCTAGTGGCTTCAATTCGCCTCAAACGACGTACTGATTTTGGATTCTCATTCCACATTCGAAGGTAGACGTGTTTAAAACCACTGATACCACTGGTACATACAATTGCCCAATATCACACTGTCAGTTGATGTCGATCCAGCTTGCACACATATCTGACCAAGAAATGGAATCTAAATACTCGCTGGAAGCCTCCATGTTTTGAACGGGCAGAAACTATGGTTTCCTGGAAAAATTACCGGGCGAAACCATAGAAAAGCTTCAGTGAGTCTGACCCTCAAAAATGATTCCGCCACAGGCTGAAGGCAGCAAGCCTTTGCACACGCACTGATGCAGGCATTGCTGATGTTCAGCAAAGCACCTGCAGCTGGTCGCAGCTGCTTGGGAGGCCTGCTGTTATTTCCGTTTCGCCATGACAACCTTTCCGAATGGTGCAGTTGAAAGTGAAGTGAGTGCATTAAATATCTGTTTGGAACATGTTACAGTGTGGATTCAAACAGATATAAACAAAAGACATCGAGGAACACAGCACCATCAAACTCTGCAACAAACTGGTCATCCCAACTGGGCGTCCTTCCCACCTCTTTTGGTTTCTGGGATTCTCCTGCGAAAGGTGTCAACATGACTGAGATGAAAAGGGTAACAGCCTGGGGCATTGAACAAATATCGAAGACATTGGTCATGGCTCTCAATGTGGTTCAGATTTTCCCAATTCATCAGATACAGTATATGTTCATATATATTTGCATAAGTTTACACCATTCTGTATGCCGGTTACAATCTAGCATGGCGGTACATGTAAATTTGGTTTGTGGAGGATGCAAAGTGTCTATGGAGTGAATACGTCCATTCAAACTGATGAGAAAAACGTCGTCCAAACATGTCCAAACAGCTCAGCAGGTACAGGTTGGTCCTGGGGGTTTTGCCCCAATGAACTCAAAATGGGCATGATAAAGTAGACATCATGTCTAACTTTTGGATCTGTGTAGGATGCAACTCATTTACGAATCATGATGTTGCTTGGAATCGGAGTGCCCCATGATCCAATGTTTGTATGGATCAAAGGGTTACATATATACCGAACTATATATATACATATAATTATATATATTTATAAAGAGAAATACGTGCATAAGATTGCATAACTAGATTCATACTTAGTAGATTTGGTTCCAAAATCATACCTGCATATGAGCAAATAAACAAATTGACCAAATTTGAATAATCGCTTAAAAAACTGTATTACGAATATACGTATATAATACAAAAGTAGTACACCATCTAAATGCCATCAGTGAATGGTATGGAATGGTGAATCACCCTTTCCATCTGACTTTCCATGCGATCTGCGTCCTCCGTAGTTCAGCGAAGATCCACAAAGCCCAGCCTCCAGTGTCCAGGACTCCGGTCCAATCCAGTTTCTTGTTTGGTCGGGGAGGTAGCATTTGACCACGGAACATGAGGCGTGCATCTTGCAATAAAACACACGAAGACTGCAACCACCACGATGCCCCAAGTTCCCGCACTCCATTGGGCACGTTTTTCGCAGGCACTCGCCTCTGAGGCTACCAATGGGTGGCACGCTGAGTCAATTCGCGAATGCCAGGAATAAACCCCCCCAAAAAAAACACGGTTACAAGACATTGCAACATCTAATGTCAAACAAAAAATTGGTCACTTCCAAAGTTTGATATTTCAATCTGAAGGTTTCCTAGTATGGGTACCCCAAATCATCCAAGTCAGACCATGACTTGGTATTGAAACCCATGGTGACTTGGCGATCCATATCTGAGGCGTCGGTTTCTACCCGGCGCGCCGTAGCATTGAAGCTGACCACATCCGGAGTCACATGATGCTGACCTGGATCGGCTGCAGGGGCACGATGCCATGGCTATCTTCCAACGGAATCGCGGGATTCTGCGGGAAACTTACCCTCTGGTTATTTAACATAGCCATGGTATAGATGGCCCATTTATAGATGGTTTACCTATGAAAAATGGTGATTTTCCATGGCTATGCGGCTATGTTAAATAACCAGATGGTAGGTTTTTAATCAAATCAAACAGTTTGTTTCATGGCAGAAAACATGATTGAAATCTAGTGACCAAGATTGAGTTAAATGGTATCGCTTTGACAAAACTGAAGCAGCAGTTTTTACAAACAATTATTTACACAACATGTTTCAATCATTCTGGATTCTGCATCATCATTAAAAAATATGTTGATTCTCAAAACCATCAGTGTTAAGTCGTCTCTTTGCCGCTTAAAGATTTCGAGTCACGGTTCCAGAACCGGCCGATAACATGGGGAAGTGGACCATGGGGCGTATCAAAAAGGACCACCTTTATATATGTCCATATCCCCACCATGATCGGTTTGTTAAGGTCTTGTACTTAATGCTTTTTGAAAAAAACGCTTCTCGAAAGATTTCTCGATCCACTTTTGCTGATCAAATCACCAGCTAAGTCAATTTAGATAAAACAATGATAACACTAATCCAGATGTTCCATCAAAGACCTCCACCACTTTCACAATTGAGGAGTGTTCAAAACCCCTGTTGGTTGATGATTAGTTCGCGGGTTCTACTACCCTTGATACTTCTTGGGGGATATTGTCATCCAGCTGGGAATCTTCTTCTGGACTGAAAAGAACTGATGGTTTCAACACCCCTTAATCATATCGTCAGTGGGGACCATCATCCCGCTCCTAGGGTCCTAGGGTCCTAGGGTTAAGATTTCAAAAATGAAACGACCAACCAGACAATCATTGGGTATCCGTGTCAGCTAGATGGTTAAGTAACGTTAACTCATGTTAAATCTCAGTGTTTGCTGGTTAAATGCTCATCATGATGTCATTGTGCCTTGAAGTCCCAAATCTCAACCGCAGCCACTGCTCAGTTGGATCAAACATTTATAGATGGTAATTCTATCAAAGTAATGCAATTTATATTTATATCCCCATAATTTTCATAGTTAGCATGTTGAGGCTACGTTTGTAGCCAAGGACCCATAGTTTATATAGCATGTTGGTATATATAGTTACCCTTTGGTAATTTAACATAACTATGGAAAATCACCATTTTTAATGGGAAAACTCACTATAAATGGCCATTTTCAATAGCTATGTTAGTTTACCAGAGGGTATATAGTATAGGACAAGGACCCATTGTTTGTAGCCACGGCGGATGAATCCATCCATCAACAGCGCCAGTATGTTCCGAACTCATCATCTCCAGCAGTTCGATGGCAAATTCCCAACGCTGCGCCTGGTGAATTTTGGTTTCATGAAAGTCACGAAATGATGGGGATCTGTTTTTGCCAATTATCATAAACCATTTAAATATGTTTAAATAAGAACATGTTATATGTTATAATTGCATGAATACAGATATAGTTATAACATGTTATAACATGTTTTAAATATAAGAAAACTACTGGGAATACCATCTACCAAAAATTGGGATAACGGCGTGTACTGTAGCAGGGTATTGTGAACCAAAAATTAACCAATTGGGGAATTAAGAGCTATGGTTGGGTTTGGCCAGAGATGTGGTAGACCCCCAAACTGCAATTTTGATGAGAACAATTATGATACATCACTGATAAACGGTTGCCGGTAGCCTAGTCGATTCTAGTCCTCTTTTCAAGCAAGAAACAACAGCATCTATATATATATAACATCTATATATATATTAGAACAAAGCAGGGACACAAATTATTTTCATTTGTTTCTGCATGGGTTTCTTATGACTGGTATGATCATGTAGACAACGCTGTCTAATTTGAGCAGCCTCAACCTTGGATTGACAAACCTTTGGGTTGTTTCATTAATCCCCCATGTTTCTCAATTCGAGGGTTGGCATGACACACGCATACACATAACAATGTATTGCTATGATTCTAGCATTCTGGGGGAACGGCTGCCCACAACCAGTACGCCATGGTTTTCTCTTTTTTTGTGGTGCAACAGGTCACCGGATTTGGGTAGGGCCATCCGTGGGTTTTGCGAAGCCAGGGTCAGTTGGTTCAATCCCAGGCATTTGGCTGGTGGTATCCCCTAATTCTCTTGGTGCCACCGCTGAGAAATCTTCGGTATTCACCATGCTGACTCACGTCACGAGTGAGGGATTAAAAACATATTCCGGATCAAACAAAATAAAGCACTGATATCAAAAAAAAACTACAGACATATATTTCAATGGTGGGTTGGAAATATTTTTTTGGATCCAGAATATGTTTTTTTTGATCAGGCAACGCGCGGATCGAAATGCTCTAGCTCGCCACTCGAAGGCATCAAAACAAACTATTTCAGACAGAATAGACTTTGATGTTTGGTCTAGATTGCCACTTGGAGAGGCTACCCAAAATATGAATCCATTTCGGGTTGGTTTATGATTCATTGATGGTTGTTTTAGGGTCTAGTTAGGGTCATTTCAAGCTGACATTTGATCGGTGCGTGCATGTAAATGGTTCAAAATATGCATGTTATACCCATATATTATATACTTATATTTGATACTATATGATCATATACACAGGGCAAGGGATCAACAAAATGTTGCTGGGATCAGACATATTCGCAAGAGATCAAGAAAAATGATGTATATAGAACATTAAATGTACATAAAATATGTGTATATATATAAATATAAATACACACAAAATTATATATATATGTATCATATGGTATATATTAAATATGTATATGTATATATTCTACATATATATATATATATGTATATATTCTAGAAATAAATAAATATAAATATATATATATATATGTATGTATGTATATAATTGTGATGCAATTATTATATTATATACATAAGATATATATATATATAATTTATATTGTATACATATAGCTACTTGTGCATATAATATATATATATAGAGAACGATATATATATATATATAGACATTAACAAAATATCTAAACACATAAAACAAAAAAAGAGATATGTGATATGTATACATATATAACAAACATGTATGTATAACATATGTATACATAATATATATGTATATATACATGCAGAGAAGTGTATTGCAAGTGTGCAAAGTAGAACTCGAACGGAAAACAAAAAACGGGAGGGGTGGAGCAGCATGACCATACCTGTTTTCGCAGGCAATGCTGTAGTTTGAATATGGTACTCAATGTGTTTTTAATGCCCGAACATGCCCCTTGTGAACATGTAGGATGTAGGCTGGGGATGGTTGAGGCACCGGTGTTGGGTGAAAAACGGCGCAAATAGTTTCATTGAATGTTATGACAGTGTCGGTTAAGGATTTGTTTAAAATCGGTTTAAGGTTATCTAGGGTTGGCTCTGGGGTTCTTTAGGCTTGGTTTGGGGTTTCTTTAGGTTTGGTTCAGGGTGTTTCTAAAGTTGGCTCAAGGTTCTTGTTGAAGGTTGGTTTAAGATCCAGTTGAAGTTTGTTTAAGGTTGGTGGCAGGCTTTATTTAGGGATAACATATGTGCATATAAAGTACCTAAAAAATCCTTAAAAAAATGTGCATGTGTAAACATAAATATGCTTAAATGTATAATATGATTATGTAAATATATCAATATTGAATATTATTATACGATATTCCTTCCTTCCTTCTTTCATTCCTTCCTTGCTTGCTTGCTTCCTTCTTTCCTTCCTTCCTTCCTTCCTTCCTTCCTTCCCTCCTTCTTTCCTATTTTTTCATATAATATTTATTTATTTTTTTCATCCGGAGTATTTTTTTGAACCATATTTTTTTTTGATGCAGAAAAAACATATTTGTTGCCCCCTATCCCTCACGTCACCCAGTGCCACTTTTTTGAATGATATTGAGTACATTGACCAATGTACTAGTTTTAACATGTTTTATCTTATACTTATACATACAACTAAGCAGGAAGTAAACACAGTCGTACGTATTACTCTATGATAATTGTCAGTGAATCTCTATTGACTGATGCATCAAGAGCCTCTTAGCTTTAACAGCTCGCAATTGAGTTTCATGGGGCCAAATACGGCTTTGTCTCAACATAGGGTGCCCCCCAGCAAAAAAAATAGCACATGGTGGGTGCATTTTCCTAACACTCAACATGTTCCGCATGAAAATTGACGTGCATCATTTCCCCACCTACCAGGTAAGGCGTCTAGATTTTCACAGAACGACACAGACAGCGAGCTCGCCAGCTCTGTGGGATTCTGTGGGGACGAACCCTGTGGCGAGCTCGCTGGCTCTCTGGGCTTGCCGGGCCCAAACCTCATGCCAGATAGAATGCTAGATAGAATCTCAGATTGAATGCCAGGCTTTTTCTCAGAATATATTCCAAGGTGGGGATCACCTGAGGAACGCATTTTTATTTTTAATGATGGGGTACCCTCCAGCGCCTTCTCACAGGCGCTGATGGTGGCATTAAAAGCCACCAAATCCTGGAGTTCACCCGGGACCACCAAATCAAATGTTTAACAAACACCTGAGGTCTACAAGTTCAAAAAAAAAACATGTGCAGCATGGATGGGATAATGGAAATTATATTCTATAATCCACACATGTCAAATTACTACAAAGTTGGAACAATATGTCCGGCATGGATGATTAATATCCAACGTAAACGAGGCCTACATTATTGTAGAGTAGTTTTTTTTGAAGATTGGGGGATAGAACCAAGAACTAAGGATCATGGTACGGATGCGAAACAAACGCATGGTTATATCGGGTATCTATACCGTAGGACAGAGATTTACGAACATTTGTACAATGGGGGAAACCAACCATAAAATGGCGATAGAGAGGGATATTCATGGGGGGGTTCCAAAGTCATGGGGATACCCCCAGCGATCATCCATTCTGCCTCGGAAAATGAGATGAAAACTCCACCTTTTCTCCTTGCTGGTTTGGCCAGATCCCCTGCGAACATTTCAAGTTTTAGTATGTTTTAGCATGTTTTGGTGGGTGTATGGTATTTGTATCGTTATGGTTATGTATAGTTGTGTGGTTATCTAACCCCAAAAGCTCAGTTTTAATATTTTTTAGATTGATTGAATTCATCCTGGATTCAGAGGCGCTCTCTCTTATCCGCAAACACCTGACCTTCACCAAACAACCATTTTGCTTGGTGAACGATTTCTTCAACCATTGAGGACAGAATCCCTTCTGGGGAGCTGGATTTTTGGCTTCCTTCCACCGTCCCCCCAACTGTCCGGCTGCAATTTTACAGCCCAAATCTCTTCCAGCAACGCCCAGGCTCCCTGTAGCTGTGTGATCGCTGCTGTGGACGTTTGTGTGATCAATCTTGTTTGGAATCACCAAGGAAGCCTTTCCATACCATGGCCAACTTCCAACATGCTGCAACAAAAAGGGTATCACAGTATGCATATGCATATGGGTTCCCATCATGGTGGAATTGACTGTATGTCGCTTTTTCCTCTTTTGGCAACATTTGGCAACCCATATATTTACAGTCAATTCCTCATTGAAAGTCTGCGTCGCACTAAGAAAACTATTCCGAACCCATGCATATACCATTCACCAAGGGGGTGGTACCAAAAAGGAATACTTGTGGTCTTTCTACAAGATTTCTGCCATGGCTGGAAAGGATGTTAAACTCCACTAGGAATTCATCAGCTTTCAACGTTCTGTATGTTCTGTGCCTTTTCCCGGTCTGTTCTGTGCTGGAAAACCCAAAAAGAGAACCTTGGATCAATTTGGCGGGTCCATTGATACCCATTGGCACCCCAATTTTTGAGCCATGATCATGTAAATGTTACATCCCAATCATTGTTATCCAAATGTAAACCATGATACTGGAATATTGCCAGCGTTTGCGCCTGCCAGTGGCGCCCTTTTCCACAAGCCTTGGCACTCAGACCCAAGGCAGCCCATCCAGGGAAGACAATGGTTGTTTGGATGAATAAAACAAACAAAAAACATGTGTTTTTGTTCCCCTCCTTTGTTTGCAAATCAAACTTCTTTTGGAGTCATAGTCCATCTATGTTTCCAAACCACAATATTTCAGAGTTTGACCACTTGAAGCTACACGAGTTCATGGACTTTCCATTAGTCTCCTTGCTGTAGCCGCAGTCGCATTTTTGGATGAGTGCCTGTCACATTTCAACCATTTCCGACCAACCTTAGAACCAAGGCTCTATCGAGTCCGGTTCGTTATTGGAGTGTTCATGGTGCATAGCTACAAAAAGGTGAAAGTAATATATGAGTGAAGAAAATTGAGAGTGAGTAAATGTGATATTGGAAATTCTTGGGATGTTCAATTAAAACTGCTATCGGCCGAACACATTCTGGTTGGTGGTTGACCAACCCCTCTGAAAAATATGAGTTCGTCAATGGGAAGGATGACATCCCATATATATATATATATTATGGAAAAATATGGAAAATAAAATTCATGTTCCAAACCACCAACCAGCTCTTAATGGCTATTAATGGCTATTAATGGTTATTAATGGTTCATGGTTGATGATGGTTGAACACACTGATATATCTATTACCCTCCGGTAATTTAACATAGCTATTGAAAATGGCCCATAGAAATAGTGGATTTACCCATGAATAATGGTGATTTTCCATAGCTACGTTAGTTTACAAGAGGGTATATTCCATCTTGATCCGTCGTATCTTAATTTCAGCAAAGCATCAACCGGAGACTGACATCAAACGCTCTCGGGTTTTTGTAAAACATCGATGCTTCAAAGGCTCGGCACATCTCGGTTGGTCGAATGGGTTCCCAACACATAACAGGGCACCAACCAGATCTGATTCAACATTTTGGGCGCCAGATTCGGGCAGATTCAACATCTTTATCGCGGTAGGTTTGATTCATTCCCATATATTCCCATGTTGGTGGACTACACGCATGGAGCAACCATTCATTGCCTGCCAGCATCAGAATAAATTCATCCCATGGTGAATCTTAGATACAAGCACCGTAAGTCACATCAGGCGGGGAAAAGTCACAACATCTCCATGTCACAGCGGTGATACAGAAAAGTCACGTCAGGGAAGAAGAATCACCATGATACAGCCTGTTTCATCTGTGGTGATGCCAAAATTGTTTTTTTTCCAGGCGCACGGACTCCCGATGCGACTTTTAACCAGCTGATACCACTTAACCCTAGCGGCCCTAGCGCTTGTACCTGGCCACAAAAAATCTACCTTTTAGCTGGTTGTGTGCCATTGACAGCAACAATTTCAAGTACTAGTTTGTATCTAACCAAGGTTGACCCAGTAAAATTCCAATACCCTGTTCAAATTCGTTAGACTGGGAATTATGCTGGGTTAACCCTGGTATTCCTTACCATTCCTATTACTATTACCATATTGGGTTAATAACCCAATATGGTAATAGTAATAGATTAACCTATTATACTATATTGGTATTTCTTACATTTTCTTACCATCTCTGTTCAATACTATGGTTTTCAGATTGGGACTGGGCCGCCCAGCGCTAATCGCAGCGCCAAAACCTGAGGCGATAGCTACGTTTCCACTGGTTTCCACTGGTTTCATAGGGGGAAAAACACAAAATAACTATTTATACTCCCTATTTATAAACATCTATAAATTAACATGTTAATGGGATCATCTATATAAATTAGGGGAAAACACTGAATATAAGTAATTGTATACTGTATACTCCCCTATAAATGGGCATTTCAATGGGACAATCATGTATAAATCAGGGATTTTCCAGCAAACCATGTTTGATTACCGGAGGGCGATCTTGTTGAACATTGCAACCCTCTTGACTGAGGACAAGAAACGCATGGAATTATAAAAATCCTTCAGAAAAGTAGGCGGTCCAACTACCCCCTGGAGTGATTGTGCCATCCCTGTCATGTGGACGCTGGGGATGGTGGCCTTTAAACCTATCCATATATAACGCAGGCGGCAGTTGCTTTGTTCGTGACCCCGCATATGTTTGTTCATGTGAAACCAATAAAGCATTTAATGATCAGTATTGACATGTATTTGTTCAGTGGAATGAAACAATGCCTTCTGCATGGTTACTCCCAAACCACCAGATACAACAACGGATGACATGGGTAGATAAAGAGATACAATTATGCATGTTTTCTCCCAGAAGTGGCGATCATTGAGAGGGTGTTACCATGGCTCAGAGCAACGCAAACAATCATGGTTCTGGGTAAATTATAATATTTCACTAACCTGAATTAAGGCCATTTGGGGATGATTTCCCTTACTAACCATGATTTCCAGTGAGGTCGCAGTGAGGTCGTTATAATTTACCCAGATGGTTGGTTAGATCACCTCAAATCCCCCAACTTTTTGATAAGTTAACTCCTCAAATTCCACGGGCGAAGGGCAAATCAAATTGGGCTGCAAGCCAGGCTGCTGACCTGGCATCCAATGCACTGAGGGGAGGAGATATAAAAAGGTAGGAGATGATATATGATGATATTTATTATCATTATACTTTATATACCACCAAAATCCAATCGATAATTTAAAAACAATATATATATATATATGTGAGAATCCATTATTGTAGTATCATCCATTCCTGGATAGTGTATACAGTTTTGAAGATAATAACGTATGAATATGACGATACTAATGTATGATTATAAATATCATGGTCTAAACAATATTGCACTACAATAATACTGGTATGGTAATGATAACAATATTGTATATATACTGGAACTAGATTACATAAACATGTTGATGACAATGATAATAATGTATTGATGTTGATTATAAAAGATTCGCAGTGTTATATTGTAAGCATGAACAAGTGTATCAAACAACTGATGATTATATACATTATAATTGTAATGATGTAGGAATATACACTTATAGATTGTGTTTTACACTATACTATTTTTTATAGCTATAATTTATATTTGTAAACTGAGTTATAGATTGTATATCTTAGGAACAAGTGAGAACCTGATCTTGTAACGATAGTTGTATACTCACTGCTTCAAAGCTGGATAATGTATAGCACCAGGATACGTATATATCATGGTAAATTATAATAATTCACTAACCTGAAATAATGCCATTTTGGGATGATTCCCCTTACTAACTATGATTTCCAGTGAGGTCGCAGTGAGGTCGTTATAATTTACCCAGATATATGTACATGTTACAGAATATTCTCCATGCAACATAATCACATCTTAATGAAATCACTATCGATGCTTGTCGAAAGGCCAAGGGAACTCCAGGTGGAAAGTCCCAGGTTGGTGCTGATCCCTCTGAAGGTGCTGGAACTGATGGCGAAGGTGACATGCCCTACACATGCCTGCACTGACACCACTTGAACTGCTTGCGATGGTCAAGAAGAGGCCGGATCCGCAAGGCACTTCTACCAGTTTTTCTTAAGACACCTGGGACAATGACTAAGAGATACCAGCCACCACAAATTTGAAGTTTCAGAATAAAGAAAGATTGCGAAAGGCAAAATCCTTCAGCCCTGCAAACTTGGTCTGCTCGAAGGATTTAGGGAGTTGCGTCCCCTCTTAAAATGAGTTCATCGACATTGCGCTGAATCGCCGGGTTGTCCAGGGTGGATTCATCCAGATATCGTGGTATCATCCGACATCTATGTACCATACCCAAATATGTGCCAATGAAGAAGTCAAAAACTTAGGCAAGGTTCTTAGGGTGGTGATTATCAAACCTCTTTGCAACACGACAGGAGGAAGGGTTCCGGGTTTCCATTCTGATGTTTCGTCGCTTGCGTCTGAAACACCAGTCCCAGACCCAGACATTGAAGCCCGCCAAGTACTGCTGTTGGGAAAATCATACTAAGGGGGAATTGATTGTGACCCAAGAACAGAAGCGCAAGGATGCATATAGTTCGTGCATCCTTTGGAGGCTTCACCTTACAGTTGACCCAGTTTTGAGGCAAACAACCTGTCCCTTTTGCATGAAGAACGCGTCTTTTGCCGTTGAATCAATGGACACTCCCACAGGCTTCCTGCTTCAAACCACTGAAATGGGATGGATTAAGATGTTTGCGAGGACTTAAGATCCACGTATTTTGATGCGTACTACAGGGTACCAGGGATTTGCAAATCCCCGTGGGCTCCCATTGAAAACGGAAACTCCTGCAACTGCCATGCCAGAAAGGCGCATCCAAGCCAACAGCTCGACAGCAATCTGAGTGGGGATCCAACACCCAAATTGGTGAAGGTTTCTGTAAATTCCCCTATCATCTCATTCAGGGATCGAATAACTGACCTAAATGGTTATAGAAAAACCGAAAAACGATAAGAATAACAACTCATGAAAAAAATAGGCATGAATGAGATATGGCAGTGTGTCAAAACCCTGGTACCTAGTGAACCCCAAAATAGCTGGTAAATGGATGTTCATCCCACTAAAAATGGTATTAATAGGTATTATTGATCCATAGCCATATGTTGATGGGATTATAACCGCCTTTCTTCATGGTAAAAACCTGGTAGCTGGTTACAATCAAGCACCATTGCAGTCGATCACGCTGTTGAGTGTCAAGGTCAAAATCTGTGTTATTTCCAGTGGATGCCGGCTGACCTAAAATTCTCCAAAGAGGGAAAGTGGACATCCCATTTTGTAGGTTTCCCTTGTTTCTTTGTGATGTTTAGATCATAATAGATGGCAAATACCGTGTTTAACCTTTATTTGTGACATTGTGACCACCCCTGGCAAAAAAACGCTACGCCGCTACACATGTTGTATTGCAGGAGTACTACAAGTTTCTGTCCTGAAATGACCAACACCAAAATCTTTGTATCAAAACATATCAAAACAAGATGAGTCCATAGAATCGCCACAGTGTGTTTGTGTATGTGTGTAAGCATGGTATGTGCATAGTATGTTTAGTGCCAGCCTGCACTCCCCAGAGGCCATTGAGGATATGGAAACAAACCGTTTGCAAATCATCGCCCTTGGAAATCCATGGGTTTCTCATAGCTATGTTGATTTCTTGCTGGATATGAACAACCGAACGAAAGAGAGTCCGCTTGTGAACTATCGGATTCAACATATCTATCAAACAACAATAACCAAACGACTTCAAACGAACATTTTACATGTGTTGCTTACTCCTACATGGGATTGTTTAACAGCCTCCAAAAAGGGTTCATGTGCTAGAGCCGGGCTACAGCACATCAAACTCCTGGTGCGTATCATATCCAATCTTGGATACCCTGCAGTGTATCGTTTATTTATGTTGATTTATAGATATTTATAGTACCCATATAATACACAGTCCCACAAAACTGCCTGGTTGGTGGTTTCAACCCCTCTGAAAAATATGAGTTTGTCAGTTGGGATGATGACATTCCCAACTGAATGGAAAGTCATAAAATTCCATGGTTCCAACCACCAACCAGCTGCAATTAACATTTTACTTCAGGATTTTGTTTTGGCCATCCCAGGTTTCCCCACCAAAAACCCCAAAAACACCTCCCAGCGAGGACCCTTCTCGCAGGTGCTCAGGGCAGCCGAACAAACCACCACCTGGGGTTGGAGGATCATCCCACTATAGTAGATAATAATGTAGCTATACTATAGTATAGTTTGTATAAATGGCTTATGGATCCATAATTATCCTCTATATATATATTATATTTATATATATTATATTATATAATATATATATATATATTATATTATATATATATTATATTATATATATTATATTATATATATATATTATATATATATATTATATATACATATTATATATAATGGGTGAACTCGCTAAAGTTCCTTTATGGTAGAATCGGGGCCTTACGTTCACCAGGCTTACTATCTACCTACTTACGATCCCTGGGATGATCCAAGTAGCGACTTGAGCACTGGATTTTTCCACACGGCGCCCCCCTGCCGTTTTATGTCAAGTGAATAAGTGAAAAAATGGGACATAAACAAACCAACAATCTGACAAAATGTAAGATTGACCAACAATAGTAGGCTTGAGAATATGTGCAATAAATATAATGCTATGGTGATAGATAAATGCAAATTATAAATGAAATGAAACACACAAATGACAAATATATACATACATACATATAATATATGATACTATGGGTAACCAGCAGGTGAGGCAACAGCCTGCCGTGTTTTCTTGCCCTGAAAAGTTCGGCCATTGGGGGATGACTCCCCTGACTAATCATCAATTTCAGTGAATAAACCAGCACCACCATGGTTTTATAATATATATATATATGGAGGTGTTGGTTTATTCACTGAAATTTGGTTTGTATTTTTTCACCTGCACATGGCTGGGCATATAAAGGAAAATAGATGAAACAGAACAACAATCATGTCTATATGCTAGGTTCCAATTTTCAAGTAAATACAGTATCTAAAGGTGACCAAAGCCAACCCAGAACTAAAGGAAACTCTGTCCATGATAGAGTGTAAAGATGGCAGGGACCCCAGTGCTAAACTGGTTCAGCCACCTTAAATGCTGTAGATAAATCATGATGTATCCACAAGAAACATCGCTGATCTTGATGCCTTCTTCACGTTGATGAACCTGGTGGAGTAATCTAGTTCCAAACCAGCTCATCTATCTCATGCAAGAAGGCAAAAGGGGTAGACCCAGTAAGTACAACAAGACACTTTGGGTCAGTCAGGATTCCTTTGATCAAGGAGCGAGTGGTGTTGGTGATGAACTGTGATTGCATCTACAAAAAAAAGCAAAGACTTGTGCAGAACACCCCTCACATAGTCTTCATCCAGATATTAATTGGACACATATAGTACTATATACTGCTCTCATGTAACGATGACCATCATTATTGTGATGGACATGTTCTTTTTTAAAAAGATGTTGATGCTGATGTTGTCAATGATGACGACGACTACCGCCACGATGATGACAATTCAATTACTGACGCTGACAATGATGACGACTAATATTAAAATTATTTGAATTAGAATAATATGCTTGGTTGCATATCTGCTTATGACTATCCATATATATATATATAATGAATTCCCATGATATCTCCATGTTGGGATGGAATGTCTATCCCATCTCCCACATCAGCCGCCTGGGGCCCTGGGGCCACGACGTCGAAACTTAGGCGACGCTCTTGGGCCAGCTGCAACAGCTGCAACGGCAGCTGCCACGGCCAATCGCCGCCTGAGGCGGTAATCAACCAAGAAAAAAACATGTACTTTAACAATGATTAACCAGCAAAAAAAAGGAATTTACCAGCAAAAAGTTGGATTTTACCAGCAAAAAACGATGATTTAACCAGCAAAAACGAAGTTTAACCAGCGCAATTGGTGGTTTAACCAGCAAAAATTGGTTTGAGCAATCAACATTGCAGTTAACAAGGAACAACACGTAAGTAATTTAAGCAGCAAGGATGGCAGGTTTGACAATTATATAAACCTTTCTGGGATTTCTGCTCGACGGTCATTCTTGGAGCATTGGGAAGGTCTGTCTTCCAGTGTCATGCACAAAAAATACCATGCATACAAGAAACTATTCCCAATTCAACAGCAAGTATGCAAGTGCAATGTTGCTTTGTACCCGAATTTGCGATTGTTGTCCATGTTCTCTTTGAACACAGTAAGAATCGGACCAAAAATATAAGAACAACGGTTCCAGTCCCAGTCCCTGTAGAATTGAGAGATAAATCAAGCATATCTCTTAGCTAGTTCCCTTCCCTTTTTGGGCCATTTTGACAGCCTTCAAGGTCAGATGGCCATCCTACAACGGCTGGGATCAGTTCTGGTAGTGGCAGGGATGGTCAAAATGAAACACATGAAGTTGACCACATGTTGCATAAATGAATTTCTATGAATTTCTATGAATTTCTCAGGTTCCAACTTTAAAGACACAATCAATGTGTTAGATGCATCCCAATGGTCGCTGCTGAAATCACCATGTATCGTAAGTCAACTCTGCCTTTGTTGGGGATTCAACTAACGAAATCACCATGTGTGTTGCTTAAATCACGATGTTTACCGCTTAAACCACCACTCTAAACTGCGGTAAACTGAGGATTTTTGTCCATGGTGTTCCCAGCCTCCAGCCATCCAGCCGCCCTGCCCCGTTCCGATTCCATCCGATTCCCTCCAGCCTCGGCCTATGGCGCTGATGGCAGCGGAGACAGTGGTGATGTCCACATCTAGTGGCAGCCAAGGAGCGAAAAGGGGGTTTGGGGCGAAAAATGTGGTTTTGGTGTCATCAAACATGGAGGTTTTGGTGGGAAAATCATGGAAAATCCCTAAATGGCTTCTAGCTGGGTCTATTGTAAACCTGAGCATCTTGAATCCGAAGAGCTTTGGCTCGAGCGGTTTGTCCGGACGTGGGAGGCAAGCGTAGAACAATCTGCTTGGCTCTATGGTCACTGATGCTGAGAGTTGAGATACGCAAGCTTTGGGTGTGGTTCAAAATGCGGTCATCTCCACAGAACAGATCAAGCTCGTACCAGGTTTTATTGATCTTTATTGCCTGGGTGTTGCCATGTTCCACGGGTCCCTATTGCGTGAGATTGGTCTATGCATTGCATAGTGATGTTTGCAAGCCATCGTCGTTGTTCCAGCCCAGATTGAGCAGTTTTGTTCTTAAGATGTCTTAAGTGTCCAAGCCTATCTGATTGTAGGCGACCAACGCCGTTCCAGTCGCCCACAGTTGGAGGACTGGGATAGAACTCTCGAGGTCATGATACACTTGGGCTCTGCTCTATGTTCTCGCTGCAAGGCACAGATGGGAACATGTGTGGTGAACGCACATATGGTTTGTTTAACAAGTCAAAAAACAATGTTAGGGTGTGGGAACGTGAAGTTTTCCAGGGAGATCTTTGGTTTAATCGAAAGTTGTCTCATGTGCAACGGGAGCAACAAAAACGACTCTTCCACGCTCCACAATAAGGAATTCTTCGATAAACATCATCTGTAACTCCTCAGCTTCAGAAGGTTGTCGAAGTTCAGTTGAATCATGTCCCATTTACCATCTGGTTATGACTCACAGTTCGCCATGGAAAATCCACCGGTTTTTTTAAGAACGGTAAACCAACTATTTCGATTAGGGCCATCTAAAAACCATGAGATGTTGTGATGCCTTGATGCCGTGATGCCGATGGAAAATCCACCATTTACAGATCTAAAACTCATGAAAAAACCTCCATTTATATAGATCCATTTGAAGTAGTGGATTTCCAAGTGCCATGTTTGATTACCAGATATTACCAGGGGGTAACTCTGAGATATTAACAAATTATGAGTTTGGGTTTGATTATCTATCCCACAAGTACCTGGAAGATGAGGCTTATATAGTTGGTGGTTTCAATATGTTACAATAGTCACGTTTATATACTGAATTATTATTCACCAACGTAACATTTAATTGTGATTAGGGCGTGGCAATTTTTTCACCATAAGGTCACCATTGGCCCACCATTCATCCAGGGTTTCTGGTTTGTTTGTTTGGGTTGATGCTAGGAACCTGGAAAGCTGGAAATTATGAACAAGATATGTCAGCCCAAACATCCTGCAAAAGTTGCTGCATGTTTGTTTTTTGTTTCTCCCCAAAACATATATCTATCAACAATCCAAGGTTTCTGATTCTGCGGAGTGCTTATTTAATACAAAATGATAGAAATATAAAATGCAATACAATACAATACAAAACAAACCAATACAATGTTTAAAAAACATAAAAACAAATCTAACAAAAAACAATATACTATAATAGAATATAACATAATATGACATATATATATAATCATATTTTTTTATAAAATAATGTAGATATATATATAATAACTTTTGTTTTCAACAAATGTATATATATATATAACAACAATAGATTATCCAGAATAACATATATATAATGAATGGTATGCTACAAATAATATGTATATATATAGTATCATACGATATATTATATATTTAACTATATATATATACAAATAATACAAAATAAAATACGGTATTGTTATATAATCTAAAAATACTGTAATATAAACTGTGATATATATATATATAAATAAATAATTTAATGTAAGATAAGCAAACAATCATATAAGTTAATCCATACAATGCAAAATAATTTAATATTAAAAAGGAATCTAATACAATAAAATATAAGAATAATACAATATAAAACAACGTAATATATAATATACTACAATATAATACAAATAATAACGTATATAATATAATATAATACAAAAAATGCAAATAATATAATATATAATCTAATGACATATGAAAAATATAGTGTATATATTTAAAAAAAAATATATTATAAATCATAATGAAATATAATATATAAAATATTGTGTAACATAAAATGTAATAAATACTGTATTATATAATTACAAATATATACGTATAACAAATTATATATATAATCAAAAAACACAATAAATAATATAATAATATATCTGAATGTGATATATAAAATAATTGGAAACATAAAATATTATAAATAAACATACATATATAATAAATAATAATAATAATAAAAATAATGAAAATAATATAATATACATTATAATATAATATAAAAAATAAAATATAATACAATATAATATACATTATATTATGATATAATATAATATAATATATTTTAATATATATTCTAATATATCACATATAATATATAATATATAATATATAATATATATTATATATTATATAATATATAATATATAATATATATATTACATATAATATAATATATAATATATAATATATAACATATAATATAGAATACAATTTAGAGTCTGTAAACTAATACAGTATATAAAATAATATATATTAATATATAATATATAAAATAAAATAATATATATATATATATATAAATATAATATAAAAATAAACTAATACATAATATAGTAAAACACACCATAAAATATAATAATATATGATATACAATGTAATTTTACTATATAATATAATATAGTGTAATAAAATGTTATTTAATATAACAATATAATTATATATATATACAAATCACAATGTATATGTATAACATAAGATGTATAATGAGATTCCTATGACCAAATATGTATATGATGTACTGATATACTCTAATACTACTGTATATATAATACATTCAGCAATATATTGCCTATGTCCCTGAGTCCCTGAGCTGTTTTTTGGTGAAAATATGCAGGCAGAAAAAACTACTGACCCGACCGGTCTTGCCTTTTCTTGACAGCTTGGCGATCGCCTTTCACGCTTGGCTGGTAAGCGGGAGCATTGAAAGGAAGGTGGCTGTCCCTTGGAAGACACCCTCACACTGCCTGCACAATGGTAGCAATACTCTATATGGAATATAATATATACACACATATATATGTATATACATTTATGTTATGTATAATTGTACAATTATATAGGAAAACCGCAAAATCATGTACCAATGATAGATCATTAAACATGATAAACACAGTAATCATTATCTATACACCCACTATATCCCCATGATTCATGTTTCATTGTTAAATCCATCATTTTTGCTGCTTCAATTGCATTTGTTTCCTGAGTAAATCACCTGGTTTTTGTTGCTGATTGTCATTTTTCGATCCATTCTGTGATCTGAAAGCCCATAAAATATCATACAATTGCATAAAGTTACTCTGTCTGAAAATCGTCTATAACTTTAAACTTTTATCCTACCCTCTGGTACTGACTAACATAGCTATTGGAAATCACCAGAGAAATAGTGAGTTTTCCCATTAAAAATCGTGGATCTTTCCATAGTTATGTTAGTTTACCAGAGGGTAAATCCACGGGCGTTTCGCCCCTTTTTTCCCTCTGAAAAAAGCCATGCCGTTGCAGGCAAGTCCCACCTGGGTCCAGGCTCCTCCTTTTTCCAGCGCCGTGACCTGGAATGGGAAGAGATGGAAACCATGATCTTCTGATATTTAATGGAATAATATGGAATATTTACCATCTGGTTATTTAACATAGCCATGGAAAATGGCCCATTTATAGATGATTTTCCCATTAAAACCTCCATTTATAGATGATTTTCCCATAATATATCTGGGTAAATTATAATATTTCACTAACCTGAATTAAGGCCATTTGGGGATGATTCCCCGAATCCTAACCATGATTCCCAGTGAGGGAGAACAGTGAGGTCGTGATGAAATTTACCCAGATTTAATGGAATAATATGGAATATTTATCAGCAGAATGATCATCATAATATAGATTCATCATCATCATCATCATCTTCTTCATCTGGTTGGTGGTGCAATAACCATCTTGAAAACTATGAAAGTCAATGGGAAGGATGACATCCCATGTATGAAATGGAAAAAATGTTTGAAACCACCAACCAGTAATGAAATCATATGGAATACTTTTCGGGATATCATGGATCTAGAACCAACATGATATGGGTTGTTATACCTGAAAAGAAGGTACGTACCTCAAATTCAAATTATACTTAAAGATTTAAAGGACTCAAACATGCTACGACTTGCTGACTTCTTACAGCTGCAGCTGCACTTCTTTTGGTGTGTCTGCAATGGGAGAATCCCCAACTTTGATGGTTTATCATTGTCTTCAGTTCCGCAAATAGCAACTTTGACGGTATACACAAACTTCGGACAAAGCCACATGGGTGATCATGGATGCATACACAACCACGACGGCAATATCATGGGAGCTTCATGGGGTCATTCAGTTGTTGGGAAAATAGCCTATCTGATAGGGATTTAACCAACATAAACCAACTATGGATATGATGAATAACAAATCGTTGATTGAAGCCATGGGTTAACAAACAACATTGGGGAAACTACTCCACATAACCACGATACTTCAATCAACATCAACAGCGATATTGAAATTGCAACAATGATGATTGTTTGGTCAACAAATATGGAGGTACAAAACAAACTAACATGGGGTATAAAGATCTTATCAACAACAAGTACATTGTCACTATCACAAAAGGGAATTACTGCCAAGAGCTCTTTCTACCACTTTTGTTCTAACTATTATTCTGACTGCTTGCGGATTGCGGCATAATCATTTGCTCCTAGATCTACAACACTACAACACTAACCTAACCTGTCGAAAGTCTCTCGAACACAGATCCTTTTCAATCAGAGCAAGAACAGCACTTGATTGACACAGCAGCATCAGCATGCCGTGCTGACTCCATTGTGCCAGACGGTGCTCTCGAGCATAAGAACGAAAGACGCGGCACGTGTGTTAGGACTTTGAGATTTCCTACACGACAAAATTTCGGGAACAACACATCAAAAGAATTCAGTTGTCAAAATATGGCCCAACAGCAAAGTGACAGACCACAAAAGACTTTGCAAAGATCGACTTGTCGCAGTAAGTGCTGCAAATGTTGTTCCCTGCTATCCAACCAAAAAAACACCTGATGTCGCGCATCGAATTGCTGTACATCTGAATCGTTCGTCATCGGATCAAAATTTCTATAGACAGAGACATGTGAGCAGTATTACTATCATCCCCAATATATTGGATTACGATCAAATCCCCAATATATGAAGGGTAGATTCTCATCCCCAAACTCATCATCGACCAACAGGGCTAACAGGAACACTGCTCATGTTCTAAAAAAGGATCATGTCCCATAGCTATGTCCCCTTCTTCGAGGGCCATGGTGCCATTTTGCGAAGGGACATCCTCATCTGGCCTTGCGGGATGACTAACCAAAAAGGAAAGTCTATCTATGTTTGTTGGGCATTGGGCGCGAGGCTAATTCCGTGATGATTCAATGATGATGGAAAACATATATATATATATACAATAAAATATTATATATATATATATCATTATTATTAATATTATTAATAGTTTTATTAGTATTATTATTATATATAATTAAATAAAATTATATAAATATATTACTATATATATTATTATTTATATAATTACATATGAATATATATTTATATTAATTATATATATATTATGATGATGATTATTATTATAATATGTATAATATAAATATAGAGAGATATATTATATATATATAAAATATATAGAGAGATAGATTCCAGCCTTTTGCGACGGAACTGATGAAGCCCCATCTCATTGGCAATCGCCTTTTCAACATGTCTTGGTTTTTCGATGTTTTTCGTATCCAGAAGCAGGGCAGGAGTCTGGATTTTAGTCTTGAGACCTATACCAGAAGCCTCGATCCGAAAGTCCGGAGACCCAATATTTCTTAAAGTGATTCCTACTGAATAAACACCCTCTGGCAAACTAACATAGCTATGGAAAATCACCATCTTTAATAGGTAAATCAACTATAAATGGGCCATTGTCAATAGCTATGTTAAATTACCATAGGGTAAGTAGCATCTTATTCAGGCAGTCTGCAACACACTCTCTCAAGAAACATGTTACAGAGAATCTGTAGGAGAAATTGGGGTTGAACCTTACAATGATATCCTTTTGGCTCCTTGATACGATACACCATTCCTCAAACATATTTGCCACATATCCCCACTATGATTGGTTTCCTCACATCCCAAGTGTTCATGGAAGTTTCCCAGTAACCCACCACATTCACTTCTATCCTACTATTATGTTGTTCCATTAAATTATATCCCCATTCTACCCCCATATCCCATTAAAGACCTTGGTCCATGTTGAATCCCAAACCTGAAATTTAAATCATTCCGTATTTAAATAGGTTCTATTCATTTCAGATATCGAAGAATAAAAAACAACATTCCCAGTTACGGGTCAAAATACCAGCCATGATATTCCCATGATCTTCCATTATAAATCCAATTCAAACCGATTCTACTATACACCCCTGTTTATCCCATCGTTACCATTGGTGTGTTTTATGCCCGCTTGGTGATACCGTTGGCTCCTGAAAGGCAGCTTGCAGCGTGCCAAGTGCACGATCCAGGCGTTGGAAACCATCACGAAGCTCACCTGGTGGTTTCAGAAAGCCTACCCACACCAGCTGTAGAAAGATGATTATGATGTTTGTTTGGACACGGCTTTATGATGATTATAATTTTATATTATTATCATTATTATCATTTTCATTATTATTATTATCAAAACATCAATATATATATATATATATAAACAGAAAAATGATTATTATGATCATGATCGTTATATTTATGATGGTTATCGTTATGACGATGATGATTAATTACTATCATTGCTATACGTTGCTATATTTTTGTATTATGTCCTTTCGCCCTAATGTTAGACACACACACAGAAACCATTGTTGAGTGGAGGAGTTACACATATATAGAAACTCTTCGGGGTTTTATATGGTTTAATATTAGCGGGATGAGACTAGAAACTACATTTTAAACTAAAGACATCTAAAGACTACAAAACAATCATTCTGAAATGAGGTAATTGTAATGTTTATCACGTTCTTCATCAGCCTTCATCAGCCAATCATAGCTGGATGGTCGCACATGTTTTAACTTAATTTTGAGTGGCATTTCAGATTCCTATATGTAGGGCTTCATTTTTTTACCATTTAACAAACCATTCACCTATGTTACCCAACCCGTGTAGAGAATGCACCATCTCCCTGAAGAAGAAACGTCTGCCACAATGGTCTAGTTGAAGCTGTTTGAGGAAAAGGGATCATGAAATCGGGGCACTCTCCAATATTTGGAAACTGCCTAACAACAATGATTAAGTACTGCGAATCGGCATATCACCTCCCCTTCCTTTGCGATTGGGGAGGCTCTCCAATCATGCAATGTCTGAGTTTGGGAAAGTTCCCCCGCCGCAGTAGGTTGCTCTCCATCTATTTCTTGTTTGCCATATCCCCAACCATTTCGTTCATTTCGTGGTTTGAGAGTATAACATATTTCCCCCTGACAGAAAAAAACAACATGCTCGTTGAATTCCTGGTTTAGTATTGGATCTATTTCGGAGTCACATGTTGAGGTTACCCCTTAATATGTTCAATGTATTTAAGCACCACCCCACAAGCCCAGACCCAAAGGCCGCGTCACCTTCGGAGATGATCAGTGGGGGTGCGCAATGCACTTGTGGAGGCCGCAAAAAACCAATCCTCAGCCGATGCCGGGCGCTCCAGCATGTGTTTCATGTGGGATAGATGGGCATATTCCATATATATATATATATTATACATATATATATATAACTATATGGATATTCTATATATATATATACTAATGCTTATAACTAATTATAAATAGGAATAGTCCATGTAGAATTAGGGTGTAATATATGTCACATGGTGTTACTTGAGTGATTACGTACGATGCCTATGCGCAAGTACACAATGCCTTGCAAAGCGACCCTGGTCCATTCACCGAGCCAAGTTTCAACCCTTCGGCATTGAAGGCCTCATCTGAGGTCTCCAGAAATCTTCAAACAATCACGAAAGAAGAACATTAGAAATGGTGGATTTAGCGCTAAATAGCAATTCTTATGAGCAAAATGAGGTTTTTAATCCGTTTGGTAAATAATGAAGTGTAATGAAGTATTGTCCCTGATCTGCCTGCTTTCCACTCCTGGGACAGACTGCAACAGAGAGATCTTCGAATGTTGGGATGAACAAAAACTTCAAATAAAAGGCAATATAAAGGGCTAAACTAAGCCTAAACCCAAGATATGGTATATGGTTTATCCTTATCCTGGGTATATCAATCCGTATTCCGGGAATATGAACCAATATTTTCACCATGTCTTGACCATGGCACATATAAACAGGGCCATCCCAAGTCACCCGTTCGTTCGACCTGCCCTGGCCTTCTTAAAGGTTTGCATCTCCGGAGTTAGAGGCTCGCCCAACTGCATGACTCGCCTGGGTTGAAGCAACACAACCGCCACTTAATAATCTTAATACGCAAAAGAATCAGCATTCAACCAATAACCAACCCTGCAAATATCAATAGACATACATAGTTAATCAATGTTAATCAGCAGGTGTGAATCTATAGACATACATAGTTAGTTGATGTCATATAGTTCTTCAATACTCATACTGTATTGCTTAGTTCTGCTGAGCCCCTTTAGAAGCCCAACATGACCACCTCATCAAACGAAACAGGCCAAGCAGCTCACCGGTCTTCGGATCGATGAGATCCAAGCAACCGAAGGCGCCCACACAACGCGCCTGGCGCTAAAAAAAAAAGGCGTCGATTCAAAACAAACATCATCATCTACAAAAAGGATTTAACTAGTGCACCATGAACACTATATAATGGTTCAAGCCAACAATGATGTGGATATAGTTGGGATATATTTATATAGCGGGAATACTGTGGAACATAAGCAACAATCGTTGGAGGTTCCCAATTTTCAGACCCCATCTGAAGTGAACCATGAAACATACCCCTGCCCGAACTCTCAGTATACTTGTTGGTTGACAGGTTCTCCAATATGAGTTACAATTATGTTATAAAAATCCCCAATACAAGTCCTTACAAAACTGATCAAGAAGAGTTTTTTTCATGGCTCATATACAAAATGTGTACTTAATTTAATTAATAATATTTAATATTCCGTGCAATGGGTCTATTCAGACATTGGTATGCCAGATTGGACACTCTCAAAAGGTTGCCTGACAAGGCTTACAGAAATTAATGGAAGAATAATGCAAACACGAAGCAGAAACTGGCAAAAGGGAAAATCATAGGGTTGAATCGATTTTTTTTGTCATCGATCACAAGTGTGGGGTGTGGGGGCTTGAAGAAACACACAGATACTCCCAGGATGCCCAGCCCTGGGGGCCCTGTGTCCAACTTTCCAGCATTTTCCAGCCATCCAATGGCCATCATGGGGGAAACTAGCCGCCTGCTTCACAAAGTCGTACTTGCTCACCAGGCGGTCCAGCTCCTGAGCTGAAGTTGGTCACGTGAGCCCTGAAAATGATGGCTCGATTATTCTCAATTGTTATCATTAATATTATACTATATATATATACATACTGCTGTTGTTTTATAACATGTTTGAAACAAACAGTTTCAAACCTATTCAACACAGTTGTTTCGGTTTTGAAACCGCTGATTTTGTTTAATCTACGGTCAATAATGGTTGCAGCGTAGCAACACTTTGCTAACAAAGCATTGGGGATAATCATCCCAAATAGGGTAGAACACTAAACAAAAACATATACTTCAAATCACCAACCATCACCAATCAGACATTTTGGTTCATGCGGGTTTGCCGGAAAACGGGTCAGTAAAAAAAAACTGCTTAAACAGAAAAACAAAAACTCCGTTCAGAAGGTCCATTGAGGCATTGAGGTGACCGTCAGCGGGCCTCGATCATCACCGGCTGAATCACCCTCTGCACGTGTGATAGCAACTCCTTCTCCAGCATGTATTTCCTCGGTGCTGCGTCATGGCACTGTTTCAGGCACCAAGGAAGATAAACATGACCTTTGGGAAGTGCTGTTGTGGGTATGATGAGGTCATGTTTGTTTGGCAATGCATGGATGAAAAAAAAAAATATTGCACTTGAGTGATGTGGGATTCCAACACAAACGGATTGTTGAGAATTGCATGTTGATACAAGCCTTGACGGATACAACATGATACAACTCTTGATGATGTCAACTTTATCATGGTAAAAGATTGCTGGAGCAGCTTCTATACCAGGTGGGAACGTTCTCCACTTCTGAGAACAGAAAACACTATCTTCACTGTCAAGCTCTCGTAGATCATTTCACACTTGTACAATCTTCAAATCGGATACCAACGCAGCAAGTCTCGTAGTAAGAAGTGCTTGATGATGCAGTTTGGGATGGTTGGGATTAGGGATGAAAAGTGGAAAAAAAAAACAAACAACCTTTAACATCCTTTAACCATGAATCAGTTTTACGGTTCATCTCCCCAATGAACTTGAACAAATCCAGGTTTTGATATGTTTTGATACTGAATCTCCCCAGTTATCTCGATATTTCTAGCAAGTTTCAGCTTGAAACCTCCATCCACCACCCAAGTGTCAAGGAGGCATAGCCACAGGCCATGGCCACAGGATGCGCTTGAAAGGTGGAACCCCAACCGGTGGCCTTGTCCTTGAAGAAGTCCTTAAGTGGTTGACCTCAGTGTTTGCCATGTCAATATCAATACAATGAAGGCCCTAACGAAGGCACATCATTTGATGATGTTCATTACCCTCTGGTAATTTGTTACATAGCTATTGAACATGACTATGGAATTAGTGGATAAAATCCCATTAAACATGGTGGATCTTTCCAGTTCGTGATGTAAACGTTTACCAGAGGCTAACTGTGTGGATTTCTTCGAAATCTTCTGATTTCCGGGATCCTGAGGAGTCCTGGAAACTAAGATTTTGCAGCAAAACGATGCAAAAACGTGCATCTGCACTGAGGGTTCCATTCGTATTCCAAAGGTGTCTGACTCCAATCGAGCGGCGCACACCCACCATGGACAAAGGCTGCCAGCTGCCTATCACGGTTGTTGGTCGAACACCGGGTGCCTTTTTGTTCCCGCCAAGTCATATCAAACAGCGATTAATTTATGGATGTTTATCCCCCAAAGGATTGTTTGTTTTTTTAAAGTCTTGATGCAATGCCACATGAAGAAAAAATCATTGTTTAAGCACTTTTCGGAGAATTGGCCAGAGTGCCAGATCCGTGCATTTCGGGGGGTTACACTTTGAGTGTGACTTGTGAGGCACATCAAACCTCCTATAGACAGAGACAAACAGTTCAGCATGCGACCGATTCTTGAGAGGCTAAAACGAAAGTACGCTGAATCTGCGTTTAGCCATTTTAGGAGTTAGCATGTCTGCCCTCCAGAATGATGGTTGTCAGAATTTATCATATAAGCTGGAGAATCCGTTTTTATTAGGGTTAGAGTGGCTGCCTTCACTTCCAGTAAAATGGCAAAAGGCAGAAACAAATCCAAATAGCAAATCCATGCAAATCCTGAGCTGCAATTTTGCAATATCCATGCTTTGTTCTGTTCACCGGTATTGCTGTCCTCTTCGCTCATACGTTTCCACTGGTCAAATGCCATCTTGCTGCTCAACTTCCTTTCTTTCAAGAAGACCTTGAAACCACTCTTAACGCCATGCTCCCCACGGTTCGCCGTGTTTTACATTCCTCGTAGACCTTCATCCTTCCCCCTATGGGTGTAGCCACATTGACTGAATGCTAAAATTACGTCATTGTGCCCAGTTTCACTTCTTTAATAAAGATAGATTCAAATTGTGGTGGACGAATACCCGGAATACCCATTTGGAGGTTTCCTAAAATGGAGGGGGTTACCCCAAAATGAATGGCTTATAAAGGAAAATCCTACCCCTATTTCAGGAAACCCCCAAATCAATTCGTGGCCCCCATGTATCACGCCATCCATTTTTTTTTTGGGATGCTTGTCTCAATGACTTGCTTGACCCGGTGCAGGAAGCAACCCCCCAAGTTGTAAGTTGGTTTGCTGTCTATTTAAATATCTATGTATTTAGATTATAGATGCAACAGTATAATATACCTCACCTGTAATTTATAAAACAATATAAATTTGATACATATATACATATATTAATTGGGGTTTTGAAACTGTTCAGCTGGGACAGATTCGACCATCCCGAGAAGAAAATCGATCTACATTACTTGGAAGGAAACTCCAAAATCATGTCAATCCATCCCAAGGATCGACATGTATTATATATATATACATATGTTCATATACACAATCATGCATGTATATATATATATTATACACAATCATGCATGTATATATATATTATATACATTCATACCTGTATATATGTATATATAAATATATACATTATATATATTATATATATACACATTATATATATATACATTATATATTTATATAAATATAAAATTTACACATTCATACATGTAAATGTAGATGTGTGTATATATATATACATACATACATGCGTATATACGTTTATATGTACGTACATTATTCACATTCATAATGGATAGTGAGTATTCTACTCCACGTTTTTATGACGGACAAAACTGATACCTCCCCCCTCACCTGTCAAGCCCTTGGCGCTGGTGACGATGTCAGGAATCACGCCTGGCGCGACACCATCCAATATCTATTCTTTCTCCATCTCTGGGGCTTTATTCAAAGGGGTGCCTTTTCAGAGTCTTTTTGCTAAATTATTTTAGTTCATCTTGTTTAATGATATTTTAAAATTGATGGAATTGGGCCCAAAAAAAATATGAAAAAAATCTAGAAAAAAAATCTGCGTTGTGAGGTGTGGGACGAGGTCGTTGAGCAGAAGGGTGCCCTGCCCCCTTCCAAAAGTAGTATTGGAAGCAAAAAATCGGCCCAAAAAAATATGAGTTTAAAAAAATACATAAATAAATAAATACAATATGACCAATATTTTCCATTTTGGGCTACCTCAATGCATTTTATTTTGTTGCTTGTTCGTAGCCAAATTGCCTCTGACCTTTGCAAAGCTGAATAGCATCCCTTTGAATAGGGCCAGGGGGCCTTTGAATGATCTATGTGAACAAAGCAGTTTGCTGATTTCTGACTCCACCAATGTGTGGGTTTACCATGGTTTAACATGGTTCACTCTTGAATTGAGATATATCAAAATATATACATAACAAAATACATAAATTTGTACGGCAATTCCGATAAATGCAGCTTGGGATGAGAATGATCGATTGGATCTTCCTCTCGGAGTTTTTTCTTTCCGTGCCTTCAAAATGCTGGAAGGCAAACAAACTTCCCGTGCGACCGAAACCCGTCATCACCTCCAGGAGATAGCAAAAATGGAGGTGGGAAAAGCGCCAGGAAAAACTGGTTGGTGGTATACCTACCCCTCTGAAAAATATGAGTTCGTCAGTTGGGATGATTATTCCAAACTGAATGAAAACAAATAATCATGTTCCAAACCACCAACCAGCATATGATTTTCCATTGCTGTAGTTTGATGACCGGAGCTCATTTACAGGAATTTCATGGAATTTCACCAGCTTTAACGGACATTTGATGTTTCATGGGATATGCATGGGGATTCAGTGGGATACAAAACTATTGTGAAACATTTTTTAATCTATCATGTGGTTGCGAAACTCTCTGTAGCTTCTTGGCTCCCCATGTAAGGGACAACATGGATTCCCAAAGATTCCCTCCTAACCAATGGATAGTAAATCTCTGGGAAGTCCGCGAAAATCACCCCTTTCGTGTTGAGGATTTATATGCAATTGCAAGCAAGTGTGCTGAAGCAGTGGATCTGAGTGACCTCAAGCGGAAGTACAAAAGCACGAGTAATAGAACCATTACCCCCATGTCAAAATTCGATGCCAAGTTGCCAAGAACGATATCATACATTGTACTAGAGGGGACTTCATACCACCAGCCCATTGACTAGGCTCTTATGAATCCTGCATCTCTCGCTTGGATTCAATCAAATGAGAAGAGAAGCAGCAGTGGCAATGATTTCAAGCAGCATGCAGCAGAGTTAGCATTTTTTGGCCAACAACACACATATATATACACACATACGTATATTGTATATACATACATATATATATATACATATAAATACATACATACATATATATATATGTAATTATATATACACATATATATAATTACAATATATATATATATGTATGTATTAATATGTATATTATATACATATATATAAATATAAATATATACATATATATAAATATAAATATATACATATATACATATATATACAAATATACATATATACATATACATATATACATATATACATATATACATATATACAAATAGACATATATATATATATACATATATATTGTCATTGTATAGTAATATAAAATATGTTTCTTTATGAACTGTCTAAGTCCACTATGGGTGCTCGTCATTCAAAGTCCTAAAGTCTCATCCCTGTCCTTTCCGTGCCTCGTCACAAATCATGAGAATGCCATACTGGTTGCAGAGCGAACGGATACCTGCAAATGTGGTTGGAGTTAGTGGCTGGTCAAACAAACCAAGATCTCACATTAACACGAGCATATGCTTGAAGTCCATGAACATCGTGTCAATAGAAAAAAAAAACGCACCAGTTTTCTCATAACACACAGCTTCGCCAATAAGATCATCTGCCTGAGTTTTGTACAACTAGTAGTCTCTAGTAATTACCGCTAATCCGATCATGGTCGATTCACCCAGCTGTGGAGGAAATGACCAAAACATGGAACTGATCATGGCCGGATTTGTTTAGCGGAGGGTATAGCAACCCCAACATAGACATGTTAAACAATGGTTGGGGTTGCTAAATCACTATGGTTAATATCATCCATCATGTTAAACGGCTTAAAATCTTCAATGGTGAATATCATCCATGACATCCTGGGGAAACACTTGGGGATCGCGCCCCAGCCGTTATCAATGCCTCTGGTATGGCAGCTAAGCTGGAACATCCCCAAGGTGGGCACGGGACCCCAGAGGTTAAGTTGGTTGGCTTATAAAATATTATAAAACCCATGAATACTATATACTATAGTTATATCATGTTAAACATGTTATATCAATGTTATATCTACCAATAAACCATAGCCATCAACTTAGCAATAAACCAAGGCCCACACCTTGCCAGGACGTACACCGGACTTCCAGCCTTCCATGAAGCCCACAGCCGGAATGAGAACTCCCGCGGAGCCAGGGATGCTCTCCACCATGATGGCTGCGATGGTGGAGGGACCTGCGGTTTTTCTTGGAACAGTTGGAATCACCATAGGAAAATGGTGGTTTAATGGTGGTTTAATGGGATTTAATGGGATTTAATGGGATTTAATGGGATATAACCTTTGATAATGACTAACATAACTATGGAAAGATCCACCATTTTTCATGGGAAAACTCATTATTTCAATGGCCATTTTCAATAGCTACGTTAAATTACCAGAGGGTATGTCCCAGAAGTACAATATTCAAAGTTGTTTTTTTCAAATTATCGATGAAAAAATGAGAAAACATGAGAACACACATGTTTTCCATTGGTGTCCTGTACATGTTGATGTTCATGTTGTTTGGCCTAGGCTTTGACATGTGCATCCAAAACCGCTTTTCTTGCATCATGAATGAATCACAGACGCTGCAGCATCCAGTTGCCAGACTCGATCCACCAGTTCCAAGTTTCAATTGGACATGTTGGACAGTCATGGACAGTCCACATATGTCCACATATTTTGTACCCCAGTCAGATGATAGGACTACTACATGTTTGCAGATGATCCAATCAGATATTAGAATAATGTCAACCCTGGATGAATAATCCCTTAGGCATCCTTAGGCTGTTTAATTGTGAAGGTACCATTGATTAATCCGGGGTTGACATTATCTGGTTGGTGGTTTCAACCCCTCTGAAAAAGTCAGTTGGGAGTATTATTCCCAATATATATATATATAAATATGTATATATATATATGGAAAAATAAAATGCATGTTCCAAACCACCAACCAGTATTAGACTGACACAGTTATCATGACAGGTCCCCCAGGTCCCCGGAGGTCGCAAGGTGCCGCCGGTCGCGGCCTTCGGCCACAATCTGTTCCTCCAAGCAGGACAGGGCCATTTCACAGGCCTTCTCGTCCTTGATCTTCCAGGTAATCTCTACAAGGTGGACCCCCCCCAAAATCCCAAGATAGCTAAGTTGACTAACTGGCTGAATTCTATAGTTTATGATATCGATATAACAATTCATGGGGTTGAAAAAGGGGGACCTTGTATGATACAATGCAGGGGCCTTCAAATAGGCTTTGTTTCACGAGCTTTAGTTTGGTTTAGGATAGATATGTGATATCAATTGGTATAAGATGATATTACGGGTTTACATCGGGTTTACACACCAAATTATAAATGGGGGCTCACATTGCGCTATTATTCTATTTATTTTGATAGAGAAACTTAGACAAAAACACACACACCGCACCGCAAGCATCGAGAAACCGACATTTTCCAACTACAAAAATCCAACATACCATTGTATACCATGTGGAAAAAACCTCTTGATGAGTGGCCCCACACTGATGGCTAAAGGCCAACATCAGGAGCAAAACAACTGCACATAGGCCGCAGAAAAAGAAACTGTGCAACGGCCAGGTCGCAGCAGAGGCGGACAAAAGCAGCGGTGGGCAGAGATGGCACAAGGAAGGAAAACAACTACACCCACGCAGGTCCGACACTCAACATGCAAAAGCGCAGAGGGCGCAGACGTGAGCAGAACTCCTCGACACAAAAAAATACAAAAAATATGTAATTAATCAATTGCGTGAAAAAAAAAGTGTGTACATCGTACAGTACATTACAACAAAAGAAACGTACAGAAACCACATGTTTCTACCGGGAGATGATCCTTCTTGAGCTAAGCATCGGTGTCGCCCCAGCGAAAGAAATGTGGTTCCGGGTTGAACCTTGGAACATCCCGTGGCCTCATGTCCGGAGATACCTGGTAATATCTTGTAATAATGTACAAAGATATCCAACAAAAACACATGACATGACATGACATGCAAATCAAGCCGCACAAGATTTGTTCCTCACTTCTCGCGAATCTCATGTAACGGCAGGAAATAGTATCAACCGTCCAAGGTTTTGACCAACAGTTAGGGCTTATCATCTCAACTCTTGAAACGTGATTCATAGAATCACCAATTCAACACAGAGATTGGTCATGTAGCAACTCGTCCGACCTTAGAAAGCCCGCATTTTTTTTCGGGTGGAACTCTATAATATGTGTCCGATCTTGCTTTAAACGTACGTTTTTTTATAATGTACTAGCCACCTTGCGATTTTACCCAGTTTTGGCCCTTTTTTTCCGGACTGATAAATCCTCATAAATAGAACTAATTGCAAAAAATGACAGAGACTTGGGAATTACACAATCAACATTGACTAAATCCCAAAATTAGCTAGCCAAAAATCCAATCTGCAGCTGTAAGCCCATGTTCGGATGGATACAACAAAGTCCCGACATCATGATACTGGAGGTATCCTAAAATGGGGGTACCACACATCATCCAAAAGTAGACTGAGTAGACCATTTTAGTATTGAAACCCATGGTTTTTGGGGATCCCCTTTTTGAGATCCCCCCATTTATACATGTTGATTGGTTACTGTAAGTCCTCCTGTTGCTGCTTGACTAGATCTTTGGTAGTTAAATCCACAATTTTTGGTAGCGAAATCGCCGTCAGCATGCTTATATGCTTGCTCATTCAATGCATGTGTTTTGCACATGTTGAATTCCCCAGTTCCAATTCTCGACAAACCTATCCCAGTTTTGGCTGGTTAAAAGTTAAATCCCTGTATACATAAACAATGAAGAACAAACCAACAAGACTACCTCGTTGGTGGTTTCAACCCCTCTGAAAAAATATTAGTCAATTGAGTCAATGGGAAGGATTATCCCATATATTATGGAAAATACAAAATGTTTGAAACCACCAACCAGCTACCAAACACCAACCAAAAAAAGCCACCAAGGTCTACCATCCGTCCAGGTGATGCCAGGCGTCATCTTCACAAACCCCGTGGCCGAGTCTTGCGCGAAGCGGCGGCGAAAGTCCCCAGTGGCACCAAGGGGCGCCAAGGTTCCGCCGTGGTAGCTGCGGTATTGGTTGAAGATCTTGGTCTTTCCTGATCTGTGGAAAATCTCTGGTGAAATCTCTAATCTTGGATGTGTTGATTTGGGGCCAAAGGGATCAAACCAATAAACAACTCATGCTGCATGCCCTGGTGGGAAAATAGAAAAGCATGTGAAGCAGATCTGCGGAATGCATTTGTGCGTTTGGGACAGATGTTTGGAGATGTTTGGATGTGAGGATCTCCGTATCACCTGAGTGGGGTGAAAGTTGATCAGTTTCACCCTGGTGAACCTATAGCTGGGAAGCCACCATTTTTCAACTCAAACGAGGGACCCTGGTAATTTTGGGTTGGGCTACGCCAAAGTGCAGATCGGCCTTTACACGAAGATATTTGAATTGGGCGGCATTAATAGAAACATGGTGTTACCTGCTCATAAGACCCTTATTTTCTAGGAATACTAAACTAGTCCCAAGCAAAAGATGATGATTCAGCAGCTAATTTAGCACCCTCTAATTTTGCTAGAAACACTTAAATGTAACACATGTTCGACCACTTGATGATCTTTAAGACACTAAGATATCACCTTCGCTGCCCTACGCTAGCACCTGTGTAGAGGCGTGCGAGGCGGATGGCGCAGTCGTTGGCTTCACCCCCGCTGGAGGGGAAGAGGAAACCTTGCTGCACCGACGAAACGAAAGACATTTGGGGATGGATCAAATTATAGCGAAACCATAGGCAGAATATGGGTGAATAAACATTGGCCAGTTTGGTACCTTTCATAGGCAAATCAAACATAAGAGCATTGAACTTAAAGGAAAATCGACACTCAACGTCACTTAGCCTGGTCTGCACGGAGTGAGAATAACATTTTGGAAACCACGGATCACGTGTCGGTGGTTTTTTAACACCTGGCAGCACGGCAGGGGAGTTCCCGTTAACGAATCGCCAGGAAATTGGTGCATCGCAATTTTTCTATATGCTATCAGGATGTTTGAAACCCAAGTCATGCACTTGTGGTGGATTTCCCTGGATCTACCCCTAAAATCACCCATTCATGAAGGTATAAACATACCTGGATAGTAATCTAGACCTGCGAGCTGGACAGTACGCATTGTTGATAGGTATGATCTAGACTTTGGGAATTGTCGATTGCCAGGTTAGATTACCAGATTACCAGATGGTAAAACCAAAAGAAGATGTATCCCCATGATTCCTTGGAGATATGTTCTTTCGAAAAACAATCGCCATTCACACATTCTCACCAACACTAAAGTACATCATCATATATGAGACCAATAGTTATCTATTGCATTCTACCATCATTTCTATCATGTTGTTGGAGATATCCCCATTACATCTGTATAATATCCGCATCAATGCCCCATTAGCTCTCCACTATATATATATATAGTCATTCTGAAGTAGACAGAATATGGATATATGGATATATTACTGGGAAAACAAAACAAAATAATGAATATGTTTGATTTTTCAGACTCTATCGATTTCAGGATTATTATATTCTATTATGTACATATATATATATATATATATATATGTGTGTGTGTGCGTGTGTGTGTGTGTGAGTGATTGTGTGTGTGTATGTCCCATAACTGGGTCAACGAACAATGGTTACAAGCCCCCTTTACCATGTATATATCATAGCTATGTTTGTTATTATAGATGATAATTCAATGATTTACCGATTTACACAATATATATATATATATAACTATACATATATATATATATATAACTATATATATAACTATATATATAACTATATATATAACTATATATATATATAACTATATATATATATATAACTATGTATATATAATTATATATATATATACCTATATATATATAACTATAACTATATATATATATAACTATATATATATATATAAACCTATATATATATATATTCATACAATATCATACAATTATATACATTTATCCTTTTACAATCATCCCAACGTCATGGATTCACTGCGGGTTGGAACCAAGGCACCATTGAGATCGCCCGGCGCCAATTCCGCCAGCAGCGCTGAAAGCTTGGCACGCACTGGGACCAGGCCTCAGTGACGAAGAGTCGTCCTGAAATGGGGATCCAATGGGGATAGACAGTGGGATTCATCAGCCAATGTTATATATATATATATGTATATATATATATATATATGTATTTCATATATGTATATACTTTATACATTTGTATGTATATATATATATATATAATTATATATATATAACACGATCTGTGTATATACTGTCTATATATATATATAAAGTTAGTGCCGCCCCCCAGTTAAACAGTTGGCTTAGATCTTATTTAAAACCCCTATGAAGTAGTTGGACCACGGCCTTTAGACGGCCGTGGTGTTTTGTTGACGTTGGGGGTGGGGTGGGGTGGGGCATGTATTATTGTTTCATGTGAACTTGCAGATGAAGGACATGCTACGCTGTGGCTGCCGGCATGTATTATTGTTTCATGTGAACTTGCAGATGAAGGACATGCTACGCTGTGGCTGCCGGCAGGTTTATGTATTCATGGGTGGGGTCGGGTGGGGTGGGGTGGGGTGGGGTGGGTTGGGGTGGGACAATAACGTCCATGGCTCTCTCTTTCATAGGTCATCCTACGCTACTGTATGTTCTCTTGAACTTTGCACTCATGCGTCATGCTACGCTATCGCATGTTCTCTTGAACTTTGCATTGATGGGTCATGCTACGCACCCCTCCGTGACACAATACGTGTTCAAATGGTGCTGGCGTTCAAGCTTACAGAGTCCAGATCCTAAAAGGTTCTTGGAAGAACTGGAGGCGCTGCTCTGACCAAAAGACGGCTAAAAACATGTGACGGCGAATTAGTTTCAGGTTGGCCAGAAAACCCAAACATGGTAGTTTCGTGTAGGCGAAATGACTGTTTTCGTTGCACTGCTGGTGAATAAGGGGTTAACGACCTTAAAAATAAAATCGCACAAATTCCCAATTGGCACGAGCACATCCAACATAATCAACAACATCCCATTAATCAAAAGAATCACGACCATCTAAAGGCCGTGCTCCAAGTAGTTAGATTTATTCTTCTATAAACCCGAGTGCAACTGGAGTTGTGACAGAGTTGTGTGCACCAACTTTGCTAACTATGGGGCACCACTGGCACCATCTTGTATATAGAGATATATAATGATATAAATTTACAATACAAACAGTAACCCCAAAAAGATAGAAACATACTTTACCAGTAGTTAATACATAAAAACGTGTATATATATACACACATATACGTACATATTATGGAATAAACTGTGAATTACTGGGATATAACCAATAATATATGGGTTTTGTTTGAAAATTGAGGGGAACACCCTAAAATAGTCAAGCGGAATATCATGAGAATATCATGAGAATATCTTGGCATGTATTGCTCTCGTTTTCCTTTGGTATTTTCTCATTGGGTCTTTGTTCATTGATATTTATTGTCGGTGGGATTTATATATAATTTACTGTGGTTGGCAATATGGCATATGTTGATACAAGGTGGGGTCCCCCTAGTTAAAAGTTGTTGTTAAAGCCCAATTCTATAACTAGAGTACTATAGTTTTATCTACCATAAACCATAGTTCAGCCAGATATAAGTCAACTTAGCTATCCTTCGGGGGCCCACCTTGTATACGGTATCTTGGTAACTGCTGGTAGTGATACTACGGGCCCCGGGCTTAGACGCTCCATAGCTACAGGAGATGACCACCAGCAGATTCGAAGACACACTGAAAAATAACCATTACCCTCTGGTAAACTAACATAACTATGGAAAATCACCATTTTTAATGGGAAAATCCACTATAAATTGCCATTTTCAATAGCTATGTTAAATTACCAGAGGGTAACCATTATAATTTATAGACAGACATATATGTGAATAAAGGAGCTGATTGGGGACCGCAATCTGATCTCTAGAGAATTCTAGAGACATATATAATATTATGAAGACGTCAACCAGTGGTCAGCACGTTTGAAGAAACTTATCACAAAACAATGGAAACCAGCAGCCATTTGCTCAGTATGGTTACAGTGAACAAAACAAGTAATTATGTTGTAGTCATCCAGATAAATTGATGTTGGCAACTAGACATTTTAGATTCCATCCATGTTAAATATTCAACATTCACGTTTTTTTTGAGTTACATGCGATTCTGACATGTTCTGAACAGAAAGAAACAATTTAAGTGTGTGTGATTTGGGACCACCGTAACGCCAATGTGGTAGACTCTACCATGGTACCATGAAGTGGCTCACATCCAGATACGAAACATGGGGCCACCCAAAAAACATGCTGTGGATAGAAGAAATCCTGCAGTTGGTAGATTGTTTATCCCATTATAATCTCTGTTTTTTTGCAGTGTTTCATAGTTGCCAAGATTTACCGACTGGTGCAGGAATTCGTCCATCCATTGTTTCTCTGCTATCTGAGTGACCAAATCTTTCACCTAAAACACTTCCAAGTGCTGCCTCTTCAATTCGAACGACGTGGTTCTTCATGTCGGCTTATTATACTAACGTTGATTAGCGTCATTAAGGGTTATTAGCGTTATGCACGTTTGCTAGCATTAGCGTTAAAGACATCTTATATATATATATATACATTCCAGTCAAATGAAATTGTCCAGAACTCTGCTCCCGGCTCGCTGTCTGAAAAAAAACAAACATGATATTCTCCATGCGTTGTGTGTCACTCCCATGATACAATAGCAGAACATGCACCCAATAAGGAAACATAAGGAACATATCTTGAAACAACCCCACAATGATGTACATCTTAAGGAACCAAATCAGAAAACACACTACGCTATAGCACAAAAATATCTTGTGTTGAAGGTTCTCATCTAATGCGATCTAAAATCAAGGCACCGATTCCACCATAGACGAAAGGTGTTTGCTCCATCTGCTCGAGCATCGCCTCTTTCACCTTTGTTTTTTTGGCCAGTTTGGCCCTTGGGGCCCTTGAGTTTGATGGGAATATTATTGAACAATCCTTAAAACATGGAGAACATGGGGATTTAACATGTATCAAACAAGCAAGAAAACGTCGGAAAACCGTTGGGATATATTGGGATTTATGATTTGCGGTAAGTTTCTAAGGTGGCTGATTTCATGGGTGATTATAATCCAACAACTATCACTGGGGACCCACAACAAAGGCGTCTGAGATGATTGTTGGAATCATTGAATCGCTAAGCCCATCACCCTAATTTAAGATTGACATGTACGTTGTCAATCTTAGATACCGTGCAATCTTTAAAAAGTTGATTGGTACATGTGCTCATTTATGTGTATATACTATAATTGTGTATATATATATGTGTGTGTGAGTGTTCAACCATCCAAGGCTTACAGAGTATGTATATATATATATATACATGTACTGAAACGACTCCTTCTCTTGAATGGAGGGGCCAAAAGCAAAAGTCTAAACACAATGGCGTGCCCATCTCAAGAGGGAAAAACAAATATAGGCCGAGAAGGTGCGAGTCAATCCGCACGCCCTACAGGACTATGCACTTAAACGAAGCTGCAGGAGGCTTTGCAGGAGGCTAGTATGAGGCGTGTATGAGGTAGTCGGCAAGCTCAGGACAAATCCTGTAAACGGGCCCGAAGCGAGGAGATTTGTCTCAAAGTCAAATGGCCTTCTTCTCCAAAATGCGTCTGTAGGGAAACCGATCTGTACAAGCAGTTGCCATCGCCTGCGATCCACTCATGCCGAAGGTGCGGCGCCATGGCATTTGCGTGGGCAATCAAGATTGCTTCTGCTTCATCGATGCAAGTCAACCTTGCAATAAGGAGGCGCAGTCGCAGGACTTCCTGAGAGTCGCTATATGTACATGAAGTATACATTGTAATTTTCTGTAACTACTCAAATGATCAACCACGTCAAATAAAGTCAGGAGTATCCCTTCCAATCACATCGATATTGTGTTGGCTACAAGTTATGTCATATCCCACACAATGGGAAACATGTTGTAAACCACGTTTTTTACTTGCCAACCTTCTATTGGCGATGCTATGCTATGCATAAACCTATTTCCGCTAGTGCTAGCAATTGGAGAAAATTTATGGTCGGTGTGGAATTCACCACTAAATATTATATCATGTTACATTGAATCAAGTTATAGTCTTGATACCATGTGGTATATCATATTAATTTATATCTAGAATCTAGGTGGTTAGTTGGTTGCATCATGTTACAGTCCTATATATCCCATAAATCATCCCCGTATATCCCCATAGTTGGCAAAGATCCCTCCTCTTTGACTCATTTGCCAAGCCCGGTACCCTAGTAAACCCCAAACTAGCTGGTACATGGATCTTCCTCCCCCCAAATAATATATTAATGTTTAATAGGTTGTTATCCATCCCATATGATGTTCGTCCCTGTTCGTCCCTAGAGCTTCCTGCGTACGAGTTATGTTCGCCAAGCAGCAGACTCAGGAACGCTGTGGCCCAAATTCACGCAAACGGCTTCAGAGGTCCAGTCCAGGTATTTCTTCCCTTCGCTGTCGTAGACATAAACACCCTGGACCAGCTGGAAGGGCAGTGAGATCACTATCACTGGTGCTGGCCACATAGGGAGGGAATGATCCAATCCAATCACTATGAAATACTACGAATACTCATGCCATTCCCCCCATTTACGTTTAGCGCCAGTAAGATAATCATAATGTCTTCAGATTGGATCTGCACCAAATTACATCATTTAGATCAGCGAGTCCATGGGCAAAACAGTTTCACATCTGGCCCTGCATTGATGAGCAACCAATGGTGCACTGCTAGACCCACAGCCAAATTAGGGGACCTCAAAAAGGGGACACAAAGTGGTGGATGGCTATCAAACGAGTACCTGCTAATTGAACAACCCAAAGGGGTATTGATCCGGGCATGACAATAGTTGATTTCACAATTTTTGAATCATACAACACCTCTCCAGCGTTTTCCTCAACCTCGGAGATGGGTACACATGATATCCTTACATCTCACTAAGATTTATTTGACATATTATATATATATATATACTTGGTGACTCATCCCACTTTCTAAGTAGGTTATATCCCTGGTTTTGTGGGATAAGTAGGGTTGATCCACTGAGATAACTAGGGTGAACTAACCTACTTAGAATTTCTGGGATGAGCTACCAAGAGGTTCACGACAAGCTTTCAAGAACATCTGTGCAGCGAGACCTTTCACATTAGTGAAAGGGTTTGCTTTTTCCGATTCCAAAAACGACAAAAAAAACAAGGATTGGCCGCCACATGTCGCGGAAGGAATGCTAGGAGAATGGCCAGCAGGGTTTAGCAGTTTCACTTAACTTATTTGTATGTATTTGTGTCTGAAAGTCTTTTTATTAAAACAAGAGGTCTTTCCGTCCTTCCTGTTGGCCACAGCAATGTATGTAGAATTGCGAGCAATATCTCCACGCATTTACTAGTTGTACGTACGTGAATCATGTGTACGTGAATCATGTGCCCCTTTGGAAACAGATGCAACGAAAAAACAACAATCTCTACATTTACACAATTCTCATATCAACATATCATCCTATGTTAAATAATGTATAATTTACATTCATTTACCATATTTTCCACATGTTTCCATGCATTCATCATATCATCCTGCGTCGAATCCTGCGTCCATTGCGAATCTCAGGGTCGAGCTGTTGCGAGCTGTCTAGCGCGCCACTTGGCAGTACCTAACAATAACCAAAACCATCAACAACCGTCAAAAAAATATCTGTTTATACATGTTTATACCATGAAGATCCATGTTTTATACTACCAGTAAGATCCACTAATAACCATTGTTTATACCAATTATAGCCATTTATAACCATCGACAATCACTCCCCAAGCATCATTTCTCCCCATTTCTCACTCCCAAGCCGTGACCTCGGCTCGCTCCAAGATGGGTAGAGAACTGACCGAACTCGATGGGGACCTGGACGAAAATTGGGATATTTTGCCATGGAAAAATAAGGGGAACATATTATGGGGACACGGTGATTTCACCGTTAAAAATAAGGGGCTTGAGATGATTGAGATGTGATTCATGATGGCTATGAGGCAAAGTTCACTTGGCTAACTGTTGGGTTTATGGGGAATAGAACTAAAGTTAATGGAGGTTCCAAATCGACTTATAACATCTTACAACTGGGAGGGCCCACTTTGTACTAGAAACAAGGCCTTACAAAACTAAGGATATTCCAGATAGAGTCAGTCCTGGTTTGTTTCATGTATGTTTATTAAATGCTATTACCATTTATTTCCCACTTGGGAGTCTCCGCGATACAGCACCCGGCCCTAAACATACAATGCCATTGGCTGCCATGTGAAGTTCAATCTGTGCAGATGTAAGCTAATGCAAAGAGTGGAACAATAGCTTGATTAAAATCACACCCCAAACATGGGCATGGCAAAACAGCAAACACCTGCAAAACGGGAAAATGTTGCCTATTCCCACTTATATGTGGCTTATAATCCACTTACTAATGTTCTCCCAATTTGGTCGAGCTTTCAGATATTTCGTCAAATCCAACGAGCGACCAGGTGAGCATTGCATGGTCCACTGCAGCTTTTCTCACATCTTCGGCCGACCTTAGAGCACATCTGAAGCTTCGAACATCAATGGATTGGTTTGTTGGAAAAACCTTAACTGGAAAAAAAAAGTGTAAATACCATCATTTTTTGAGGGGGGCTTCCTGTGTTCCCTTTAACCAATTCTGGAAAAATTGGAATCTTCTGAAAATTGTGGCCAAACATGATGCCGATCCCGACATCATCTTGTGGATTTGTCTGAAAATAGGGTACCCATAATCAGCGGTACTGTAATCCATTGGTAATCACAACTTTCCCTATATTGAAATCACTAAATCCTTAGAAATTTGAGCTAATCTAGTTTGGAAGGGCCGGAGTCTATGGTGTATCATAGCCTAAGCTCTGCTGGAGCCATCAGAATTCGACATCTAAGATGTCTTCGATATGGCACCCACAAAACTGGTCCGACTGCTTCCCATCATTCAACGTCGGAAACTGGGGAAGCTAACTGGGGCTTTGGGACTATTCAAAAACATCAACATCTACATGTCTAAACAGTATTTTGGATTCGAACAGGTGGCTTCTGCAGCTGAAGGGTCCTTTTTTGGAAAAAAAACAGGTGGCTTCCAAGCATCCAGAACAGTCTGTAAGCTAGAAAACCCTCAAAATCGTCGTCTCATTTGATGAATGTCGACTCCAGGAGTGAAATGCTGAGAAACCAGGAGGATTGCCAGTGTCTTTGGCTTGGCTGGCCGCAGCTGTTGTCCTTCCAAACTTTCCAAGATCATCGAAGCATGGATTGAAATGGGTGATTAAACCAAGGGGACTTGATGGCGTTTGGGACATAATGGGGATATGATGGAAACATTATATTATATAAATTAGTTCGTTATATATATAATATATATATACATATGTTACGAGAGAGAGAGAGAGAGAGGTGGAAAAATAGGATGGAATGTAAGCAAAAATCTGATCTTTGGGTGTGACTGAAAATGGGGAATTGACCCCCAGTTGTGGCCATGGTGGTAACATGGGGAAAATTATGAGTAATTAACCAGTGCATCGAATCGGGTTTCCCAACATGTTCTAGACAAACCCAATTGGGACCCTTAAAAAACAAATCAATCAGTTTTGGTAGTTCAATTAACCATATACTTTGCAAACCGATTTCCAGTCCGCAAATGCAACAATGTCCGGGAAAAAAACAAATTACTTTACTTCGTGTGATCCCCACCATGACAGTCTGGCATTCAATATGACATATCTTCTGACATTCTATTTGGCATTCTATCTGGCATATCTTCTGGCATATGATCTGGCATATCTTCTGGCATTCTATCTGGCAAATCTTCTGGCATATCTTCTGGCATTCTATCTGACATATCTTCTGGCATTCTATCTGGCATTCTATCTGGCATATCTTCTGGCATATATTCTGACATATCTTCTGGCATTCTATCTGGCATTCTATCTGGCATATCTTCTGGCATTCTATCTGGCATATCTTCTGGCATTTCTATCTGGCATTCTATCTGGCATATCTTCTGGCATTTTCTCTGGCATATCTTCTGGCATTCTATCTGGCAAATCTTCTGGCATTCTATCTGACATATCTTCTGGCATATCTGGCATCTATAGGCATATCTTCTGGCATTCTATCTGGCATATTTCTGGCATTCTATCTGGCATTTATCTTCTTCTGGCATTCTATCTGGCATATCTTCTGGCATATATTCTGACATATCTTCTGGCATATTATCTATCTGGCATATCTTCTGGCATATCTTCTGGCATATCTTCTGGCATTCTATCTGGCATATCTTCTGGCATATACCTGGCATATCTTCTGGCATATCTTCTGGCATCTATCTGGCATATCTTCTGGCATATCTTCTGACATTCTATCTGGCATTCTATCTGGCAAATCTTCTGGCATATTCTTGACATATCTTCTGGCATTCTATCTGGCATTCTATCTGGCATATTATTCTATCTGGCATATCTTCTGGCATATCTTCTGACATTCTTTCTGACATTTTTCTAACTTTCTTCTGCACATTCTTTGTCCCATATCTTCCTACATGAGGTCCGGCAGGGAACACTTGGCGTGGATACTCGCGGTTGAGGTCCGGCAGGGAACACTGGGCGTGGATGGTCGTGGTTGAGGTCCGGCAGGGAACACTGGGCGGGGATGGTCGTGGTTGAGGTCCGGCAGGGAACACTGGGCGTGGATGGTCGTGGTTGAGGTCCGGCAGGGAACACTGGGCGTGGATGGTCGTGGTTGAGGTCCGGCAGGGAACACTGAGCATGGATGGTCGTGGTTGAGGTCCGACAGAGAACACTGTGCGTCGAGGGTCGCAGTTGAGCAGGAGGACGAGGAGGAGGACGACGAGGAGGAGAGGAGGAGGAGGAGAGGAGGACGAGGCAGGAGGAGGAGGAGGAGGAGGCAACTGACATAAAATCTAACAACCCTCACCTGGCAGGTGGGGAACAACGCATAACATCCCCTTCTTGGTGACTATCCTTCAGGTCTGTGCAACCAAGATGAAACAACATGAAACAAACCAGCCTCACAATGCCCCACATTGCAAGCACCCCTGAGAACTGACACCAACAACAACTGCAAAACAATCTGATTCTTCGACTGGCAACTGCCGTTTGTATGACTTCCTTTAAGGCTGTCATGTTCGAAACCACTTCCTGGAAACACTGGACGCCATTCATTGCTGCATGATGTCCCCCTCGGAGATGGCCCATGGGCCCATGGTCACGAGTTGATCATATTTCCCCATCTAGCACTATAGATGTATTCAATTCTATCCACCGTAAACTTCAATTAGCCTACAGCAAAAAAAAACTACCTATCTACCGGGGCGGCCCGGTAAACACGTTTTGGAGCCTCTCCTCGTTTGGAAGCAGCCTCTTCCGGGGCGGTTCCTGGCAGCGTCAAGAAGTCACCAAAAATGGCGAGTTGCCGCGACTTTCCAGCAATCTACTGAAAAGAAAAACGATGGAAATCCATGGCTTTCGCGTGCTAAATTCATGGTGGATTTTGAATATCTATACTTAATTTACTGGAATCAGACTTGGCCAACTGTGAAAAAGATTAGTAAATGACGTTGACGACTCAAGTCGTTAGGCTGGATTGGCATGACATTGTCCCAAATATGGCTCCTTAAAATCCCATTAATATTATTGATCATAATGTTATTGAAGTAAATTATTGATGTAAATTATATGAATAATGTGGTTAGAGCATGTTAAAACCATAATAATCCATCCCCAAGTTTGCCAAAAATGGTTGGTAATAATGAAAAAAACAAGACTTGGTGGTTTATTCTTGTTTTAACCAAATATATCTCTATCTATATGTATATATATATATATGTGTGTGTTTGGTATATGTTGAGATGAAGCGATTCATAGAACCATCCAAGGTGTTTAGCTTTGCAGTTTCCAAGGTTTGATGCGCTAATCATCCTGCAGCAGACTATCCCGTTGTTCTATGGGATAGTTGGTCTCAAATATGATCAAATATGTTTGTTGATCTAATCTATAATCCAACTATAATCCAACTTTGGTTGTTCTATGCTGTCCGAACCTAGTCTTATTCTTTACGGATTGATATTAACTGCTGGTCAAAAACGCATCAATCACCAACCTGCTTGAAGCGTGCATTCACGTTCGGATAGCCAGCAACGCCTTCCGTGCGTGACCTCAAAAAAGAGAGACGTGTGCAGCGGCAGGTTAATCCCACAATGCATACAAGTGCATATGTGTTCAAAAGTATGTATATATATATGTATATGCATGCAGCACATATAATCTTAATTATCAAATACGTTATTTTCAAAAATACCTTATTGTGTAGGCAGGTCCATTATGTATGTATATATATATATATTGCGTGTAGTACATGTACATATATATATTTATACGCATGTATATATGTGTATATATATATATATGTATGTATATATAATTATATATATATATATGTGATATATGTGCATATCTTTACATACATATTGGACATCTATGGTCCAAACACCCCTGTTACATCTCTGGGCTCTCCGGCAAGTCCCGGTAGCTGGTGGCATGTCTCACCCGTACCCTTGCAGCGGCACCACGGCCACCACGCACAGCACGGACAGCCCAAAGGGACGCCATGGTGCCGAAGCGAAGACGCTGGATGGGTGAAGGTGACAAAAGAACGAGACAACGACACATCTCGTGGATGATCATGGTCAATGTGTGGTATTTGTTTATGATTGTTCTGCACATGGTCATTCTGTTTTCCAATTAAATAATTTGCAAGAACTGTTCTTGAAGCCTGCTACGACTTGGTGATGGCCATGATGCCTCAAGATATGTTCAACTGAAGCCACGGTGGCAAATCTCGCTAGTCAGGTACAGCCGGTCCACTAATTATAAGATCACTTGATTCATATCTTTTAAACTTCGTTTGATATCTTTCAATTAATGTGCCAAAACAATGCCCATAAATCCAAAATCATTCCAATCCTCCCAGTGAAACAATAATATCAACAGAAAGCGGATGTACTGTAAACTCATGTAAAATCCATATCAGTAAAATCAATCGGGTGGTATCCATACATCATCATACATCCATATCCATAAATCAATTCCACCAAAACACTATTCCTCCTGGTCCCTCCGAGTGGCCGCGGAATTCAAGGTCAATCGATCCGCTTGCAGCGCCGCTGCTGGGATCGCCTCGCTACCGACGCTTCGAAGATGGCTTTTGGGACCTGAAAAGTTTGTGGGAAAACCATGGAAAACCATGGAAACCCTAAAGATTTCATACTTTAAATATCCTTAAAATTCTTTAAATATGTTTCAGAAATGTTAAGAATTTAATTTTCTCTGTTGAATGGATCATTTTCAGGGATCCCCCAGTTGCAGACAGAGCCATGTTTGTTTTTAAGGCTAGCTTAGGTTATTGAAGGTTGCTTAGGCGATAAAAGTTGGATAATAACAGAATTTCTTTTGTTTCAGACACTTGGCATCAAAAGGAACGACGGGGAGAAGTCACCCGGGAGATCAAGCTAACTCAGGAGGAAGAATCTATAAAGTCACCAGTACCATGAGCCCCAGGCAAAGCTGCTTGAAGAAGTTTGTCTGACCATGGGATGTTCCCCAAATTCCACTAGTCACTATATAGTGAATCGTATTTTTATATAATGCAAGTATGCAAAGTTGGGAATAAAACCGATGTTCATTGTGTGCCTCAAAACTGAGACGTCTTACCTCTGAAAAGGATCAACCCATTTGTGGTTCCCTGGGCTTTAAGTCTTAAAATTTCAAGTTTGACCCATACCTAACATTAAAATTGATCCATACCTAACATACTTAACATTGGGATAACGGGATAACCCATACCTAACATATCATTCAATATCCCAGTTTCTGTTGCTAGAACCCCTCCTGATGACTGATTCGATCCGCTTGACTGGTTTCAACCTTGTTGGTCCAAGGAGGCATCTCATGTTCGGAGGGCACACCCATGTCTGAAACCGGGCGACAGAAAGAGATTCTCACACAGCCTCCAGCAAATGTAAGGCTTGAATCCAAGCAAAGCCTGCCATTCTCGCGGAGCAAAGGATGACGTCTAGTACTCTGGATTGGTTCCAGGAAAAAAACAAACTTTGAAGATATAGTCCGTTTTCATTGCTTGACTGTCCCACGTCGTGTTTGGACACACACACACAAGCACATGACTTTCCTAGCTTGAACCAAAGGAGAGCTATCCGCCGGTATCCGCTCTCTCAGGGTAAAGGCGCTCCTTTGAAATCACGGACACACTACTGATCTACTGTACTATACACTTATGAAAGTTAATACAAATAGTGCAGCTTCCCTGGAGGGCATTAGGAGTCGCTACCTAACATATGGCCATTGAATTGGGAAAGTTGTGATTAAAAAAAAATAAACCAATGGTTGAAGGAGACCGATTGATATGTTCAACCACACCCATATTATATTCTCAATCTTGTGTGTGTTTCTCTCATGCACGTTGGTTTCCTTGAAAACGTGGGGAATTCTCATAACCAGCTGTGTTCCAGGTCATCATGAAATAGTCAAACAGAAGATGTGTTGACATTCATTGAAGATTTGAAGGCTGCCGTACCCAATACAATCCAATACATAATTCCCAATACATCTTCCCGTCATCGAAACGTTCTGAATATGTAAAATCTATCATGCTATTGGGAAAGTAGCTCTAACTGGCTCCCCATTAGATAGGGAAAATACTGAACCTCTTAGCTCCGAAGCGCTCCCTCCGAATCACTGAATTTATCTGGATAGTACCCTCTGGTAATTTAACATGGCTATTGAAAATGGCCCATAGAAATAGTGGATTTTCCCATTAAAAATGGTGGATCTTTCCATAGCTATGTGGCTGTTTACCAGAGGGTAAATACAATAGGACGTGGGTTTACTATGCTCTGGGACGGGAAAATGGAAGAAACTACTCCAGTCTCCCAGATCTGCAGCCTCTGGTGCAAGCACTCGCCGCTGCGTTGAAGACTGAAGTCTCTTGCAGCGCTCCTTTTTTTTGCCGCCGAGGCAAAACAAAAAATTGGGATATCAATGGTGACGTTATAATATGTTATAATCCTGCCCCGATAAATACCTGGTATTGGAATGCATTGGATATACCATCTGGTTATGACTAACATAGCCATGGAAAATCACCATCTTCAATAGGTAAACCCAGGTAAACCATCTATTTCTATGGGCCATCTATACCATGGCTATGTTAGTCATAACCAAAGGCTGGAGCCGTGGTAAAGCCCAATGCCGACTTGGAATCCGGGGGACGGTTGCAGCGAACCACCATCCCAGGTCTATATAGGATATCAAACACGTGGGGTTACACAATGGGAAGCATGGTGATATCCAAGAAACCTCCATCTTTCCTTGGAAAATAATGGTTTCCCGTAGATTTAACCAACCAATCCATTACGAAAAAGAACCCCCCAAAAAGATCCAAACAAGATAGAAGCATAAATGATCACGATTCAAGTAGGATGTTAGCTTACTATATACAATTTCAGCCGAGTGCGTCTACACCACCCGCCTGCCTCAAATGACTTCTCTCATACTATGAGACGATCATCAAAGGATATCAAAGGTATCAATTGGATTCAGGCAAATACCAAAACATTAAACATCATCAAACAACATGTTGTTTCCTGGATCAAATACAATGTTATTGGGATTTCACATAATATGTTTTCCTTAAATATGTATATATATATTATTATATATTACATACGTACATACATATAGTAATATTATATATTATATATATATGTTTATATTGCAACCATCAAAACCAAACTCCAAAAGTAGAATGACTATGAGTGTTGCTATTATTTCTGGAGAATCCTGTCTTGCACTCCTGGCAATTCGTCAAAGATCTCCAGGGCCGTCCTTCACAGCACGATAAGTTTTCAAAGTTGGCGAGAAGCTCGGAGATTTCCAAACTCATTTTGTTTTATGGAAACATATTTGGGGAAAACAAAAACATCGATGAATGGGAACATATGGGACCATGGGTGAAACATACAGTACGTTTCCATTAAAACAAAACCATATGATTTTCCCCAGTTTATTTTAATGGAAACGTATGGGAAACTTGGGTCTTATGGGAACATATGGGAAAATCATAAAGACACTGGATGACCACAACTCTGCTAGTTTCAAGCCATTCCAGAAACATAGGCTCTTATTGGGAGAAGCAAAGATCCAACAATTCACGTGTTTAAACTGTGTTTTGTTTAAAAAACAAAAAAACACACAAACTTTGATAGCATATCGAGTTGGGATGGCACGTAAACAAATGATTGAAACATCCTCCAAAGACCATCAAACACCATCAACGCTTAGATTCGGCTTTGTCTAAAAAAAGAAATCCCCCAAATCTAATGAGTGAATCATCATTTTCACTATTAACATGACACAAAAATGTGGGTATGCTTTTGGGTAGTGCTATGTCCTCTCTATTTGGCATGTCCTGTTAGAAGGGGGACGCTGGAACCTATTGATCACATCCTGGAAGCTGCTTATACCCTCTGGCAAACTAACAGTTTGCTATTGAAGATGGCCATTTATAGTTGAGTTACCCGTTAAAAATTGTGATTTTCCATATCATAGCTATGTTAGTGTATGAGAGGGTATGTATATCATTGAAACCCTTCTGTTTTATTCAAGGATTTTCAGTGGCTTTACTCCTGACGAACACGACCGGGTTCTGGACTTGCCATAGCTGCCATAGAACCATTTCACGGATACACATGTAGTCAATGCTTAAACCCTCACGTTTTGCTTCCACAGCAATCACTGTTCTCTTGAACCAACTAAATGTGCATGGGCAATGGGTGTTGCGATGGATTGCAACATTGTCACAGTAGAAAGAATGTAGAAACAGCTCACACAGGTTCAAACTCTTTGTAAATCCTCCTGTGTTTAAATATGTTTGATCATTCCTTCGACAGAACATACTTTTTAGAGTTTAGAGATATCTTGAGTTTTCAATGTACATCTGTAAACCTAGCATGAGAATAGTAAACTTATTGTACGCAGGTGCTTTTAAGATGGCTTGTAAAAGATCTGTAATGAGGATGACAGTTCAGGCCCACTACTGGCCAACCGCTATGGGACAGCACATGCACAAACGAGAATCAACGTGTTGGCACCAGCATTTCTGTCAAAACGACACAAATTTTCATTTATTTTACAAATACAGTAATTTGCAGGGTAGGGTAGGATAGGACATGGTAGGGGTCCCAACAAGCAGGCCGTAGCAGCTAGGTATGATACCCATTTTTAGATTCCGCCTCCACGCTTTGGAACGGCCCAAACTGGCAATTTCTTGTCGTGCCTGGAGCGTGTCTTTGGGATATTGGACTGACACCCAAGTTCAGCTTGCTTTCAAAAAGACTGTGAACATGTGCATATGTATAACATATAATATATACTATTATATGTCAATGTTGGTGTTGACCATTCTTATCGTATAAAACCCCAAAGCCAAAACCTTGAGCACACCAGACCAAAAGAGCGGGAAGCTGTGACATTCTCAGATCCTTTGAACGAGTTCTGCAGCTGGGTCGAGGAGTTACCCCATGGCATGATGTAGATGGCATTGCAGTCATGAGATTTCAACATGTTTTGAAGTATCAAAAGCTTGGGAGGTATCCATGGCTGTCTGGTTGGTGGTGCAATAAGCATCTTGAAAAATATGAGTTCGTCAATGGGAAGGATTATCCCATGATATCCCATATATTATGGAAAATAAAAAATGTGTGAAACCACCAACCAGGTATCCTATTCTTAGGTCCATCTCCAACCACACAGAGATTCAGTCCCATCCCCGGACGCTTGTTTTGTGCGCTCGTTTGGTGCTGCGTCACGTCACTGCCCAGTCTTCAACGGATCACGCGGTAATAGGAAGGTCCTTCACCACGATGCGGGAATAGGCAGTGGCAAAGTTGCCGCCACCATGCAAAGTGGGTTTGTCGATGAACTTCCTCCGGCTGCTGGGACCCGCTTCTAATAGCTATAAGATTTCCCTCTATCGTAGGGTGCAATCGAGCCCCTGCAAATACCCTCTGAGAATCTGAGCGGGTAATGCGAAGTTATTCATTCTAACGGAAAACCCATCTGCAAATGTACCATTTTTCTTTGCCATGCCGGAGTACATCTGAAACACGGACATGTTTTGTATTGAAGCGATGAGTCAACAACTAAAGGCGTGGGCAACACAAATGCTGGTCTTTGTATCAGTAAACCATCCCATTTCCGTGTATCTTACAAGCCAACATTGCTGGCTGGAAAATGCATTGAAAAAAGTCGATGATGTTCAGCGTCCGCACAGTGATTTTCCCTTCTATGTCTTTCCACATCACACCTAATACACCTAAACAGTTGACCCGTACCATGAGGATCACATTCCACGGCCAAGTTTCCGGACAAAGAGAAAGTCGGACTTGCGAATGGCCTGGATGCCTCGGAGCAGGAACATGCGTCTAATGATGCTCTGCACAACAGAAGCAGCGCTACAGAAGGCGCATGTTCACGTGAGTTCCATACTTGGATGGTCGAAATCTGCACATGGTAAATGGTATTAAAAAAATGTTTTTACTGATGAAGTTACCATAAAATATCAATTTGATTACCAAATTATTTTCTTGGCTAATTGACTTAGTTGTTGGCCAAAAGCCTGGGATAAATGGAATGATCACCAGAGCTGTCAAGATGGAAGCATAGCACTCATGTAGAGAAGATCATTGAACATGACCAGAAACAAACCATGAACGTGCCATTCATCTGTCATTGTACCCCGTACTCAGCCCGTTTTCTTCGCCCCTTTTCGCCCCGCCTTGAGTGGAGATGGTATCCCACCATCCGGGTCGGGCCCAATTGCCACCGTGTGGAACCGAGACGGGGTCCAGGGATAACATCAGGTTCTCTTGCCTTGAGCCATTGGATCATGAGGTCACCTTCCTGGGATGTAAACTGTAAACATTGCCGTCACCTATTCACATATAGATATATGATATTGATTAATTATTCTGATACATATATATATACATATATACATACACATATATATATATACATATATACATACACATATATATATATATACATATATATATATATATATACATATATATATATATACATATATATATATGTACATATGTATACATATATATATACATAATATATATATATAATTATATATATATTCTATGGGGTAACCCATGGGGCTCAGTGACCAGGTCTGTTGACCAGTTTCTAAGTGGAATGATCGGCTGACCACAGAAACCCCACAGAAACCCTGGACCGTCGAATGTGGACGTTTGATACTACTGTGGATGGTTGCGAAATCCTGCACCACCAAAAGGATGGTTAAACCATGTTAAACCCCTATAAATAATGGGATAAACCTCCTATCCACTGGTGCAGGATTTCTTCCATCCACCGTAGGGTGATGGGATTCAATGGTGGGTAGGTTGTACACCGAATGATAGCTGTTTGACGAGAACAAACATCGTTGTGATGGATATGTGATGGATAGCAATCATAGGCAAAATGGTTGGTGCAAGAAATATTAAATATTGGTAGACAGGTATTGTTGTTCCCACAAAGCACTCATAAGTATGATTAGTATTATTGTGTTGGTATCATGGCTTTATAATCAATGATATGCATGTATCTATTTATGCAATGTAATGTAATGTAACGCAACGCAATGTAATGATATGTTATGTCATGTTATGTTAGGTTATGTTATATTATGTATGTATTCATGATGGTTTTGTTCTCTATATATACAACATAGTTACAGTATGTGCCTTGGATCACTCGTGTCTCACACCGTGAATACCCCGGATGGACCAAGCTGCTCGTTGTGGCCTAAGCTGTGCATATACTTGGCCCAGATCACGAAGGTGTCACCTGATAGGCGGAGAGGTGAGCCCAAATTTGACCCATTGCCATAGCGGATACATGGGATATGAGTCAAATTTGACCCAAATTGGACCAGAAACTTGGCATTTTGGGGGTAGCCAATTTCGACTATCCACAGAGATAAAAATTGCAAAGTCGGAGATTTTAAGCTTCCCCAAGCACTTCAGTCTATGTATGTGCTGTTCGAACCAGTGGCTGAACAAGTTTTCGTCAAACATGGTCAAATATGTCAAATGTTATGATTAAATCCAGTTCCAGAAACAACGGCTGAAGGCTCCGCTTAGCTGAGAGTGGCTGAAACACCCCATTTTCTCACCACTGAACAATGGCATGCACATCCCGTTTCTTAGTCAAGGCACATTTTCCTTGCCAACCCGCTGCTTTATCAATTCGCAGTGGGGAGCCAGTAAACTCTGGCAACTCAATGGATTGATCTCCAAGGGTATGGACCTTCTTCAAGGTGCCGTACAAGGCGGTGACATACCAAAACTCGTCCAAGCATCCCCAGTTTCGATTGTCCGCGAAGTTGTTGTCCAACATGTTGTTCCAAGCCAAGGAATTCATCTTGAAATAGGACATGAAATTGCGCCTGCAAGGCACTGCAAGGTCACGATGAAGGGATGCTGGGGTGATCTCCTTCGAATCGGTGTAGGCAAATTGTTAAACATTACTGAGACATGTACATATACCTCTATATATATAATTGTATGTGTATATATATATATATATGATTATATATATATAAGTATGTCATATCAGTAAATGGTTTCTGGTTGCATTTTTCATTGCATCTGCAAATGTGAATGCTTGCTGCTACGCTATGGTCCCATTTCAGTGCTGAGGTCAACCAACAGGATACTTGGATGAATCATCTGCAACAGGGACCATATGTATGTATTGATATTCTTTGATACTTGGATGAGTATTAATATCCATATTCAAATAAATGTATTGGATATTATTGGATGTTATCATCCAGGGATACTTGTTTCTGGATGAATATTGATATAGAGAAACAAGAATCGCTGTCTAAGAACCCGTGGAGGCCAAGTCATCAAATACTCTAATAAATACAACTTAGCAATTCACTGATCATCAAGTCAAAGAGAGAACAAACAATCCCCAACGGGGAAATTCGGGGAATTTATATCATACTATCCACAAAGGCTATTTCAACATAATGTTCGAAGCCGATCAAGATCCAGAAACAATAGTTGACGGGCTTGATCATTCCTATTGTATACTATTATAATTAATGTTAATATTAATATTATAATTGTAATAAGTATAATGATATTTCAAAACACTACTTCGATCATCTTCGATCTACTTGGTATCTAATAAAAACATGGGGGAACTGAATCACATCATCTTGTCGCCCAAGCTGCATGATGCCCTTCTGCCACAGGTCCACCGCACGTGTCGCATGTTTTCGCGTCAAGGTGATCCATTGATGAACCTTCACGGACATTTCCAAGCCATCATCACTAGCCAGGTCGGCCCATTCTCCTCAAGGCGGAAACAGCTGCTGGGGGTCTCAGCCAGATTTTTTTTTCAACAAACATGTGGCGGCAACATGCGGCAACCAACAAAACTCAAGGTTTTTGCTCAACAATACATGCAGAGTTTGACCAAATATGGGGATTCAACCGGCAGACGGATTGACCCGCTCCCAAAGATTCTTGTTTTCCCCATGAACGAGAAAACTAGCTTGCTGAGCCATCTAGCTCAATCGGCTCGCCTACACCCTATGGGAGGTCATACCCATCCATTATCATCCATCCATTATCATCCATTCACCAGCACTCCTGGCATATATCCATTTAATTCCATTGATCCATCAGATTTATACTGGTTGGTGGTTTCAACATGTTTCAACCCCTCTGAAAAATATGAGTCAGTTGGGATTATTCTTCCCAATATATGGAAATTCATTAAAAAAATCATGTTCCAAACCACCAACCAGTAATCGATAAATCATCTAGAAATGGAGGTTTGAATGGGAAAATCCATATGGAAACCATCATTTTCCATCCATTCACCAGCGAAAAAAACACCTTTCGCTCCTGGTGGAAAGACGCAGAAATCCGAGCCTTCGCGCTGGCCCAGGACCTGGGGATGATCCATTGGGAGACCGGGAGGGGATTTTGCATGGCTGAGATTTGAGGTTCCTAAATGTTACCAGATATTAGTAGATGTTATTAGATATTACTACAAGGTGGGGCCCCCCAGTTATAAGTTGGTTTATAACTCCAATAACTATGGTTTATGGTACTTATAACTATAGTTAGTGGGGTCTATAAACCAACTTATAACTGGGGGGCCCCACCTTGTAGATGATAATAGAGTTGATATTACTAGATGTTACTATAGATGTTACTATAGATGTTACTAGATGTTATTAAATGATATTGGGATATTAGATATTAGGATCTAGGGGATTGACTTGTAGTGGATTGATTCCAAACCTCTTCTGTGTCATCAAACAGCTGGAAAAAATCCCCGAGCCATGGAGGTTTAGTTCGCTGGGAAAATCATCGAACCAGCAAGCCACAAGTGGATTTGAGGATAAAATCTACAGGAAACCATGGTATATTGGGACATTACTGTAGATAATTGTAGATAGTATTAGTGCTAATCATCAATGATTGAAATTGGAATTCTGCAGATCACTAGGCACTACTAGGTAAATTCTATTCTTTATGGTAGATACAACTATTACCGATGGGCTTTACAAAGCAACTTATATCTAGGGGGCTCGAACAGCACAATGGGTACAAGAACCCTTATGACTAGTGGGATGATAATCCCTGAACACATACGGCAAAAAAAATGTATGCATAAAGTAAAGTATATAAATCATCAACCATGTTTTGACCATCATTTGATGAAGTATCATGGAAAACAATGAATGACAAATATGTTCCAAAATATGATAAGACTAAAGACTATGAAAAGAACATCGTAGTCCTACAACAGAGATGGTCAACCCTGACTGGGCAAGTATCTGCTGACTGGTTGTGGGGTTTTGAAGCCATTTGCAGACTCATTGGATGAGAAAATCAACATCTCTTCACCCATTTTGCCTTTTTTAAGCTGTCTTTGCTCTTGATACATGTACACAGCCAATTGTATCCGAAGTATTGCTGACCAATGCTTGACATCTAATAGTTTTCAGGCGCATCACAATGGATTTATCTGTCTGCATGATACTAATGAGCCAAGGTGAAAAAAAATGTGGTTTTGGGCAAGTTTAGTTGCATATTATTTGTTCAACCATCATCTATAGATTCACCAAAAACTTAAATCTGCGATCAACTCCCCAACCGAGACCGAATGTCAAAGTAGCTGAATGGATCATCCCCATTCATCATTCATCCCCCAATGGTTGAACCATGGGGAACCCATCCGCCACGCCTGATAGATCTCCGAGAAGGGCTTCGCCGGCAGGGCGGAATCGCTGACGAAGGCGAACTTGTCGCGTGGATTCGTGGGGCCCAGATCCGTACTGAGAGCATAACCTGGGCACCGGCTCGGATGCGGAGCGTGCCCATAAACATTGAGGGTTTGGAATTGAAACAAAACAACATGGGGGGTGTCCATAAATGGAGGTACCCCCATAGCTGGATGGTTTCTAATGGAAAATCCGCATAAAAAATGGATAAAGATGGATGATTTAGGTGTACCATTTGGGTGAGAAGCCTCCAGATGGATTGAACAGATCAAACATCTGGCCATCAAAGTAGAAGGCTTGAGGATGCTTGAGGAATCATAGAAGGCTGGACTATCATCATGTATCCATCACTCATCTGGATAAAACGCGTTGGAATAGTGCACGATTTGGATTGAATCAAGCGATTTCTCCTAGCTCCCAAAGCTGAAGAATCAGCAGCTTGCGTACCCCCTCTTGACCATTCGTGCTGAATCTCGTGCTGAAAAACCCAGAACATGAACCCTTGAATTTCAAGGAAAATGTCACTAACTCTGAATTTCCGGCCAATTCATACAACTCCAGAACCCCCAATGATCAGATAATGCTTTTTCATAAAGGTAATAGATAAACGCAATGTGAGAGCAGCAGCTCTGTAATGGACAATGACACCTGGCCCAACGCACCGATACCCGCCCCAGCGACTCAGAAGTTGATTCATGGGCGAGACTAAATCCGTGCAATAGTAACTGGCCACCTCGAGAGACAGAAAATCACAAGTTCTTCGTGAAACAAATGGTGATTTTTTTTAATGAAATTATGGTAATTTTTTTGATGGTGATTGAGCCAAAAGATGTGCAATAATGTGGATATCATGAAATGATATGGAATGATATCCAACTGTCTCTGAAGATGAGGATTATGTCTTATCGCAATTTTGAAAGGGGACACAATGAATAGCTATCAAATTCTGGGGCAGCCTATCTTGGGACAAACCTACATTTGGATATAAGACATGATTGAACCGTTAGACTTTAGACGCAAAAAGCAACCATACAATACTTGTAGCTAGGCTGTCCATACGTTCAGGTCTTTATCCCTCTGTACAAGATTGTCATTATAATTAATTTGCTTAATGTTATTTTTAGAATTTTATTGAAATTGACAACACTAATTGAAAAATACTGTGGCACTGTTTTGAAACCCTAACCATAACATATTATTAACTAATCATTAATTACCATCTGGTTATTTAACATAGCCATGGACAATCACCATGCTATCAATAGGTAAACCATTAAAATGGGCTATGTTAGTCATAACCAGATGGTATGGTTTGATGATTTGCCATTAACAAAAAAACACGATCAGAAATGGTGATGAAATCCACTATAAAATAATGGTTTAGCTATTATAAATGGTGATTTTGGTTTAAACCATGGCACTGTTTTGAAGCCCAGACCGATCAGACCACCTATCTGTTTGTTGCTTCAGAGCCTGCGGATCCCATCTGAAACTGGAGGTGTCAGGATCACGTGGAGACGTGCGTCCCAGAACGTGGTTGATAACGGTGTTTCTATCTATCTATATATATATAACCCATGAATCCATATGAATCTGGAGATTCATCCATATGAACCTGGAGATATTCCAAATATTTCATGATATTTCCACATATAACTTATGAAGTCATACCCAGCCATACCCAGCCGATCTAACCCCTCGTTCCAGTCGCGCGCGCTAATTCGACGAACCGTCGAGCATCCGTTGGTACCGGGACGATGGGCGAACCCGCCATCTGTTGGACGCAAGACTTCTCCTTGCAATGCACAAAGGCCCTATATTGGTCCTGAGGATGCCAGGCTGAGGCTGGGCAAAAGCCGAGATATCTCTTATCATGGAATATTCCCAGCTATACATGAGTGATGTGTAAATAAATGAATGAATGTTATATAATATTATTGATATATATATATATATGTTATATATATATAGTAATTTATAATAATACATACTATATATATATACACACTATATAAACCAAATACCAAGTGATGGTAGACTGGTGGTTCAGACAACCGCCCTCCACAATATAAGCCTTTCAAAACCGTTTTCCGAGATGGGCATGGAAAGCAACACCGTTTGAAACAACCACATAGTAACGGTTAACGTAGCATAGCAATCCCAAATAAGATAGAACGGTATAGAACGATAAACATGATAAAACCGTAAAATCCAAGTAAAAGCAGTAAACTACTGTTCTATACTTTTCTATCTCTTGTGGGTAACCTGACAAAAAATGAATTTCATGAGACAAGAGTGCATGACTAGCCAATTCTAAATGACCTCAAGTCCATGCGGAAGGAACTGAAGGAATGCTGATCTTTCCGCCCACTCGACTTGTCAGGCAGTTGAGTTTAGCTATCTCAGTCTTACCAAATAGACAGCAAAATGAGCAAAAAATGGCAGATATAACAACATATGTCATTTAATCATAATTATGTGTATATATATATACATACTACGTACGGTCCTGTCTGATCTATAGGGCAGGCCACCCCAAAATCCAACATAATTTTCCCGATTAACCTAACCAATTTCATTTTTCAAATGTTCCCACCAAGGATGGAGAACCTACTACTGTAGCCATTGAGTCTTCAAATCAACCCCTGACCCCTGTTAGGGGCTATTAATCACCACCATCTACAACAAAAGGAACTGTTTGTTGTTCAAGTCAAGACATCGAACGTACATGAAAGCATGCGCCCTAGTAGTTTTATCACTTACCTCCCCCAGCATCCACGACAGCCCAACGGCGATAACCCTGCCTGAATGTGCATCCCAGGGATTGTAAGCTGTTAAGAATTCAGCCATACAGTATGTACTGTACAGTAACCCGAACAATTACCGAGGAAATTTCTAGAGTTTAGGCATTATATATTTCCATATGACAACTTCCCCGCTTCCTACAGGGAGGTTTCCTGACCTGGGGGCTACCCCTAAATCATCCATTGTAATAGGATGCTCCGTGATTTTCCATTGTAAACCTTGTAAACCAACCATTTTGGGGATCCCCCATTTATGTAAACCCCTATCTGCCTTTAAGGCACTGATTCTGCGGAGTCAAAGAACGCCGTCCAGACGTCAAGGTTGGAAATCTTATCCACGGCCAAAAAGAGGAAGTAGACGCGAGGACCTGCCATGGTGACGACTGGGGGTCCAAACCATGACTCAAGAAACACCCTATATATATATATATATCTATATATATATATAAAGCCAAAGCAACGCATATTAGGTCACGTAATGTCATAATATATATATATAATATATAATATATATATAATATAATATATATAATATATATAATATATATAATATATAATATATATATATAATATATATAATATATATAATATATAATATATATAATATATATAATATATATAATATATATAATATATATAATATATATAATATATATAATATATATAATATATATAATATATAATATAATATATATATATAATATATAATATATATAATATATATAATATAAATATAATATATAATATATATAATATATATATAATATATATAATATATATACTCTGTTATATATATATATACATTATGGTTACATGGTTAATTAAAGTTGCTGGTCATAAGATGTTATAACAAAGAATGGGAATCAAGATGGTGATCGTCAGTTGGTAAACCGATTCAGAATTCCACATGATCTCTGCTTCATTAGTTCCTACGGAGTACCCGGCTCTATATTACCCTATCAACCAACAGGATTGAAGTAGCATTGCTCAGCCGAGTTGAATGGTGGCTTTGAGTTGTACCATTTGTGTTTGATTGCATCCTCATTGTTCAAACACATGTTATGTCTTAATGCAAGGTCACTTAGACACTTATCAATCCACAACATGCTTAATTTGAACTTCCAGGTATGTATCTACAGGAATACACACACCATTTGTCATCATTTGCGTCAAGTTTGATCTAGAGTGACTGGGCACCCGCTGGGGCTCAGTGGGGGTTGGTGTGACTGGGAATCCAGACATGCCAAATGCTTGCCCTGCAGTGAGCAAATATGGCTGGCCATGAGGAACCCCAAATCTGTGGTTCCAGCATGTTGCAGCAGGGAATTTCCATTGCCAGATTTCATTAGTTTTTTGAGTAGGCCATGTTTCTTGGTTTCACTTCACAAATCAATCCAAATAATTATTACAGGTGCCTTCCAAAAGGATGGCCCTGAAAAAAGTTCCAACCAGGATCCTCCAGGGTGAAACCCAACATTCGGGTCACGGTGGTTTTGGCGTATGAAAAGTTACATCATTTGGGTCACGTGGCAGTATGACGATTGTGGCGCCATCATGCGCCATCTCAGTTTTAGGATGTTTTAGGGATGGAAGAGAAGGAATATTGAACACCACCAGCCAAATAAACCTCTTGAGAGGCATTTCCAGAGTGCATGACATTCATTTCACTCAAAAGTGGGATACGGTGAGTACACTCAGGAACAAAAAGTACGTAAAAAATACATGAGCCATGACAAAGATTCCTATATCCCATCCCATTATACTGGTTGATTCTGTATTCCAATTCTTGGTTACAACATGTTACAACTATCCGTAACTATCCCAAATAAATAAAACATTGGTACTGTACAACATGATACAACCGAGAACCCTATACCATAACCAATCCCACAGAACTAACTGTCTTCATGGATCAACGCCCTGCCGGAGCCTCTTTGATCCTCCGTCTGCAAAGCACTGCGGTTCACTGCGCCACGCAAAATAGCAGTGGCATTGATGACTGGCAGCCAGGCAACGAAGCACGACCTCATGGCTACCTGGAACAAACTGATTTCGGAACAAGCTGTGCAACTCAAAGATACTGATGGTATCTTATGGTTGTCTCATGTTTTCAAACAAGTTGTTGTGAATAACTGAATAAGCTTCTGAGTCTGAGTATCAGAGACAGCTGAGAGAACGATTCCAAGTTCCAGCCCTTCACCGCTGCACGGAAAGAGCGTTCCGCCCAGCGGTGGGCAACTACGTTGGTGCCCCGCAGCACCGGGGCGGGAAAATCTGCGACCCGCCGCAGATTCTGAACCAAAATGATGCCGGGATGTGAGATTCTTGGAAGGCTAAAGCTGCTAATACGACTTGTAAATTTGTTTGATTGAAAATTCAGGGTAAGAACTGCAATATCTATTGACATTGTTTACCATCATGTTCCCCATTAGAAATGGCAATTTTTGAGGTATAGTATACTTTTTCAGACGAACCCAAAAATGACACCAGTGGGTCACCGGGTGCTTCGGTAAATGCTTGTTGCGCTTGGCAACTAGCTGTGAGATATCATCTAGTCATTTCCTCCATACGGCTCGTTAAGTGTCTCATGAATGTGAGAAGCAACTAAAAGTAAAACATAGCAAATAGACATCATTGAGATAACCCCCAAAAAGGGATAGAACAGTGGTTCCAGGATGGTATAGATGTTCTATGATGTTGTTTTCCCATGTTTTCGGTCTGCAACTCTTCCATCTTTGTTGGGGATGCACCGACTGAATGCCCCAAATCTGGTGGATTTACCGACTCACCGACACGGCTGCTCCTGCACCACGGCTCGCGGAGCTCCATGAGATTCGAGGAGCATGTGAGGCAACAAAGAGGTGTGTTCTGCAGAACAATGGCGGAAACATATCCCAGGATTTGCTGGGGGGGGTTGAGCAAAGAGAAAGTGCAGTGTTCTGCAGAACAAATGTTGTCCGAGATACTATGATCTGTATACCCCAGCTGAAAACCCAGCTGAAAACTATAGATAGAAATGGAACACCATTGATATTCTTTAGGATTCTAGGAACGCCGCCTTGAAGCTTCGACTAGAGTGACCGCTGCTGCAAAATGCATGGACATATATGTGACATCAGCACTTAAGTTTCCCATTTCAATTTCAATATCATGTTCATTTCATTGGCCCCCGCCCTGTGATGATAGCACTGCGGCGACTTTGAGCACAGAAACTGTGGCCACCCATGGACCCATGGTGCCATAGCTGAAATTCATGTCAGCACTTCGTCCCATTCCAATAATTAATAGTGCATGTACCATACCTCAAAATACCCCAAACATGCAGGCAGATGTTATTATTATATTATATATATATATTTATTTATATATATATATATATATATATATTCACTTTTTCCAAATCTTTCGAAAGCTCGTGATTGCTCCATTTTTTTGACCATTTTGGGAGGTCCAAGATGAAAGCACCAAGGCTCGTGGTCGCAGTCACAGCCATCAACTAATCAACTCTCCAGGCCTCAGCCCATTTTACCCAAAAAAACGTCAAAGATGTAGAAACAAATACCTCACTTACCCTCACTTTGAAAGGATTATACAATATTATACTATGTGTATCATTGTGTATCTATGTGTTCCAATTCAAATGGGTGTACATCCCATATTTGAACTATCCCTTCATATACCATACCATTGGAGGCTGCCAGACTGCCAAACTGCCCGCGTTGTTTTTTTTCGCGCACAGCGGTTGACAGGCTCCTGCAAAGAGTGAACTGCTGGACATTTCGCCTGGACCCATGAAAAAAACACCACTTGAATATGGCTTCAATGGCGATTCATGAAAAAAAACATGGAAAAACATCATGATCAACCAGCGAATCTAGGGGGTTATGCTATTTTCAGACCTGCTTGGAAACTGAGTTTGCAATTTGCTCCTCAAGATGGTAATGTTTCGATTTCGAGGTGAACACTCTTGAGCTTTCAACTGGTCTGTTCAAAAATCTGACCCACTCATCCACCGGCAGTACAGCGTCTACCAAATCATTTGGGTAGTGTGGCACCCCAAAATAGGACGGGTTTAAGCAACAAATGATAGGAACAAAAACGTTAAAGCTCACATGGCAGTGTGTCAAAACCTTGTACCCCTGGTGAACATCAAAATAGCTGGTAAATGGATGTTCATCCCACTAAAAATGGTATTAATAGGTATTGATCCATACCCATTTGGATACATTTGGGATGTACCCGAATGCATGTCATTCAGGGCCGCGGGGCAACTTCCGGTAAAAGCTCCAGGGCTCCCTGCCTTTGCACTGGCCGCTCACGGTTCAATGCCTGAAGGGTCGGACGGAGTCCTGATGAGTCCTGGGTCATTCTGCCTTTTCAACAGGACTTCTCAGCTTATGGATTCCAATGTTAAAATTTCAATGACCCAGTTGACACTGGATTAATGTTGGATGTTAACATTCCAATGTTAAATTCCAATGTTGGATGTGTCTATCGATCCAGTGAAAAAAATCAATGACCCTTCCGAAAAATGACCTCATGAGTTGAAAGATTACCGACCTTATGGGTGCTTAGAATCAACAAGAAAACACATCACATCATCACATCATGGAAATCCATGGGTGCCCGACGGGTACTCAACCTTATGTGGCTTGACAACATCATCTTTCGGGCCATGGCTTCAACTCAACATCCTCAACATTTAAGGGACAAAACACCATAATCCCAGGGTTGTCATGGATCAACGTGGCCATATGTGGCACGCCATGGCTTCGCTGCCTCCGCCTTTTGTTTGGAGGACCATCCCAGCCCCATCCTGCGGCGCAGGGGATCGACAAAGTCACCGGTTTGGCAAACCAGCCCTTTTTTTCATGGCAGCACTTTGAAATTGCCGGATAAAAAAACAGGGCGCAATTTCTTTCAAATCTATACTATATATATATAGTGATATAGTGTGTATTATTTTTTAAGCAGCTTCAGGGAGAATTCCAGCATGGTAATCCTATTGAACCATCATTCCTTCTATTCACCTCATCCTGGATGTTCATACCATGCTCAGCTCAAAGGGGGATAGGTTCTCTTTACTTGACTACTGTAGACTAGTGCTACTGATTGATGGCTTTATACCATCCCAAAATATTATTGGGCATCATATCCTAACTAGAGATGAAATAAAGCATAATTATATAGTAGAAACCACCAACCAAACTACTGCCGTCCAGTTTTTAGGGTGCCTGCTTCTGACCCTTCCCCCAGTTCAAGCTTAGCGTGTGATGTAGATATAAGTCAGTTCACCCTGGTACCTTTGTGTTGACACCCATTGTAATAGTAGATGTTCCTCTCCCCAAAGCTGGTCCCAGAAGATCCCAGAAGTTTTTTTTGGCCGCATCCCAGTTCATGGATGATGATAACGACCAAAAAAAATGCGAAGTGTGTGTATCCCCATAACCCAGAGAGTATCCTAGAGAGATATGAAATTGGCTATATAGAACTATAAAACTATACAACTTTTGTAACTTATAAATATATATATATATATATATAGATAGATATTCCCCGTTTTTGATGCTTTCATCAAGTTAAACCTCCATTTTGAATTACCCTCTTCTATAACCGCAAGTGTCCTTGATCCCAGCTGCCTTGATCCCAGCTGCCTTGCCGGCCCCAACCTCCTCCTGGAGTATGTCTGAGAATGGGGTACCTGAAGGTACCCAATGGTTCATCAATGGTTTTCCTACTGAGAATGGCTCATCCCACGAATCCTAAGTAGCTTATACCCCTAGTTATCTCAGTGGATTAAGCCTACTTATCCCACTTACAACCAAGGCTATAACCTACATACTAAGTGGAGTCATTAAAATGGCTATGTATTGGGAATACCCATTTGTAGACACATCCATATTTCATCACTGGACCATCGCAAAATGTGGGGAAAAGGCTGGAAAAGCTATGGCCGGGTCCTTGACGACAGAAAAACAGCGGAAGGTATGTACGTACGATTCCCCGGAAAGGTGAGCTGTGCTCTGCCTCTCCTCTCCGGGTTGTTTGGCTATCACATGCCATCCTCTATCAAACCTGCTTCAAGAAACAAAACAACCCCAATTTTGGAAGCCTTGTTGCCTTGATTGTTAAAATTTGGAGGGTAAAACTGTAAAACATCGAAAGCAGTTGCCATTGGGGCTCCCGGATGATATGCCCTTGAGGCTCATCCAGTCCCAACGGTGTTCTCGGCTATTCCTCCCTGCACTGGCAACTGTGCGCTTGATTGGGAGCATTATATATATATATATAATCATTAATAATAATTATTATTATTAACTAGTGTTATTATCATTATGTATGTATATATATATATATCATCAGATGATTTCGAACTCAAACAAAGTATGTCTACAATTCATATTCATGTTGATACCAACTGGATAAAATTGTGGATCGAACTGCCCAAACAACACACCCAGAACCAGCCCAAGCTGAGAGCCCTTTGATGCCTCCATTCCAACGGTTACCGCCACCCCAACCTGTCATGCACAATGAGTGCATGCAAAATTAGTTTGTTTTTGTTCGTTGCGAAATCAAACTTAAACACATATTATACTGGTATCCTATGTATGTAAAACATATGTTGACGATTATATGTATATATACAATTATAGACATATATGTGATTCATATAATAAACATAATTTATATATAATATAGAATAATATAATATAACATAACATAATATAATATAATATAACAATAATAAAACAATAATACATATATATATATATACATATTATACATGTATATTAGATACATAATGATAAAGGCATTCCAGATTCCAATATCCACCACCGAGAACACCCAGGCTATGCTCATGGTATGATGAATCCGATTCTGTCCGCTTCAGTGTTGAATTTCCCAACATTTATCTGTCAACAGAACAGGAACTAAATGGTATGAAACAGCTTCAAGTCCCATTTTCCCATATGTGTCCCATTTTCTGGGGATTATATCTTTAAAATCCACATTTGAAGTCAAGACATGCGGTTAGGAAACTCCAAGTGGCTTCTTGGCTCCCCATTCAATAGGGAAAATGGATGAAAATGGATAGCTTCTTCGCTCCGTCTGAACTGGACAGAAATTTGCTTCAGTTCTGGAATCTTGGAAAGGGACCATGTACTTCATGCCAGACCCGGTACAATGATTCGCAAATAGTCGTGAGGCATTGATTCCAACTTGCCATTGGCTGAACTGTGTTCAAGTAAGCTGAATTTGTGAATGCCTCCCTTGAGACAAATACTGACTGGTAGCCACCGACATTGCACCCTGCATGTGGCCACGCCAAGGACGGAATCTTAGCTTTAATCGCAGCTACACAAAAATGGTAACTCCTGAACTTCACAGGACAAATCAAGATAGATTCCCAATCTGTGAAGCACTTCCCGGTTCGTGGTGTCAAGTGTGGATTTCTGCTGTCTGTGGGTCGGTTTCTCAGAATCTCTGAAATATATAAAATGGATCAGTTCAAGGGACATTTTACAGGAAACACCCATATTTCATCATATTTCATGGGGGCAATGCATGGTTTCCTATGGATTTCCCCTTAAACCCATCCTTACCTGAATGACCACCGACCACCCGTTTTTGGACACGTTGAGCTTCCGTGTCCGCTTCAGTCAGTTGATTCACTTCCCTCAGCAACCACTGAAGCGGCAAAGCCCTTTGGGCCCTCTCACAGGCCTAAACGATGCGAAAAGAAGACGCCAAATGAGTGAGACCATACTTGGCAAAATGGCCGCACAAAAACATGTTGATACTAGATAAGAATCACACGACTATAAATTAATTTCAAGTGTTTTCTTTCAGAGCTTGCTGATCAAGTTGATCATTTATAATAATTATTCATCATCATCATCATCATCACCATCATCATCATCATCATCATCATCATCATCATGACCATCATCATGACCATCACCATCACCACCCACACGGTGCAGGAAAACATTCAACACGGCGCAGGAAAGCATTCCAATGGGAACATCTCTGCCATATTCTGATTAATAATCAGTTTGGCTCTTGGTTTCGACTTGTGCAGCATGGCCCATAGGCCCATCGTGTCAATCCCAGGAAATCTCGAATCGTGCCCACTTCGGCTACGACCATGTCATACTCGTTTTGTGGTCGTCAGGTTATTGTACAACCAATGGAATCGCTTCTGACCAAATAAGTTCAACTTAACTGACCACATACAAAATCTCAGTCCTTCACCAATTTGCTGAGCATAGTATCTACAGTTTGGATAAGTCCTTTAGTATCCTTTAGTCAAGTCCTTGCCTACCGCCTCATACCATCTGGTGAATTAACATAGCTCCTGAACATGGACATTTAGTTCGTTGATTTACCTATGAAAAAAAATGTGGTTTTCCATAGCAATCTTAGTTTACCAGAGGGTATTCCATGTTGTGAAAAGCGCCTCGGCTGCAGCGTTCAAGGTGACCACGTTCACACAGCAGCCGTTTGTCATGCCGTGGCATTGGGAGAGCGCCTCTTGCCAGCGCACCGAACGGCAAAATGCTCCTGGAGAATTGACCGATTGCACCCAGAAAAAAGGGGATACTATTGGGTTAATGATGGTTAATGATGGTTAATGATGGTTAAGATTGGGATGCTGATTTGTTTTCTTAATGGTTAATGGAATGTGTTTAATCATATACAAAGATGTGGCCATGCATCAGTACCTAAAAACACAATTTTCAGGGGATGAACATCCAGCCCAGCTATACTGAGGTTCACCAGGGGTACAAAAGTTTTGACCCATCCCCATGTAGCAATCCCACCCTCATTTGATTAGCGGAGGGTAAGTTCTCTCATATTTCATGGGATATGGGAGCACCAACATTCATCAACCGTATGAGAGAAACATATCAAACAGCTGGTTTACAGGCTGTTTTTTTTTGATGGGTAATATTATACACATATATATATATATATATGTGAACATGATGGTTCTGCAGTGGATTTGGGTATAACCCGAGTTTGGACCAACCCACCTAAACCGCGAGGGTGATAAAAAGAGGAGAAAACCAAGCTGATAATTCCCAAGTATTTGTGGATTCATATCACTCATATACATGTATTATGTTTTCAGTGGTGCAAGGGGGTAGGTTGGACTCCTACTTGGTACTGTGGAATTTCTTTTCCATACTGTACTGCAGAGTCCAGACCGTTTACATGTGGACTTGTCCATGGGCCATACCCAATCTTTTTTGAACATGTAATTGGAATGATTCAGTGATATATCATCCAATTCCATACCCCAATCTTTTTTGGCATCTAATATCCACATGATACAGTGTTATTTTCAGGATCACTTTATGGAACAGATAGCCTCTGGGAATCAAACGTGGCTGGGAAAATCAACGGAGTCAGTGGGGGATTTCCAATTGCTATGTTTAATCACACCGGAGGATAAGCAGCCAAGATGGTATAGTTCCCTACAGATTTCCGAGGCAATCAACCATCAACAACTAAACAAAACCAGATTTATGGAGCAGAGAATGAATCTCCAGTACCCTCTGGTAAACTAACATCACTATGGAAAATCACCATTTTCAATTGGAAAATCCACTATAAATCACCATTTTCCATAGCTATGTAACAAATTACCAGAGGTAATTTCCCTGTTGAGACAATCATTTTTCCACCTTTTCTTAGCATCTCTGGTCAACCCCCACCGTTGCCGGTCCTAAGAGAGCATTGTAGGTGATGACCTGCCGTCGATCCCAATGGCTGGGAGAGCGTCACGTTTCATGGGAACTGGAGTTTACATCGTTTTTTCCCTGCACATCACAATGAAAGTTCACTAATATATATATATATAAATGTATTATAAATACATACTGATAATATCTGATAATTCCTTCAGAATAATCAGAATAGTTTCTAGACTCAAATTTTGGTGGACTCCAACCTCTTTGGATTTTTTCTCGGGGTACTTAGACGGGAGAAGGTCAAAATCACTGGGTTCCTCCTTAAACATGGCCAACAAAATGGATGATTTGGTTTTTTCCATGTTTTTCCCATCTTTGAGAAATCCTTGGATTCCCCATTCACCCTCTATTTCCACTGGTACCTTAGGGTCCCCCCAGTTATGTTAGTTGGTTTATAAAACCGTCTGACTACAGTAGTAGTTCGATGCATCTAAGCATCTATACAAATCACTGAAAGACCAACCCTCATCATTTCTCTATTCTATCCCCATATGTTTCATGGTTACAACTTCCACAAATGACGGCAAAATCATCATTTGCCTTCGAATGCAAATATTATATATAATTATAAATATATAATGTACATTACATATAACCCAGTAGATTCCCAACATTTTATCATCATCATTCTACCTTAAAACAAAGCCATCTTGGTTATATATCCCCCCGTTCCCCACTTTCGATTGCCCACGCCTCCGGTTGCAGCCCCCAGTGCCACATCTGCACGAAGAGATCCTGGGCGCCACGCCAGGCCTTCGACGACAGGGCGCTAATGGCTGCGCTCAAAGCCACGATGTTGGCATCGCTGCCCTAACGCTGGAAGAAGGAAAGGGGGGCGAACAAGTTCCATAGCCAATTTGTATACATATCGAGTTGAAAAGACTATATATATATATATATTTAGTACAAGTATAAGTATGCATTAACTAATATAATATAGAGATAATGTGTATAGGGGAGGGGTTTACAATTTGTATAGATATAGTTAAAGGTGGTGATACACCAGCCTAGAGCTAAGGGGGCCCTTCCTGTATCACTATCTTTAGTATCGTGAACATTGACCCATGAGTCATTGAATAGTGATGATACATAAACAACATGATGACAATGACGGTGTGATGATGACGATGACGAGGATGCTCATGATTAGTATTATTGCTATTATGATAACTGGTTGGTGGTTTCAACCCCTCTGAAAAATATGAAAGTCAGTTGGGATTATTATTCCCAATATATGGAAAAAATTAAAAAAAATGTTCCAAACCACCAACCAGATTACTATACATTTTACCTGTTGAAAATTGCAGTTGAAACCCTGAGTTTAGATTATCAACCACTTACGATTCCAATGCACACTGCACAAAAAAACGGCACTGCCAGGCGTCCAATTCCACCAACAATGCCAGTGCGTGCTGCCATCGACCAGCCTTCTCACAAGCACTGATCGCCTGAAGATAACAGCGGTTGAACCAGACATGGCCATGGCCAGCCATGGCCAGGGCAAAAAATCACGGTTTCAACGGAATATCGACAGAAACATGTACGAAAACTATCTCTAAATAAGGGATCATTCCAAGCCAATCCATTAGTGTATTGGGCATCTGTTAAGCTGGAAACCGTGTTTTTTGAATCTCAAGTCCAGTGTGTTTTATGTCCCTTCAACCAATTCCGAGAGCAATTGACATTCAACCAAATGTTGAAAAAGGATGTTTTTTTTTTACATCACCATGTTTGACTGTGCGAAAGTTTGAATGAATCATATTTCCTGAACCTTTGGTCGTCCTAAAATCAGCCTAAATCCGCTGGTCGATCATACATGTCCATTTGGAGGGTATTCCCCATTCTCAGCCACACAACCACATACCCTCTGGTAATGACTAACATAGCTATTGAAAATGACCATTTATAGTGGATTTTCCCATTAAAAATGGTGATTTTCCATAGCTATGTGGCTGTTTACCAGAGGGTATGTATATTTCTGGTATTCCCCATCATACACTTTGTTTGTTCCGTCGAAAATGGACTGCCCTATCAGCGAAGCTCAGCTCTGCAGCCCAATGGCGGCACTGAAGGTGACCACATTCACAGGACGTGCCACGCGGAGCAAATGCAGAGCACGTTGCCACTGGGTGGCTTTTTCAAAGGTGCCTGGCAGATGCTGATGGCTGTGGAGAAATCACCAAGAAGAACACTAGGGAAACGTGGTGTTACTTTTTTCCCCTCTTACCGGACCAGTGCACTGTAGACTGTGGAATGCAGAGGGTGGACTGAAAAGTGTGGGGCGTGAAGAAAGTGGAGTGTTGAGTAGGGAATGTAGTGTGTAGAGTGACGTGGGGATTGTGGAGTGTGGAATGTAAAGTGTAAGGTGTGGGGTGGAAAGTGTGAAGTGTAGAGTGTGGAGTGCAGAAAGTAAAGCGAAAAGTGTAAAGAGTAGAGTGTAAAGTGTAAAGTGTGGAGTGTGGAACGTGGAGTGTAGAGTGTGGAGTGTGGAGTGTAGAGTGTGGAGTGTAAAGTGTAAAGTGTGAAATTAGAACATCCAACAAAAAAAGGGCCCAGGTGAACAAGCAAACAGATATAAAAGCATGCAACATAATGCAACACTTCTCTGCTTGGATGTGGTTTCCCCATGGTTTTCCCATGGTTTTCCTATGGTTTCCCTATGATCCCCATATGAACTGCCCGGGCGGCTGATCATGGAGCTGTAGGTCACCACGCTGGGCACTAGAGCCTCCTGACATCGCTGAAATCTGGCATTAGCATATATATAGTATACATATAGTGTGTATGTGTATGTACATATATATATATATACATTCCTTAGTGTATATTTATATACACACTAGTTAGTGTATATATATAGTATATGTAAAATTATATATTGCCATAAATAATGATGTATATATAATATATAGATATATGTAACATATAGACCGTACATATTTATAAATGTATGAATCGAGTCTTCCGTTGCCACGCACGCGGTCAGTGGTTGTTAGTTGGATTAAAAAAACAACGCACTTCACTGGGATCATCCAATTCCACAGAAGACCGGGGCCCAAAAAAAACCTGATCTTCGTTGCTTTATAACCCCAACTAATTCGTTATATCTACCACAAACATCCATAATTCAGCTTGTGATTTGCGTTTTTCCTGAACGCGATCTTGCAAGCCTCACAGATTGTTCTCCTATTGAATTCTCCCTGTCATCCCATGAAGAGATCCCTGAAGATGAGACGATGAGAGAAGGTCACACACCACTCTAACCATATATTTATTGTTCTACTCTATACATATCATACATATATATATATATATAACATATATATATATATAAAAAAAAAAATAGTGTATAAAAACAAATAAACAACATCAAAAAAAACACCATCAGCAGAAGGTCACCGCAGTCCTTCTTCAACAAGCGTAGCAATTCCATTGACACCGTCCAATGTCCAGTGTTCTCACAAGACTTGATGGCAGAATTGTACCTGGCGCATTGCGCCGCCCAACCTTGCCAACTCGCGCGGTGCAAGAAACGCGGGCTACGCTGGGGTCAGAGTTGAAAGCCCTAGATGTGGAGGAAACTGAGTAAACTTCATAGTTTCGATTGGTTTAGTACGTGTTTAGATTCCACCATAAACATCATGGTTTAGATTGGTAAAGGTACTGTTTTCTATGTGGATACCTTAAACCCATCCCCTTGGACATCGCCGGCAAGTTTCTCCCAGGCCTTGGAGGTTTATTGGTCCTCAGAGTTTGGGGAAACTGTGGTTCCCATCTCACAATTCACCAGACATATCCAGATGAATAAACTGTACTATACTCCATAGATCTCCATAGAATTTTGAATCAGAATGGATAAGAATGGAACAGATATACGACATACACACCCGGGACACCTGAAAGTTTGTTCGAGGACTGTGTTTTTTGGTTTTAACGGCAAGTTGAGTGCAAGGTGGCTCTACGAGCAGGGCCAGTGCGACAATGGTGTAGTATCCTCCAAAAAATGGATCATGTCTGATCAACCATATCAACATAAAACGGTATCACATCAAAATTTCCAATCCAAAGAAAACTCCACATATGTTCAATTGTATTTAGGTTTCCCCATATGGCTTGTGTGAACATATCATACCCCCCAAGGTTGATACTTTATCCGTATGAAAATGACGAACACGGCCATGTGCAGGGGCAATTCCCCAATGTTCAATCACACTACTATGAATAGTTAAGTTATATCCAATTAACATAGATATATCATAGTTAAGTTATATCCAATTAACATCAACTAACTATACTTATATCATAGTTAAGTTATATATATATATGAATATATGTGAAGTTTGCATCCGCATCCTTTCCAATTTGTCATTTGCCTGCCGCCGTTTCACCTTACAGTGGCGGGACGTGTGCGCCATTGCGGACTACGCATTGCCGCGCTTCTCGGAAAAGCGTGGTGGCCCTTTCGAGGCCGTTGCCAGGTGGGGACTTTGTGGGCCTTTCACCTTTGGTTCTTCACATTGGTAGCGGAGCTGCCATTCTCCTGCTGCCTGGCTGGCTTCGCATTTGCACGAGCTGGCCCTGAGCAGGCCCTTGCTGGACTTTGACTCCATTGCTGCCTACGGCCCTGTGCAGGCCATTTCTGTTCCTTGTGCTTGGCCTTGTGCTGGCCCAACTGCGTTCTGTGCTACAGGCCCTGTGCAGGCCTCACTGCGTGGTTCCCAGGTCTTGAGCAGGCCTGGAGGTACTTGGACTTTGGCCCTGAGCAGGCCGTACTGCTGCGAGCTGTCCTGGCCTTGTGCTGGCCCTTGGTGCACTATTTGATCAAGATCGGGCACAGCACTTCGAATTCGACAACCTGGTGATTGACTTCCTTTGCTTGGCTTGGATCGCTGCGATCACCTCTGCCTTCGACGATGTCAGGGGGGACTGGATCTGCGAGCACAGCTGGCTTGGATGTTACAACCACCAAGGACTCCTACATCCCCTTGTTCAGTGGTGCTCCTTCAGACTATAAGGAGTGGAGAAAGCGATTGACCATCTATGTGATGAAGATGAGGATGGCGAAGAAGGAAGCTGAAGGCTTGCTTTCCGTCATTGGTTCACTGACGGGCACAGCTTGGAGGCTCTTGGAGAACTTCCCGATCGAGGACATTGAGAAGGCAGGAGCTTTCGAGAAGATGCTCAAGATCCTCGACAAGGCCTTCGAGTACGACAAGTCCGTTCAGTTGCCAACTGACTTCGACAAGTACTTCACTGGGCTCCATCGACGCCCAGGCCAATCGCTGCTCGAGTTCACCACTGAGCACGACCATCTCTACAACAAGCTCTCCGACCACGACGTCACCCTTCCTGGAAAAGTTCAAGGATGGCACTTGCTGAGAAGGGCCGGTCTGACAAGGGAGCAGAGACAGTTAGTCACTGCCCAGGCCCCGACGTTAGAACGCAACAAGGTGCAAGAAGCCATGTTCCTGCTACTCGGACAGGATCACAAGACGGTCGCTGGTGGAGGACAACATCAACATCATCGCGGTTTCCGACGGAAGGGGCGAGCCTACGCCGCCTACTATGAAGATGCTGACAACGACCCGGATCCCGATGACTGGCCTGATGATGATGGTTGGGAAGAAGGTTTCTATGAATGGGATGACACTCAGTCCCATGCCACCTCACCGGTTGATGCGGATGAGGCCTTGGAGGACTTTGACACTGATGCTGCCTACTTTCAGACCCTGGAAGATGTTGACCCAGCTGAGCAGGCGGAAGAGTTCGACACGGCCTATGCCACGTACTTGGACGCCAGAAAGCGCTTCAACGAGATCAAGCTCAGCCGTGGATACCTTCCCATAGTGGCCCTCACCGACGGCAACATCTCTCCTGGTGCAGCATCGCCGCACTCCTCTGGGTCCCCGGTGTCTCCGGGACGTGGCAAAGGCAAGACAAAGAAGGGCAAGGGCAAAGGTGGTTCCAACACCATCCGATACCCACCCCGGGGCAAGGGGAAAGAGCCCGATCCGAAGGGGCGTGCAAGAGCTTCAAGTGGCCCTCCAACATGCCTACGTTGCGGGCAGGTTGGACACATGACCTACAATTGCCCGGTGCCAAAGGGCGGAGCCACGAAGCGGAAGACAGCCCCGACAGAAAGCACTGTCAACCACTCCGAACACGGCCATGTGATCTTCACAGATCTTGGAGGCCACGAACGACATGACTGTGCCATGCTCGACCCGGGAGCCAGTGCATTTCTTTCTGGCTATGGCCCTTTCTTGCGCTACATGCTCAAGCTCAAGGAGACCAACTACGACATCACCGAGATCAAGTTCATGCGATGCCAACGAACCTTCTTTTTCGGAGGTGATGCCAGTTTGAACTGCACCTGGACTGTCCGCCTTCCTCTTCACCTTGGCGGCAAGCATGGCTACGTTCAGATGTACCTGTTGCCTGGCGAGACGCCTATGTTGCTTGGACGCCCCATCATGGAAGCTTTGGGACTGGTTTTGGATTGCCGCAGTCGGATGATCAAGTTGGATGACACCCCATGGCAAGATGCAGTTGTGGGTGCTCACGGTGAGTACTTGGTCTCTCTCCTCAACGAGTACGACAACGACATGTGGCAGTTTCCTCCCTCCTTTGAACTCATGGTCCCAGCTGATGGCGGCACCAGTGGTGATTTCTTGGACTTTGGCACTTTCAACAAGGAGACCAAGCTCTTTGATGACATCTCCAATGTGCAAGCCGCAGCACAGGATGGACTTTGTGCGCTCAAGCGTCACGTGCTGCAGACTTGCGATGTCACTCTCAACACGTTGGAGAACAAGCTTCATGCCTATGTCACGGAAGAGCTCCATCAACCATCACGAAAGCGATTGCTCTGGGAAGTCTACTGCGGTGGTGTGAGGGTGTCTGCAATTGCAGAATCTATGGGCATGGATGTTGAGATCTTCAGTTATGAGACTGGTTGGGACTTCGACCTTGAAGAGCACCAGACAGCCTTCATGGAGCGACTCCGAACGGAGATGCCTGATGAGGTCTACTTGGCCCCAACCTGCGGCCCTTGGAGCCAGATGCAGAACCTGAATGCCAAGACAGAAGCCCAACAGCATGACCTCTACCTGAAGAGATCTCATCACCACGACTGCCACCTGATGTTTGTCGCCCAGATCTACATGGAGCAGATCAACAACGCCCGACATGCACACATCGAACAACCAGAGCGAGCTCTCAGCTGGCGCACGACAGCCCTGAAGGATCTTCCTGGACACTGGATCATCCTGCACCAGTGCATGTTTGGCTGCGCCTGCCTTGACAAAGATGGATGGTGGAAGTTGGTCAAGAAGCCCACTGGCATTCTCTCCAGCAAGACTTCAATGCAGGCCGCACTGGCCAAACTATGCGATGGACAACATGTTCACTGTCCCCTTGAGGGCTCGGCACCTGGACTTGGCCGACGCACCTCATACTTGGAGGACTATCAACCTGGCCTTGCAGCGACGATTGCAGCTGCTCTCTGTGCTCCTGACCCTGCTCAGCTTTGGGACTATGGCTTCGCCGTCTCTGAGCAGAAGGAGGTCACTGGATGCCTGGTCAAGCTCCAGACGGCATTGAAGACCGAAGCAGTTCGCACTGTGCAGCGATTGCATCGCAACTTGGGCCACCCCAAGCCTGAAGCACTTGTCGAACTCTTGCAAAGCCGTGGAGCTAGCGACCAAGTCATTGAGGCAGCTCGCCACTTTCAATGCACTGCTTGCTTGCGCTACAAGCGTCCAAATCAGGTTGCACCATCGGCTCTTCGACATCAAGTTCGAGAAGTTGGTGAACGCCTGCAAGCTGATGTGCTGTGGATCAAGTGCAATGCCAGTGAGAAGAAGTTCCCAGTGCTCAGTGTCATTGACCAAGCCACCAAGTACACTGTTGCCACGGTACTTCATGGTGAACGTGGAGATCATCTCATACATGAGCTTGAGCGTGCCTGGATCAGACACTTTGGTCTTCCACAATGCCTCTGTTCTGACGAAGGACGCGGCTGGGTTGGCGAGGAGATGAACGCTTGGACAACTCAGCATGCCATCGAGCACATTGTGGCTCCAGCTGAGTCCCATCGACTTGCTTTGGTCGAGCGCCGACACGTCACCTTGCGGCGCGCCATCGAGATCTACATGGATGACATGAAAGTGACCGGTACAAAGGGCATCAGACAGGCCCTGACCTATGTGGTCCCACAGCTCAACGACACAGTGAGCGTGGCCGGTTACAGCCCATCTCAATGGCTCCTCGGCAAGGTCCCTCGACTTCCTGGTGGACTCATGCAGGAAGAGCTGGCTCCAGCCCATTTGGGAGACCATGACCAATTTGAACAACTTCTTCAACAGCGAGCTGCAGCAAAGAGAGCTCTGATCTCTGCAGATCTTGATGCCAAGTTGAGACGTGCCCTTCTGCGACAGTACCAAGGCACAGACCTCCCTTTGCAGATTGGGCAGAAGTGCTTCTTTTGGAGGGATCAACGACAAGACCGCTTGGTCAAGATCAGATGGCATGGCCCTGCCAGGGTTGTCATGGTTGAGTACTCCAAGGACGAGAAGCCCGAGCTCTACTGGCTGGCTTACAAGACGCAGCTGATCCGGTGCTCACCGCACCATGTGCGTGCTGACTTCACTGCAGCCGACACCCAACTGGCCGATGCTCAAGAAGCACGACGTGAAGTCGCCTCACTGCGATCCAGAGGTGTCACAAGGTTTCTGGACCTCAACAAGATCAACAGACGACGACGTCTTGAGGACTTCAACGAGGACGACATCGCCTCAGGTTCAGAAGCTGGCGACGATGATGCTGATGACTTGCAGCCACCAACAGCGCGCCAGCGCACCTCCTATAACACCACGGCCCAGAGGCCCGAACTCTCTCTGGATGAGGCCATCCGAGAACTGGGACTGGAAGATGAAGATGAGCTCAGCATGGCACCGACCTCACCAGCTGACACACCTGCTGAGCATCCTGAGTTTCCTGGACAAGCACAACCTGCTGTTCTTCCAGCACCAGCTGTCCCAGCTCTACCACCTCCAGATCAAGTTCCACAAGGCGACAATGTTGTGCCGATCAACGTCGATGAAGATGAGCCAGGCCAAGAACCTGCTACGCTTCCAACACTACCTCCAACACCTGATGATGCATCTGCGCCTGCACCTGACCCTTTTGGACTGACATCCACATCCTCTGCGCTCTACGAGCCTGCCCAAGAAGACTTCCGAACAAGACGGCTGAGGATGGATCAACATGAGACGATGCAGTTCACTCCCTTTGGTCCCATGCGACGTGGTGCAGGACGCCATAACCCTTATCCACAACAAGCACCTCCTGCAGATCCACAGCCTGCTTCAGAGCTCTTTGGTCAAGCTTTTGCAGTCGATGACATTGGTGGTGGTGATCTTCCCAAAGGATGGAGCATCGATGAACATGGCTACTTCCAGCTCGATGCCCACAACTTCCACGACTACTGGGAGATCAAAGCTGGTTGCCTGATTCGACATCACCTGCAGCCCAGACATCGCCGTCACGACATCACCAAAGAGAAGGACTGTCCCTTTGACTTGAAGCAGTTGGACCCAGTTCGTGTCACGATGATGCGTGCACCCAATGGCACCATCCAGGTCTCCACTGACCGCTTTGACACGGTGATTGCGCCCAACAAGGCCGCCTGGACTGGACTCACTGTGTACCAACTGACAGGGGCTGTGAGAAAGGAGCTTGCCATGTATGCCACCACTCCTGCGAAGAGGGTTGCACGACAAGAGAAACATGCGGCCATCAAGAAGAAAGCTTCCTCTGAGCTCAGCGAGCGTGGACTCACCATGCACGAGCGTGAGCAGTTCATGCAGGCCAAGATCAAGGAGCTTCGCAGTTTCTTCGAGAATGGAGTCTGGGAGTTTTCCAGCGTTCGGGATGCTGACCCGCAACGCACCTTGACCTCACGCATGCTGCTCAAGTGGAGCAAGAACCCGGACGGAAGTCCGCGAGCTAAGGCTCGATTGGTGGTCCGCGGCTACAACGACCAGGACGCGCTTGAAGGAAAGGTGGAAACCTCAGCTCCCACCACAAGCCGCCTGAGCCGCTCTATGTTTCTGTCCTTGTCTTCAATCCTGCAGTGGTGTGGATGGACAGCCGACGTTGCAACAGCATTCCTACAAGGACTTCCTCAAGAACGACAACTCTGGGTCAAGCTACCCCGAGAAGTTCTCAACATCTTGGGTGCTGATGAGACGACCCGAATGCTGCTGCGCAAACCTTGCTATGGGCAGATCGATGCACCGAGACGATGGTTTCTCGAAGCTTCAAGGAGATTGACATCAATTGGGCTGCGCCCTCACATGCTGGATCCTTGCTGCTTCCTCATCTGCGAGGCTGACTTCCCCGACATTCAAGCCTCTGACCCTAGCAAGTGTTTGGGATCCGAACGGATCGTTGGCATGGTTTGCATCCACGTGGATGACATGCTTGGAGGTGGACTTGAAGAATCTTTGGTTTACCAACACGTTGTCAAGCAGCTTCGACAGATCTTCAACTTCCGCGAATGGAAGGACCAGGACAAGCTGGAGTACTGTGGCGCAAGCCTTCAAAAGACCCCGACCGGTGGATGGAAGGTGGATCACGCAGAGTATCTGCGTAAGGTGAAGCCTATCTCACTTCAACGTGATCGAGGTCCTGAGGACTACATGACACCGTCTGAGGTCACCCAGATGCGAGGCTTGCTTGGGTCCTTACAATGGCCCGCTGTGCAATCACAACCGCACCTGCAGTGCTCTACATCTCTTTTGGCTGGACAAGTCTCCGCAGGACTGGTCAAATCAATCCATGATGCCAATCGCTTGCTCAAGTTTGCCAAGCTCAACGCTGACGTAGCACTTTGCTACGAACGCATCTGTGATGTGCAAGATCTACGACTTGTCACGATGGTCGATGCAGCATTTGGCATTCGACGTGACGGTTCCTCTCAAGGTGGCTACCTGACCATGCTGGTCTCCAAAGACGTCTTTGATGGCACCGAAGGAGCCTACCATATCATTGACTGGCGCTCATCGAAGTTGCCACGAGTTGCCCGCTCGAGTCTTGGAGCCGAAGCCCAATCAGCAAGTCAGGCCTGCGACAACATGGACTTTGTTTGCCGCTTCTACCAACACCTTCTGGAGCCGAACGAGCCACTTGCCAACATCTTGCACAAGCCGAGCCCTTTGGAGCCTACGCTTGTCACAGACGCCAAAGCCCTCTACGACAGCTACTACAGAGAGAGCCTCAGCAGTGGCTTGACAGACAAGCGTACCGGCTTGGAGATCAAGGTCTTGCGAGAAGGGCTGGAATCGCTTGGTGGCCGCTTGAAGTGGATCTCCAGTGAGAGACAGTATGCAGATTCCCTGACCAAAGAGGGCACCCGCCAATTGCTGGCAGACCGCCTTCGCTACGGAAGGATCAAGCTGTCTTGGGATCCTGACTACATCGCGGCCAAGCGCAAGAAGCTCTCCGACCGCAATGCCAGCAGAGATGAGTTCTCGCAGCCTCTTGCCACAGTGGTGGAGGAACCTGAGACCACTGAAGACGTCCCTGTGGAAACCTTTGCCTGCTTTGGCGAGGAAATCAACTATGAGATGAACGACTGGGATGAGATGTCTGGCAAGGCTGTTGCAGCTCACTTGGAGCTACGTCCTGACCAAGCCATTGACCTGAACTTCAACGACACCCTGCCGATTGTGTACACCCCGATCATGGACATCTCCTACGACCCGGAAACAAAGTTTGAGGGCGTATGGACGATCCTTTCTCTTCGAGCATTGCTGCGCTTTGCCCTTTGCATTCTCATGCTTGGACTTCTGCAACCACTGGGTGCTGCCGCTGCTCCTCTGAGCGATCCAATCACACCTGACACCTGTCCCTACATCGACGTCATCCAGGAGCCGAAGACTTCCTACTGGGACTACTTCTGGGATGCCGTTGTGGTGCTGACCTTGGTGGTCTTTGTGGTGGGTACCTACCTCACCGGATGGGTACATGGATGGTGGATTGGAAGAAATCACGTTTTGAGACAAAGGCACATCCGAAGCGATCGCCTGTCTGCTCGCTTGGATGAGAAAGTGGTGGAGAACATCGCCCTGCAGGACCAGATCGAGGAGCTGACCCGACAGGTCCAGCAACTGACTGTCCCTGGTGGACCGATCATTGCAGATCGAGAAATCCGACACCTGCAGCAACAGCTCAAGAGTCTTGAAGCCAGTTTTTGGCAGAAGGATCAGCAGTGCCGCCAGATGAACCGGCACAAAATGGGTTACGTGCGACAGATTGGTCGCTTGAGAGCCATCTTCCAAGAAGCGAAAGATGTTGTAGGCCGTGCCCGAGCAGAAATCCACAATCATGTGCACAATAGATGCACGGTTGGCCGGCCCATCTATCATGCGCCTCGTGGACGCGTATGGCATCTGGACGATCAATGCTATCAGCTCTACCGCAGTGCAGTCATTGAGTTGCATGCCTGCGACAACTGCGCAAGCTTCTATGTGACCCCGTACATCCATGACATGAACAACACTACGCTGGCCCAAGACATGGACAACTTCATGGCGAATGGGCTTGCTGATGAAGATCCCGAAGTGCTGGCCGAAGCCTCGGCGATTCTAGATGATGAAGCTCGCCTTCGCGCTGCCGGAGTTCCTGATGAAGAGGTTCGAATGGCGATGCAAGCACGCGCTTCGAGCAGTTCTGGCGTGTGACGCCATTTTCCCTTTTTTTTGTACAACACAGATCCGAAGTGATCCTGCCAGTCCGAAACGGACACCTTTTACCAATAACTTTCCCCCATGTGAAGTTTGCATCCGCATCCTTTCCAATTTGTCATTTGCCTGCCGCCGTTTCACCTTACAGTGGCGGGACGTGTGCGCCATTGCGGACTACGCATTGCCGCGCTTCTCGGAAAAGCGTGGTGGCCCTTTCGAGGCCGTTGCCAGGTGGGGACTTTGTGGGCCTTTCACCTTTGGTTCTTCACATATATATATATATATTAATATATATATATATATTATATATTATATATATATCCTACCCATAAACCATACTTAATCCATGGTGAATTCAGCAAGTCCACCGAAAAGGTCACGTGATGACGTTGGGCCGCAGCTGCCGCTGCAATCGCTGCAACACGGCAATCGCCAAGGGCCAGGAGCGTTCACAGCTGCTGACCTGATTACATGATGAACGCCTGAGGTGTAAACATGGCTGATCTATGGTGATTTGTGGTGATTTATGATTTGTGGTGATTTACAAACTAGTGATTCATGGTGATTTAAGGAAATACATGGCGAAGTTTGTGGTAAACAAATGGAAACAATACACATAAAATCCAACGGCTGAACCTTGATGGTACGTTATGTCATTGTAACAACTGGCTGGTGATTATCCCACTGAGTTATACAACCTTGTGACACCTAGCTTATGATTGTCCCACTGGTTTACAAAACAATGTGACAACTAGCAACTACTGGTAGCTTATTGTACATGATCAGTGGTTGTAGGCTAGGTTTAATTAAAAAAATCCCGTGTTTTATCAGGGCTATTTAGGGTGACCTTCTCTGTCTGTGCGTGTTTTTCCCCATATTCACCAGTTGAGATAAACATGGATAATAACTGGTGAGCTGAGAAATAAATCTGGTGATAACTGGATTAGTAAACTGGGTTCCCCATATTCCATGTTCGACATCTGGTTTTGTTTCTTAGATTCATTAACATATAGTTCGTCGATTGCACTGACAATATCCGGCACATGTGGATATCACATGGGATAATATAAATATGAGGATCTGAATTCATAAATAAATGATGATGGGTACCTACCTCTGAGTCTTACACCAGCCAGCCTGAATCTAGGCCATGTATCCTCCAATATGTTGACCTTGCATCAGCATCAGAACCTAGCAATGAACAAAAACAAGCAACATCTTCACATTGATCTAGAACTCAAATATGAATATGAAAACAACATGAAAACACATGAAAACAACATCTTCAACATGAATCTAGAAAAACAACAGAAAACAACATCTTCACAACCACAGCAATCAACCCGCAAGGCCGAGTGACGGTGGCGTTGTACGTGACGAGGTTGGGCTGTAACCCCCTAGGGTGTGAACATCTGGGGTGTGGAAGCTGAAATATCCTGGAAAAAAACAATGAAAAACCTTTAGCAGTTTGAAACGAGGTTCTTAGATCAATGTGAGTCACCCATATTTAAGAGTTTCGAGTTTCTTGAAAGTTGTGCTCCCTTGACCATGCAAAAAGTCGCACCTCTTCGCCTAAATACTTTTGGACAAAACATGTGTTGTCCAATCATTTGAAAAACAAACAATGTGATTGAGATTTAGGTCTCTTTTGGACAGAAATATCCATGTCCCATTGAGGTGCCAGAAGGATCTGACGAACTTTGCTGATCTCCCAGGTTTGGTTCGGTAAAATCCATCCGTCCTCACAGCTAAGGCATCCAGCAGCCGCAAAGCCACTTGAGGTCTGCAGCTGCTGATGGCGGCCTTGAAAAAAAAACAGCCCTGTGGTGCACAGGCAAAACAGCATGGATTGGGCTATATCATCATAGCAAGATTTAAGTATGATAGATAGATATACATATGTGTATATATATATATGTTCACCACCCCAAGAACCTACCAAAACAGCACGTTCAATCATGTTTTGGGCCCAACCTCAAAAAAAAACAATGGTCAGTCAGTGCACATTGCAGCATTCATTGAAACAGAAAATTGTTATTGTTAAAGGAAAATGCTGCTTGCAGATTGCAATCTGTCTTCAAGATAGGATGTTTCTTCAACAAGAAACCATATTCTTGCAGTAAACAATGTGTGGACATATGCAATACAACCTTTTAGCATCCTCTAAGTATATTTCTTCAAAACTAAATATTTGCCTTGAAACAATATATTTCCTTGAAACAAAAAAACAACATTCTTGCAAAATAATATCATGTGTGCCAATATGCAATACGTTCTTTTGAAAATCAGGCTACCCTTCATTTTTGTCCTGCATATCAATTGGTTTAAGACAGGTTTCACCCCTGCAAAAAAAAAAAAATGTTTGGTTTGTTCCAGTATTTCACTTATGTGGAAAACCATATTACATAACACAACTATACATTGATAACCTGGTTCTTAAAATAACAAAAATACATGTAGCACAAAGAGGGGATCTCAAAGCAAAGTTTGTTTGTTTTTAAAAATAAATAAATAAAAATAAATATATATATATATATCGTAGTATTGCTCCTTTGCATTGTTGCATCCAATAATGAGACTTGTTCTATATATTATATATAATTCACTCCTTTGTGAAGGAAACTTTGCACATAGTTGCACCTTTAAGAAATACCATTGTTCATAGTCATTTGACATGGGTACTCAAAGGATTCCATTCCAAAATAATGCTGTCCCCCTTCAAGCATATAATCTACGTTATTAAAATAATTTTGCATTGCACGGCTATGGGCTATAAGTCTGTTTGAAAGTAATCATATATGTCTGTCAAAAACATAAGTTCCTTTATGTAGAGATAGTGTACAACATGGTGCCACTTTATGCAAGAAATGTCATACCATTTGAATATATAAAACTGCTGCTGCATATTGCATATAGAGGAAATTGTTGCTTTGAAAACAAACTTCAAAGCGATGCAGATGTTTGAGAATGTTAGGAGAGATGCAGAATTCTTGGGTTATGTCCTGTTATGTCCTTGGAGAGTCTGAAAGGCCGAACCGAACCGAAACATGATGTTTTTTTTTTCCCGGTTTAATGACATGGTGTATTTTGGTGAGTAGATGAAACAGATCAGGGGTTTACATTGGAAGTGATTATTTTTGGCGGAGAGATGGTCAAGTCATGACAAGTTGAAGCTCATGTCAGGTTAGAGGGAGGAAGCGGCTAGGGGCGGTGACCATGTATCTGGGTAATTGAAAATATTTCACTAACCTGAATTAAAGCCGTTCTGGGGATGATTTCCCTTATTAACCATGATTCCAGTGAGGTCGCAGTGAGGTCGTTACAATTGACCCAAATGTATGTGTGTATATCTCTATATATATATATATATATTGTGGACTCTTGATGCCTTGTTCGCATGCTCATGGTGTTCATGCATTTTGAGCACACACATATTTTGATATGGCACAGAGTGCACATGCTGTCTGTGCTTGGCACAGGGTACCGGCCATTGAATCACCTCATGGATTGCAAAGGTTGCATCCTTCACCGATGTCATAGACTCCTAGACCAAAACCCAAGAGCCCCCTGTGAACCAGTGTGCCTTTTTTGGTGAGCGTTTTTGGTTCTCGCCCATTTTTGTGTGGTTGATTTCTTCTGAGTTTCTCAACCAAAGAATAGAATGGCAGCGAAAGTATCTTACAAAAGCCACAACTTGGCAACTTTGGCACAAGATCCACCATTTTTCGACAAAAAAAAGGCCAAGCTACGCTGAAGCTCTGCAGATCTGCTGGTACTTCGTCCATCTCCATCTGCTTCAACAGCTGCAGCGTCTGTGACCACACGACGCCCACACGGTGCAGGAGGCCGCTCCTATAGTTTATAGGGGTAGCAGCCGGGGAAATGTCGATCGATCCGGGAAGTCCAGGTCTGTTTCAACTCAACTTTGACATACATATACTATACAGTAATATAATAAATAATGCACGTTAATTATATATTATACATAGATAGATAGCTAGCTAGATAAAAAAAATAATATATATATATGATATATGATATATATATATATACATATTTGTGTGGGAATATATTCGGGATGATTCTGGTAGGCACAGGCGATTGATTTTTCACATGTGCTAAGCCTAAGGCCCTAATTTTCTACTGGTTGACGGCCATTTGGGGGTATGCCACATGGACAGAACCATCTTCAGCTAAGAACATGTTTTTTTTGTAGACCCCCATTGTGTATTCAAAGCTAAATCCTACAATTAAATACACACATATATATATATATACAATTATCATCTTCAAAAATCACCTTTTATGAACAAACCCAGATCTCACCAAGTCCAAGCTACATCAGAACCACGTTGACCTCGATTTCTTGCTGTCGTGCAAGACTTCCAAGCTCCAAGCACTTCCTCCATTGCGCCGAGGACAGCGAGGATGGGCCGCCGGACACAAGGGAACTGCCTGGTGCACCCAGCTGATGGATGTTCATCTCAACAACCACCGGAAAAATGGGTGTAACAGGTGTTGTTCCCCAACAATTCATGCAACTCTGGCCCCCCCAATGATGCTTTGGATTTTTAGTTTCCAAACTCAACTGACTACAAACATATCGATTGTTGGTCACAGTTGGGCGACCTGTGACAGGGTCACAAAGGTTCACCTTAAAGCACATTGCCACTGTAAATCAGGAAATCCCTCTTCCTCAAATCCAGCTGTGATTGAACAAATCCACACTGTGTTTGGTTCAAGTTGAGATCACATTTTCCTTGCTAGTTCCAATGCTTTTTGATGCTGAAAGTGCCAAATCATTTCCCGGATATGTCCAGGTCATTTGCCAATCATTTTGGCCTCCTGCTTCCCATGATATCCCTATATTTATGTATATATATATATATACATACATCATTATACATCCAAAAAAAACAATCATTAGAGTATAGTAAGCCTCCAAACAGATGCCGAACAGTGTTTCCATGATATTACACATGGACACATGATGTTTTCTTCATCAGTTCCAAGAAATTCCATGAAATTCCTGCTTTTCGGCATCTATGACTCAGGGTATGCTATACCTAGATCCAGATCTCCATGGTATTCGGCACCCGCCAAGACACAGGTCACCACCGTGGGTTCTAAATCTCCGGACTTCAGCTGACTCAAACAGCTCACAGCAGATTTCCAGCTCGACCTCAACGGTGACCGGCGTTCGAGCTTTTCAGAAAACCGGTGTCGAATTTTGGGAGTTCGCTTTCGCGTTCTACGCCAGGAAACAGTAAAACAGGAAAATTCATGAAACTTCACCATCAACAAAGGGAGTTTCAGCCATGTGTTATTCAATGGATTGATGAAACAAGGAAGGCATTTTAGGCAACCCTGCTTTCTACCATCAATATCATCAATGAAGGATGTGAGATTCCCTAATGAGTTGTCTAGCAACCGCCAAAATAGATAGAACTGGAAACGTGGAAATCATGAGGTAACTATAATTTATTTGTTTCCAACTTGTCTCCCGTTGGGGGATCTCTACACCTACAAGTACAAATACCTACAATGTCTCCAAAATTTGCGAAATGAAGCTTTAGAACATTGCATATTTGGGGGAGGATTGTCTAGGTAGTAGAATTGCTGATGCAGCGATTGCTACAATCCCTATTCACAAATGGATGTCCATCCTCTCTTATTACATATTGGGAACAACCAACAGCTGCTCCTGTGAACGATTTGCATGTAATCGCTAACAGGAGTGGATATCAGTGGAAAATCTGGTGGTAAATTGTTTGTATTTCAGGATATGATCAACAACAACGGGATACTGCAATGGCCAACAGCAATAGCTTGTCCCACAATGACTGCATGTGTATGTATATATATAATGTACATACATACATGTATATATAATTATATATATACATACAGAAATAAATCGGAATCAATAAAATCATTGGGATAGGACGATTCACCATGATTCATCAATCTATGATTTGTATTGACTTATCTTGGACACCCAGCAAAAAGAGTTCCTTCAATTCGCGAAGAGCTGGATCGAGGACTATTACACTCCTCTGAGGTTGTGTGTGTGTGTGTTTGGGGTAGCGTCCCGGTGATCTGTCTGTACGTACATATATATAAACAAATATATATATATATAATATGTTCGGTATAGTATGATTAGAGAGAGAGAGGGAGATCGATATGGACTTATCCAGATAGATTGACTAAAACATGTTGACACCTGTCTCCTTCAATGACGGTTCGCACGGCGATGTCGCTGATGACTGAGTTCAAGGTCACGATGGTAGGTTCCACATCCTGTTGCCAGAATTTGCCCCATTTGTGTGGGTGGAACATGTGGGCTGTCTGAACATAGAGCTATGTTCCTCGAAAATTCATGGGTTGATCATTATTTCAAAGCATGTAGGAGTGTGAATGGAATATCCTCCCATGTGTGGAGAAAACGATAGGAAGCCACATGTTGAAACCATGGTGAAAGACCTGTCTGTTGATTCTTTGTTTCATCCTACTCAACCTATCCCATCCCGTGATACTCATTGGTTGATAGAATGAATGTCCCTGTGACTCTGACCTCCAATAAACCAGGCATCGCAATAACTATATAATATCAACCATGAACTAACCATCATTTGTCAAGCATGTCATGTGCAGTGGTTTTTTGGCCAAAAACATATGAAGCATGAGCACGTCTCCAACAGCAGCAAAGCAAAACAAATGTGCCACAGCAAGCAATTTGTTTACGTCGTATGCGCAAAACTCCCCTAGAAGCCAACAAAATAAAATATACTTCTACTAGTACCGGGATCTTGTGAATTATGTGCTCACGGGTCGGAATTTTCAACATGTCTACAGTATGAGTTTGTGCAAAACATGGGAGACCCCTAAATCCAGTGGTTTATCATCACCATCGCCCTTAATAGTCTTGAAACTGCTATAAACCAGACAAACCCATCTAATCTCTTCCCCCTGATGTTTAAGTAAGCCCCTACAATTCACAGTTTTGTGTTGGATTCGTTGATTTCCGGGTCCCAATACCAGAGGTACTATTTAAAAGTTGGTTGGGAGAGAAAGAATTGGGGTGAAACTTCTCTTCGGATTTAGCGGCCGCACATCTGTCAGCCTGTCCTGTCTCCTCAAATGGCGCAGAAAAGTCATGCTTTGCTGCCAGGAGGCGGCACCCATCAGCGTACCTGCTGAAACCGGAAAGATCAGATCTCAAGAATCTTGGACCCTCAGACTGTGGGCAGTTTTCATTGGGAAACCGTTAAGAGTTTAGAGATATCCTATTTTCAGACAAACCATAAACCAATCTGGATTATTGGGAATTGTCATCTTAATATATCTTAATTGTACGAATTTTGGAACGTAAATGAAGTTCCTCTCAAATGTCCAAGAAACACTTTCCAAAAATTAGACATGGTGGGTCGGAAGACCGCCACTCTTGAAAGTGAACATCATCTATATAGACATGGAGATATGCCGGTAGATTTACCCTCGGCAGATTGAATTACTTTTGTGGTTCAAGATTCAAGAGAGCCACATTTCTTTACTGGCCGGTGGTTGAGCCATGACCGAAATCACAATATGATAAAACATATAGTTTTCCCAAATTGAGGCAGTTCAACGTTGAAGCAATCTTTCATGGTTTCCCTTTCAATGTTTGGTCCTTAGTCTCTTTTCATGCTGGAGGTTTTCTCTGCAAGCTTGGCTGCTGTAAGTGATAACATCTGCCCGCAACGTCGCCAGCTTTTCCTGATCACGTGTCAGCACAACCATGCAACAAACATCCCTGGAGCAACAACGTCATCTTACAAACGTGTAATCTAACCTGCTGTCCTAGAGGTAATGGCTTGAACAAAAATGCAACTGATAGCCCCTTTATATACCCTATTGTTTATCAAACTGCCAGAAGCCAGCAGCCAGCAGTGTCCAGTTGCTCTTGCCGACGCTGCCAGGGAACGAGTTGAGTCAGGAGAACTTGCGCCCGTGGCCAGGAGATTTTGGCATAGACAGCCAAGGCTGCCTCGGAAACACTTTGACATGTTATGTAAATATATATATATATACACACATAAACATACCTATATAAATATCATGATATATTAGACAATTCAGTTTCATATACAATGATAGTCATATTATTATGATACATATACAGTATATCTGAATATATGCTACGCATGTATAAAGCATAGCAAAAATGCCAAACTCCATGTGGCAAATCGCAGCAAATCTACCGGTTCCAAGGTACGTTGTAGCTGATGAGGGTAGAATGTTGCCTGAGACGGTTCCCATCAGTCTGACTCTTGAAGAAAGAAAAGGGGCCTTCATTAACATGTGTCAAAAAAGCATCATTCAAAAGTCACGAGACCACATGCAAGTGGCCATGACCACATGCCTGGACATCAACTAAATTGTGTGACGTCAAAGCATTCCAAAACAATTCGTCAGATGGAATTGATCATCCCACCCAAAGAGATTAAACACTCTCATGTTGAAGGCCGCCAAGCGGTCATGTGTTTTCTCTGCATGCTATGAGTTTATACACTGTAAATGCAACGATACCAAGGCCATTACAAAGGCCCTTATTGACTGATTTAAGGCATCAAGAGCTTGTCCACATCCCTGAGAGGGTCTTAGATACTTCCTTGTTAAACATTGCTACCTCGATATCCTTGGTCTACTGCTAATCAACCATCCATTATTGCAAACACCAACCAATGCGCTCTCCGAGGGAAATGTCTCAGTGAGAAAAACATGGAAAGGGACAAACATCACCATCAGCACCTTGATCCATGGGCCAAGTACACCAGCAGCCAACATTGAAGTGTTACCTGCCAGTGATGCCAGTGCTTGACAAGCTGCTGTTTCTGAGCCGCCCAAGGGCTTGTTGTTCTGCTCTGAATTCCGTGTCTGGAAAGTGCACCTCAAGTTGCGGACAGTCACGAGAGCCACCCCACTTAGCAACATTCACAAAACCCCTAATTCAAATTTGGTTATCCCGTGTGTAATTGATAATATTATTGATAAACTTACAACCACACTTACTAACCGGCTTCCAAGCAAGGTGACCCTCCAAGTAGCAATTTCAGATTTCAGAATTGCACATGCGCTGAACCTTCATAAGCATCCCCATAATTGTCTTCCCCTAAGGGATGATTATCATGATCAGTGTTTCATGTCTTTACACTTGAGAAAAGGATGCAACGCCGATATAGATACAGAAAGGGGCCTCCCTAGATAGATAAATTGGTTTATAATCAATGCGACTTGGATTAATGGTCTAAAAGTAGATGATATAACATGTTCATGTAATTAGATGTATACTTAAATTGTTATTATATATATATATATATAAACCAACTTACAACTGGGGGGGGCGCCTTTCTGAACCGATCGGTGAAAACTTATCCCCATCAGACTCTTGTTACACCCCTATGAGAGGACGTAATCCTAGAACTAATTGTACAGTGATTGTGCAACTGTTTCCATTTGCATTGCATATACTAATCATAGCACCTTTGAAGGGGTGAAGCGACTGTTCGGGCAGGCCAAACTCGGATCATATGTTTAATGCTGGCTGTATCTAGGGATCATCTATGAAGTTTGCCGGTGCTTATGAACTGGATTCCAGCAATATATTCCAAAGATTCCTTAAACGTACGGAACATTTCAATCACATGAATTCCCAAGAAATGATTTGTTTCCCAAGTCATGGGGGATTTCCCAAATTTCCCAAGTCACCAAAGGGTTGTTTCAACACTAAAACGGGGCTTGGATGACTGGGGGTCCCGCCTAGCAGCTGGAGCGCGTCGCGCCATGCAGGCCATGCAGGCCTTGCACCTCCAACGAGGACGCGCCATGTAAAACGTAACACGGCATATGGGGATAAATAGGGATATAATGGAGATATATCAAATAAACTAATCTAAATATAATGGAGATATATCAACTAAACTATTGGATATAATGTGGTTATTAATTGGATAATGGATAAATTATGTTGAGATGATGGTTGAGAAGTTTTGATTTGAAGCACATCAATCGAAGCGTTCACTTCTTTGCCTTTGCTGCGCCTCCTTTGACTGCAACAGCACCTGTTTCAGTTCATACCTGTTATCACTCTGTTCCTATATACATATTCTCCCAGTCATGTCCAGCAGTTTACGCTAGTCTAATTTAGAAAATAGTCCCAGCAGCTGTGGAAAAGTCAACTAAACATACAGTACCCATCCAAAGTCACTCTGCGCTGGTCAATAGGCCTTCCCTAACAGATGTAGCCCCGGGTCTGCGCAGTGGCGCGCTTCGGCATGGTGCTGCCCTCATGGTCATTGGGGCACTGCATAGCGAGCACCATATGGCTTCTGGTTCGGTTGGTTTGCATGTCTTGAAGTTAAATTAAAAGCATCGAAGTGAATGACAATCCTCTGGCAAATAAAGAGTGTCTCCAAATAGAGTAGGACATTGATTGTGCCAGTGAGTAAGCCAGGCATCAAGCAAATGCGAAAAAACGAGTGTCTTATGCATACGTCAGTACAGACTCAACCAAGCTGATTCTAAAGCAAAGGAACTGCTGACGCAAAATCCACCATGGTGAAATTGACATCATCTCTTCCCCCATGGGATACACCGGATAGCTGGACACATCCCTGCGCACCTTTGCTGTTGCCAGTACGCACCCAGCGGTTTCCTGGGAAGCTCAGACCCATACCATATACCACGCATGTCTATAGCTATGAGAATCTATGAGTTAAAACACTATATATGATATCATGCCCCCACTTTTTAGATATATATTTGTATTATATAGTTGTATTATATATATATATTATAATATATTATATTTAATTATATTATATTATATTAAATTATATTATGTTATATTATACTATATTATATTTTATTATATTAAATTAAATTATATTGTATTATAAATTATATTACATTATATCATATCGTATCATATTATAGTATATTATAGTATATTATATATATTATATTATATATTGTTATATTATAAATTATTATATTATATTATCGTATATTATATGATATCATATCATATCATTTCATATCATTTCATATCATATTATATCATATTATATTATATATATGTACACTGATATGACAATATGAATTGATTTATAGATGTGAAAAGTTCAGAAGTTCAGTGCTTGGATCCACCAGCATTGCTTGAAATGCACAGGTTGACATGTAAACATGTCAAATTGAGAAGGTAACGGTTTGCCACCGTAGAGGTAAAACGCATCAGTTAGGGTCTCGAGTCTACAGATTCCCACAGCGAATGCACCGCTCAGATACCGAGCAAACCGAAACTTATAACACAATATATATATATATATAACAATGTATATTATATAAATATGATTAAAACTGATTAAATATGTGTACAAATACATATATCCTTAGATACATGCATCCTGCTTGGATTCTTTGGATGCGAATCCCAGTTGCTCAGTTGGCAATGACCATACAACATGATCTAGCAATATTATATATATATATATGAATATGAGCTACCTCCAAAACTCTATTGCCCCAAAATGGAATATCTATTTTTCCTTCGTTTTAAAGGGTCACCTTCGTTTTTACAAGGGTTTCGACCAAACCTTCACAGATATACGTGCGATATCGCGCAATCATCATTTCAATGGCAGCAGCAATGGGAAAAGTTATAAAAACAGTGCCAGGATGTGCTAGGATTAGTACTGTGACTCGTAGAAGCGACAAAGGTGCTAGAAGAAGCAACAGTGGCAGCGCAAGCAGCAGGAGCAGGAGCAGTAGCAGTAGCAGCGGAGTAGCACTAGCAGTGGCAGGAGCAGTAGCAGTGGCAGTAGCAGTAGCAGCAGCAGTAGCAGTAGCAGCAGCAGTGGCAGCAGCAAGTGACAGCAGTGACAGCAGCGACAGCAGCGACAGCAGTGACAACAGTGACAGCAAGTCACAGCAGCAGCTACCAGCAGCTACCAGCAGCTACCAGCACCAGCACCATCAGCATCAGCAGCAGCTGCATCAGTAGCAGCAGCAGCAATCGCGGTGATGCCGGCGCTGTTGGTGCTTTGCTGGTGCTGGTAAGATAAATGCCTGCAGCAAAAGCACAACTAGGCCCCGCAGTGGCAATGGTAGTTGTCGCAGTAGTAGCAGGATGGGGAAGAAGGTTTGCCTGCTCCTGGCCAGGTTCATGCGAAGCTGTCGTGAATTTTGCCTTCGTTTTTGCCTTCGTTTTGGCTTCGTTCCAGAACGCAAAACCAGACGGGAAAACGAAACCATAGGATGAAAAGAATACTTGCAGGCGGAAAGCAGAAACTTGACAAAATGCAAATGCAACAGGAAGAAAAACAAGATAGGAATTAGGTAAACCCAAAGGGCTTCGTCTATAGGAACCAGATCTGAGGCTAAGAGCCTTACATAAACCAAAGACGTAAAGAACCAACATAAAACAACGTAAACGCAACATAAAAGCAAACACAAGTGAATCATAAACACATCGGAAACTCATCATAAACAGAACGCAAGTGAATCCACAATAAAACATAAAACGACTCATCAACAAAACACAAATGAATCCACAAACCATTCTGGCAGTCATGTGTCCCAACTGTCGCGCACGTGTTTCCATCTTCTCTGGAGGTGAGCGGAGTTATGTGACACAATGTTTGCTCTGTGTTTCACTTGTGTTTGACATACGCTTTGTTTGCGCAGCACTTGCGTCAGGCAAAAGTCTAAGATCTTATTCTGGGAAAATAAGATCTTAGGATTTTGACATACATAAAAAAAATACAAGCGAAACACAAACAAAACACAAACAAGTTTATGCTACATTTGTGTTTTGTTCATGTTCTGTTTGTGTTTTGTTTGTGTTTCGTTTGTGTTTTTTTTATGCATGTCAAAATCCTAAGATCTTATTTTCCCAGAATAAGATCTTAGACTTTTGCCTGACGCAAGTGCTGCGCAAACAAAACGTATGTCAGACATATGTGAAACATGTGGGAGACATCAGTTTCACATTGGCTGCAGGTTTGTACCAGGTTTGGATTTCAAATTGGCAACTGCTTGACACAGGGGGGACGGCCAACTCATGTTTCACATATGTTGCAAATTTCACACACATGTTTTGCTTTATGTGTCACTTATGTTTCAATTATATTCCATTTATGTTTCGTTTGCGTTCCACATATGTTTTGTCTTATGTTTGACATATGTTTCATATACGTTTCACATATGTTTCGTTTATGTTTCACATATGTTTTTACTTACGCCTAGACATAGTTTATGTTTACGTCATGCCCCGTCCACCCTCTATAGAAACCATCCCTGGAGCCCCTTTGGATCAAGCTAAGATAGGAAAAACAAACGGGACCAACAGAAAGAAACGAAGGCGGAAAGGAAGCCAGCAGAAACTGTCACAGGAAAGGCATGAAAGCAAGAAAGGAAACAAAAGGAAGACAAGGGAAAACAGGTAAAGACCAAACGACAATAACTCCATGATACACCATTCTTATCCATTCTTGACGTTCGCTGCTCAAATGGAAATCTATCAACAAACTTTAGTTGTAAGATTTGCCTTCGTTTTAAAGGGTCACCTTCGTTTTTGCAGGTTTTGAGCTATATTCCATTCCAATACATATCCCTTACATAGACCTTTTTGGTGGTAGCCCATATACATACATATTCATATGGGATATACCCTTGCAATTTAAGCAGTGAAGTGAGTGTGGGCTGTTGGGCCATGAAACCCCCAAGCCATGTTGTGGGAGCGGATGGTGCTGCGGATGTCCACAGAATCGCTGTGCCATTCATCAAATGTTTTAAGTGAAATCTCACCGGAAACTATGATAGTTTTGTATACACACTTTTACACCAAACATAAAGTTGTCCTGTAAAGTGTCCGGTGAGCAGGTCTTGCAGAAACACGAGTAGGCCTGGAAACGTAAAAGGCTATGATGTCATTAACATCATTCACATAGCTTTATAAACCAGTTTTATAAACCAGTTGTATAATCCAGTTATATGTTATATCAACCAATTAACATACTTATACAGGATGTTATATCAACTGGTTAAGTATTCCATAACATCCCCATATTATATACCTGTTATATCAACCATACTTAATCCCCATATCCGTATCCCAGTTGACACGCCTCCGTAGCCTCCAGCATCGTAGTTCTCGTAGCTTTGGTCGTAGCCTCCACCGTCTCCCGCCGGAGGGGCCCAATCCACGGCACCCACCGGCATTGGACCTAGGATCAACGCTGGAAAGTCATGGAGATTTCCTAAATAATGGGGTACCCTCTGGTAATTTAACATAGCTATTGAACATGGCCATAGAAATAGTGAGTTTTCCCATGAAAAATGGTGATTTTCCATAGTGATGTAAACGTTTACCAGAGGGTAAGCCTACTAAAATATGGATGGTTTAATGGTTTGTGAAACTCCACCTTTAAAAAATGGATGATGAACAGGGGTTAGCCCTATTTCAGGAAACCTCCATATGGGAGATTTCCCGGATTTTCTTGTGAAATCTATGGCAATCTTAGGCAAAATCGGATGAACATGGAAATACATATGGGTCAAAATTATCCCTGTGTGCATTCTGCAGAGAAGTTGTGCCCACTAAACCGTTTACAAACACAGCCTTATACTACAAAATGAAGCTTGAATCTGAACCAACCCCCCTTGCTACAAAATGGTTTGGGTGTTTTTATGATGGATCAAAAGCCAATGTCGGTCGCTACAAAATCACTTTACGGAACCATTTTGTAGTGAAAACGGGTTGCAATGAAAAATAATGATTCGCTACTAAATGGGTCATAGCATTTACTAGGGGAAATGCTATGGGGCAGCAAAAACGATCTGAGCGCACAACTTCAGTTTCAATTGATTGGTTTTGAAACCAAATCTGTCCCATTTTTCCTTCTTAAAGTCTCTACACAAAAGCATGCTTTTCGAACTTTTTGGGGCTTATCTGGCGGGGGGCGCAGTAGGTTCTACAAAAGGTTGTGCACGCGTGTGTCACTACAAAATGCAGTGCATGACACAAGTCATCCAGAAACTAGGACACCACGCATCGAATCTGTGTTTTGTGACATTGTGGGTGAAAGGAACTCTGAGCATGGATTCGTTAATTAAACTGGGGTGAAACTTGACTATTGGACAAAAAGAGCAGGAACCTAGTAGAATGGGATAGATTTAGATTTTAATTAATAATCGCATGTGATGGCCAAAAAAGGTGTGACAAAAGCACGGCGCAGAGGTTTTGAACGGCAATCGTCAGAGCTATGAGGCAGCAAAAACGATCTAAGCGCACAATTTCACATTAAATTGATCGGTTTTGAACCAAATCTGTCCCATTTTTCCTTCTTAAAGTCTCTACATAAAAACCATGCTTTTCGAACTTTTTGGGGCTTATCTGGAGGGGGGCGCAGAAGGTTCTACAAAAGGTTGTGCACGCGTGTGTCACTACAAAATGCAGTGCATGACACAAGTCATCCAGAAACTAGGACATCACGCATCGAATCTGTGCTTTGTGACATTGTGGGTGAAAGGAACTCTGAGCATGGATTCGTTGAACTTGGGTGAAACTTGACTATTGGACAAAAAGAGCAGGAACCTAGTAGAATGGGATAATTTAGATTTTAATTAATAATCGCATGTGATGGCCAAAAAAGGTGTGACAAAAGCACGGCGCAGAGGTTTTGAACTGCAATCGTCAGAGCTAAAAACGATCTGAGCGCACAACTTCAAATTCAATTGATGGGTTTTGAAACCAAGTCTGTCCCATTTTTCCTTCTTAAAGTCTCTACATAAAAACCATGCTTTTCGAACTTTTTGGGGCTTATCTGGCGGGGGGCGCAGTAGGTTCTACAAAAGGTTGTGCACGCGTGTGTCACTACAAAATGCAGTGCATGACACAAGTCATCCAGAAACTAGGACACCACGCATCGAATCTGTGCTTTGTGACATTGTGGGTGAAAGGAACTCTGAGCATGGATTCGTTGAACTTGGGTGAAACTTGACTATTGGACAAAAAGAGCAGGAACCTAGTAGAATGGGATAGATTTAGATTTTAAGTAATAATCGCATGTGATGGCCAAAAAAGGTGTGACAAAAGCACGGCGCAGAGGTTTTGAACTGCAATCGTCAGAGCTAAAAACGATCTGAGCGCACAACTTCAAATTCAATTGATGGGTTTTGAAACCAAGTCTGTCCCATTTTTCCGTCTTAAAGTCTCTACCTTATTTGTTTTTTTTCGATTTTTTGGGGGCTCATCTTACCACGAAATAATCGTGAGTCAAGAGCCAAAAATGGTCTGAGGGTCCAAGCTATATGTTCATGTGACCGAGCATGACTGGTAAAAGAGGGCTATAGGGTTTCCGGCACGACACAACGCATCCCAAAATAAATCACTACAAAATGCGTTTCCGATTTATGAGTGTAAAATGGAACGCCGCTACAAGATACAGTGCACACCCTTTTACTACAAAAACTGGTGCACGGGTCCATTTTTTTTGCTTGAATTATCCACGAATCAGAGGATGGTACCAAGCACGTGTTCACCCTTTTAGTAGTGGAAATGGTAAGGGGGATTCAAAATTGAGAATATGGGAGAACATCTAGGATACTATAGAATCTATGGAAATCTTAGGTAAAACATGGTAAATGGATAAGCAATGCTCGAAATTGGGTACCCCACTTGTTGGATAGAGTTTTTATAAAAACAAGTATACACACATACACACACATATATATATATATATAAATCAGTGTCCTCCCCCCAGGTCTTTAATTTTGACGCATATGAGAACACATCTATGTTTTTTTTACAAGTTACAATATAGGTAAACATGGGATGATATGGGAATTTCATCAAGAAAAATATGGGGAGATCGGACAGCAAGTATGAGATTGAATGGATAAACATTGAGATTTCATCAACTTGAAGCAATCGAAGTGGATGCAACGATTTAAACCAACATGACATGAGGAGATTTCAAAACAATAATGGGCATGTACGGGGATGTAGCCAACCATGAAGATGGGAAAACATGGGAAAATCGAATGGGTCTAAACATGGTAAGATCAACTCAGAGACCCTGGTCATCTACCAGGTCTATCCTGTGTTGGGAGTGTGAAACACAGGAGTTTTGTCCTGGTTGAGGTAGTGGGGCCCCTGGAGTTAGTTTCTCGCCATCCCACCTACTCAGCCGCGACCAATTGCATGGTCAGTGCTGACAGATGGACTTTTCTGAAGAAAGACATGTAAATTCTATCAAACCTAACTGATGCTGTTATAATATATATATATATATATATTTATAATCATATATATATATATATAATCATATATATATATATGTAAGTGTGCAGCTCACTCTTAGATCTGCAGTCTAATTGGCATCAAAATACCTCGTCTGAAAGCCAAGTGCAATTAGGAACTATAACATCTGGGAAAGTCCGTCCAAGTCCCACACATGGCCATTTCTCGGAATGATTTCCAATACCCTTCGGCAACCAAGCATGGCACTGGAAAATCTGAAACAGCACCCAGTTATCAATATTATAGATGATGTCCCCCTATAATATATATATAATAAAATATTTAAAAAATAACATAATATAATCCCATATAACATAATATAATAAAATATAATAAACATAATATATATATAATATATAATTATATATAATATAATCATATATATAATATAATCATATATATAATATAATTATATATATAATATAATTATATATATAATATATATATATATGCCAATCGTTATATCGGGATTTGATAGCTGGCCATGTTTGAATACCTGGGGGCAAACCATCCTTGACACTGAGCCAGATCTATGGTGAGTTCGGACTGAGCGTCGGACTCATGCCCGCCTGAGGACGGTCATAACGGATGCGCTGATGAATTGGTTGGTTTATGTTGGTTTCTACTATATATATAATATATTTAAAAAAAAAAAACGTTTAAAAAGAGTTGAAAGCTGGGAGTGTGATCTCATGTTGGAGCATAGTCAACATAAAACATACTGTAAGTTGTACTTGTTTTAAGCCACCCACCAAACAAGCAACCAAAGAGAGTTGGTAACTTTACCCTGGGCTGATTCTCCACCAAAGCATTCCAAACGACTCAAACCTGGAAAGCCGCTTTGCCTACACTACTCAACTCAATTGTCAACACAAGCCATTCATTCGGAAACTGGTTTCAACCCTGTAAAGCATGTGACATCAGCATGACATCCAACAAACACATGTGAGACCAAAGAGTCAAACTTTTCGGATATGGGCAAACTATTCCATGCAAGTCGATCTCCACCGGTGGTAGGTCCTGAAACATCCAGGCGCTATTGACCATGTGCATGGTCTCTTTCTGTTGCCTCGGTAGGTCATCAAGGTGTCAAAATTGGAGCCAGTGGTCTTTAAAAAATATGATCAGAACAATGGCAGAACATCTTCAAAAAGATACCACCAGGTTGATGCTTCTAGTTGCACCCAAATACCTGGCTGCATGTTGCTGCCTCATTGTCTAATAGTGTCTAATGTATTCTCATCATGTTTTTTTTTGAAATAGTGGGATGGATTCCGCTGTAGAATCACAATAGAAATTGTCGGGTCAACCAGTGAGGTTGATCAAAGAAAACTCTCGGGACCTTTCGGCCTTTCTAAGTCTCGGACCAACCATCCCAACCTGCCGGTTTTTTGGGGGATTGGAATCTGGAAGTGTTCGGAACGTTTAGCCAAAAACCTTCGACATCGGAGAATTTGGACAATTATTCAATGTTCCAGAACACGCTTGTGAGAAATTATTCAGACATTATTTGAAACGCTGTTCCTCTTAGACTCTTTGCTTCCACACTTCCACCAGGGTTGCAAAATAGGTGCCAGTTCCTCGATCGTATGCAAGGATGCTCCTGAAGGCCCCAAATCATCCAAATCCCCAATGTGTTCGTTGTGTTCGTAGCTTGACTCCGATTCCATATCCAACAATATCACAAGGTTTGACAACATATATCAGGAATACTGCTTGTTACACAAATGTTGTCGGGAAAAAACACGCACACATTATGATTCACTAATCTGAGCATGGCTAATATGTGCTGCAGCTGCTAATGTCAGTTAAACTCATCTACTGTAATATTTCCATGTTTATGGTGTTCATACCCCCCACTGTTACCGTGGAATTCAATGATATTCAATGATATAGTTAGAACATACATCTCATTTATATCTCATATACACCTTTAAAAGCACTAGGATCACTACATATCACTACTATGGTTGGTGAATTCATACCCCCACTATCCCCACTCTACCTTTCCCCATGTTTCCCCACTGATAAGACCACCACGTGATCAAAGGGCACCAGCGGCACCTCCATTGCCCCAAACTTCACGTTGTGGAGACCTCGAAAGATTCAGCTGGCTGCATGGAAATATTCAAACAGTTGTGGCTCAATGTCAACGTATATCAGAGTACTAATATTTATCATGATAGTACTAATACGCACACACACTCCCCCCGGCCCGGTTCGCCCACACAACTTTTCAGGGGGTTCAAAGGATGTTGATGCAAGGGAATCTTAAAGATGATTCCAAAAGAGTTTCTAGGGAATCATCAAAGCCCCACCCGTGTTAAATTTTATATTCAATGGAATCTTAAAGATGTTTCAACACAGTTTCCAGGGACTCATCAAATCTCCACCCCCGTTAAACATTATAATATTCAGGGGAATGTTCAAGGAGTTTAGGGTGTAGGGTTATTCCTGAGGATGATGATGATGATGATGATGATGATGGTGGTGATGGTGATGGTGATGGTGATGATGATGATGATGATGATGATGTAACATTCAACGCACAGGTGGCTAAGCTGTACGTTGCAAGATGAATGCCATGATCGTGGACATGTGCATTTTGTCCCACAAAACACAGTCTTGTTTGATGTTCGGACACGTCGTGGACGTCGGCGTGGGCAAACGGAGGGGTTTGCCCGTACTAATAGTAATTCACAAACCTGAAAAAGTAATTTTGGTGTGGTTCTCCCAATCCTTGAAATCATGTATAGTGACAGCGGGACGAGTTTGATTCAATTCAGCCAGAAAAAGAGACAGCGAGATCATAAGATCTGCCCGAAATCTGAGGTGGATATCATCTCGATAACCAAGGCTTGGAGGCTTGGACTATTAGCTAAGACAAACTCTGGAAATGAGCATCTTGATTTGGGCAAGGTCAGATTTCAAAGGTGCATTTGGCTGGTGAAAACCTGGGAATCCTGCTGTCACATGGCAATGAAAAGAATCAAACATAATGACACGATCTTTCTATTCCATGATTCTAATTGTGTTTGTTTTTTTGTTCAACCAAAAATTGAAATGTGTTTGTTTCTATGTTTATTGTTTTCGATTGTCGAGCCAAGGTTTAGAAATGGAAAGTCATCAAATCCCAAGAACGTCTAAAAACATATCATGTTTAGTCTAAAAACATTTTGTGGGCTCATATGCAGGGAAAAACACATATTTATAAGTTATAAGCTGAACAGGATAACCAAGCTCTGTCGTGGTGTAGCTGGAAGTTCGGGAACCAGCCAATCATCTTGCGAGCTGAGCAGCCAATCGTTGCGAGGTTGCTCCTGCGACGAAGCTAATTCCAAGATGATGTTGGACCCAACTAGAACGTGGTGGATGCTGGGCATATCCAACTACATCATCGATATGAAATATGGACTCATGGAAATAGTTGATTGATATTATTCTTAGGATCTTTCTGCAAGCCAATAAACAAAGAAACACATCCTCAAGCTTGGAGATCGGGTACTCTATTCGTGCAACGTGGGCCCTTGGGCAAATCAACAATTCTCCATTTCATACTTGAAATTACAAGGTGGGTCCCCTAGACAGTTAAGTTGGTTTATAACTAGCTTAACTATACTGTTTATCGTAGATATAATTATAACTATATTTCAAGAGGGTTATTAATTTTACTTGTAACTGTGGGGGTAGGGCACCCTATGCAACGTTCATGGGTACCCCAAAAATCCTTTGATTGTCGTCATTTGAAACCTCAGAATCATATTAAACTTCCAGTGTATATTTCAGCAAACCGACAGTCTGTTTTGGCTTCTATCAGCCACATGTGTATATATATATATACATATATATAAATGAGTAAATGAGTACTATAATATAATGTATTATTCTATATCCGTTAATATCGGCGTTTATATTCCATTGTATCACTATTTTCTGGTCGGTGGTTTCAAGCCCCTTGAAAACAACAGCACATGTTCATTGGAGACCACCAACAAATCACTGTTTTGAATAGCTTAAATCGCTTAAACATTCATGTTCAACATCTACCCCATATTTCAACTTCATCCCCATATTCTTCCATATAGTGTTTTTTGGCAATATGTTTATAATGTTCTATATCATTCTAATAGTGCTTATTTTTCCATATATGTGGATACCTTTGCCCATCTTCCCATTATTTCCCCCGGTTACAACGGCCTCGTAGCCACGACTATTTTGCTGCTGCCGGTGTTGTCCGGCCTGCCAGGCCTGAGATGTTCTCCAGGATGACCGGCAAAAGAGGCTTATGCTTGAGGGGGCACATATATATATAATATAATATATATATAACAATAATAATAATAATATATTATATATATATTATATATATTATATATATTATATATATATATTATATATATATTATATATATATATATGATATATGGGTTCTGATTTTTTTTGTTTTTCAGTCTGGGGCACTTTTCCTTGCTATTTGCTACATTTTGGAGCAAAAACCTGTACTTTGCTGAATTTTGGGAGCTAAAATTTGCCATTTGCACTTTTCATCGATTTTTCCATGGCGTTTATTGATTTACCCTAAATGTTTATCCATTTTCCATAGTGTTCATTGAGTTTCCCACGGGTTCAATTCATTTTTTCCTTGGTTTCAAACATTTTTTCCATGCATAACATGCACCTGGTGAACATGTAGAATACAGGTTGAAGCACAACCGTGTTGGGTGTAAGTAGTGGCATTGGATGCTATCATAGTGTTGGTTGGTTTAGGGTTTATTTAGGGTTGGTTTAGGGTCATTTAGGATTGGTTTAGGGTTGGTTTAGGGTTTATCCAAAGTTATTTAGGGATGGATGGTTTAGGGTCTATTTAGGGTTGGTTTAAGGATTTAAGGTTGGTTTAGGGTTTATTTGGGGTTGGCTTAGACTTATTTAGGGTTGGCTTAAGGTTTATTTAGTGTTGGTTTATGGTTGGTTTTGGGTCATTTAGGCTTGGTTTAGGGGTGGTTTAGGGTTTATTTAGAGTTGGTTTAGGGTTTACTTAGGGTTGGTTTAGGCTTTATTTAGGTTTGGTTTAGGGTTGGTTTAGGGTTCTTTAGGATTGGTTTAGGATTTAGGGTTGGTTTAGGGACTATTCAATGTTGGTCCGCCAACGCAGGTGGCGCCCAAGGCAAACCTGGGCAATAACCAAACCTTTCTCTTTCTGGGGGGGCCACGCCCTAATCCCCAATTCTTAAGTTTTTCCGTCAAGGAAGGCTGCCTTTTATTTAGTTTAGTTTTGTCTATGTTTTTCGTTAAACCCGGACCTAGCTTTTCCTAAGCCGGCCCTCCTCGCCTAGCAGTCCCTTCTGACCCTTTCTAAGCGGCTTCTTCTTTGCGCCCGGCCCCCTTTCTAAACTACCCGGGCAACCCTTTCTGAGCGGGTTTTGTGACAGCCCCCCCCCCCCCAGCCAGCCCCAAAATGGCCAAATTTGAGGCCCAGAGCCTTGCCCAGATTCAGCCCCAAAATAGCAATTTAAAAGACCCAGAGCCTGTCCAGATTCAGCACCAAAGTTGCCAAATTTGAGGCCCAGAGCCCTGCCCAGATTCAGCCCAAAAGTTCAGCTCCAAAATTGCAAAATTTGCGGGCCCAGAGTTCTGCCCAGATTCAATGCCAAAAATTGTAAAATTTGAGGCCCCCAGAGGCTTGCCTAAAAAGGAAATTGCCATTTTGGGGCTGAATCTGGGCAAGGGGGCTGAATCTAAGCAAGGCTCTGGGCCTTTTAAATTGCCATTTTGGGGCTGAGTCTGGACAAGGCGCTGGGCCTCAAATTTGGCCATTTTGTGGCTGGAATCTAGGCAAGGCTCTGGGCCTCAAATTTGGGGCTGAATCTGGGCAGGGCTCTGGGCCTTAAATTTGGCCATTTGGGGGTTGAATCTAAGCAAGGCTCTTGGCCTTTTAAATGGCAATTTTGGTGCTGAACCTGGACAGGGCTCTGGGCCTCAAGTTTGGCAATTTTGGGTTAAAACAACGATTTTAGGGTTAAAGGATTTGAGGGTTAAAGGATTTTGGGTTAAGGGATTCTAGGGTTAAATGATTTTAGGGTTAAACGATTTTAGGGTTACAGGATTTTAGGGTTAAAGTAGTTTAGGGTTAAAGGATTTTGGGTTCAGGGATTCTAGGGTTAAATGATTGTAGGGTTAAACGATTTTAGGGTTACAGGATTTTAGGGTTAAAGTATTTTAGGGTTAAAGGATTCGAGGGTTAAAGGATTTTAGGGTTAAAGGATTTAGGGTTACGGGATTTTAGGGTTAGAGGATGTTAGTGTTAAAGGAATCTAGGGTTAAACGATTTTAGGGTTACAGGATCTTAGGGTTGAAGGATTTTAGGGTTACAGGATTTTAGGGTTAAAGGATTTTAGGGTTAAAGGATGCTTTAAAAAATGGCGGCTTATAGGATCTTACCGGCAGCAATAACAATGAGAAGAAGACGAAGAACCAGAAACACATCAACGACAACGACAACGACAACGACAACGACAACAACAACAACAACAACCACAACCACAACCACAACCACAACCACAACCAACAACAACAACCAACAACCAACAACCAACAAACAACAAACAACAAACAACACACACCAAACACCAAACAACCAACAACACACAACAAACAACAAACAACAAACAACAAACAACCAACAACAAACAACAAACAACAACCAACAACCAACAACCAACAACCAACAAACAACAAACAACAAACAACAAACAACAAACAACAAACAACCAACAAACAACAACAAACAACAAACAACAAACAACACACAACACACAACAAACAACAAACAACAAACAACACACAACAACCAACAACAACAACAACCAACAACCAACAACAACAACAGCAACAGCACCGAGAATAAAAAAAATCAACAACAAAGAAAACACCAAAAAGCAACTCGCCTTATAAAGAACCTGTGTTGGCGCCAAAGTGCCGCCAGGCCTAAAAAATTAGGGTTTATTCAGGGTTATTTAGGGTTGGTTTAGGGTTATTTAGTTAAGGGTTCGTTTAGGGTTTATTTAGGGTTGGCTATGTCTGGTTTAAGGGTTGGTTTAGGTAGGGTTTATTTAGTTATTTAGGGCCATTTAGGGTTATTTAGGGTTGGTTTAAGGTCCAATTAAAGTCTGTTGAGGGTTGGATTAAGGTGCATGTAGGGATACAAGGTGTGGATATTAAACAAGAAGAAACGAAAGAAAAACAGATAGATGGATGGATCGATAGATGTGATTAGATTAGATTAGAGTAGATTAGATTACATTACATTAGATTAGATTAGACAGATAGATAGGTAGATAGATAGATTAGATATATTAGATAGATTAGGTAGATTAGATAGATAGATAAGATAAGATTTGATAATATTAGATAAAAAAAGATAAGATTAGGTTAGATTAGATTAGGTTAGATTAGATAGATAGGTAAATAGATAGATATATAGATAGATAGATAGATAGATAGATAGATAAATAGATAGATAGATAGATAAATAGATAGATAGATAGATAGATAGGTAAAGCATGGCAAAGCATGGTAAAGCATGGTAAAGCCACAAAAGCCACACACACACAAAATCCACAGAAGCCACAAAAGCCACAAAGCCACGCTGGAAAACAATAAAAATCAACAAGCATAGTCCTCCTATATTATATATATACATACATACTACTGTATACAGTATATATACCATTATATACCTATAATTTTCTATGTATATATATATAATACATAATGTTATACGTTATATATCCGTACTTGATTATGATGTTATATAATGTTGGGCTTTATATAATATAGTATCATGAGTATCATGTATATAACCCATACTTTTTTGGAGGAGGGTAATATAGATAATCCCATCCCCAAATGACCATGGGAAGCCAAGTATGCTGTGACTAAACCCTAAGGAGGGTCATATAAGAAGTAGCGTAGGCCTAAAAGGGACATGTTTAGCTGCAGTAGGTGTTGGAGTTGTCGGACTTCCCAACACATTCTGTATTTCACATACCCATTCTGGCGGAGACGGAGGTGTGGCACAGGCTGCACATTTGGTGCGTGGCAAATTTTGAGAACGAAATCTCCAAGCGAATGTGCGACCACATTTGCTGCACCATAAGCGGCCAAACTTCTCCAGGCTATTGGGGTCCTTTCCCAGTTTCCTATTCCAAACCAAGGTGTGCTGAAGCTTCCGATTGTATGTGCTGTTCAGTTTGTGTTCCACTGCATCAAGTCGAGCTGTTGCATTCATTTTACCTGGAAGTTGGACCCAAGAGCTTGGTGGTAAATCTGGGTACAGGCAAGGTTGCTGCAAAATTCTTGTATTCAGGTGTTCCAGTCGGGCAGTTTGTTTGCCGCACTTCACACAATAGGCCCCGTTGCCATGGTATCGTATGCGATGGCCACGCTGTTCACGATCAGAACTCGCCCCCATACTTGCTGGGAGGGAACTGGATGATGCTGTTCGCCTCCTGCAGTTCCTGCAGCTTGGCTCGCGCCGAGAATAGGTCCTCCGGCTGGATTCGAAGAATAACCATCGACATGGCCATCGACGAATACATGGGTATGTAATCCAACTTTTCACCATGGCACTTTTATTTTGCACAAGGCATTTGATTTATAACCAAAATAAGGATGAAATAGGTCGGTGACAACGACATTTTTTAAATTGCGCTCTTTACAAAAGCCCAACGCCGGTGGTTCCGCGATCCTCAACACAAGCACTGCCGATTGGTGGTTTTAACCATCTTGAAACATATTAGTCAATGGGAAGGATTATCCCATATATTTTGGAAAATATAAAATGTTTGAAACCACCAACCAGGTATAATCCTCATATTCGTTGCGCTCAAAAATCAAAGCTGTGTAGATATCAGATCCTACACATATGATAGCTTTCTGTCCAATCCCGAAGTACACATAGGATAGGAAAAACACGTGTGTCAATGGCCGCTGATTCACCTTGTTATGCAACAAAAGTCTCCTCTAAAATCCTCCTCTTGGCCTAGCACTGCACTAAACCCCTTTCTTCACCCATTGGTCCGCCTCAGCAAATTCCGTCTCTGGCATGCTCCCGCAATTCAGATGGCCTGTTTCAATGACAGATAGTTGAGAAATCAGGGAGTATTTCGATGGGAAATCTGGTTCTTACCATCCAAATGTTTTGTTCATGTTTTCTCCTGCAAAGTTCACAATCGTGGTCAATCCTGGAAGAACACAAGTACTTCACGCCACATGATCGTATACTTGATGAATGGTACTTAATGAATTAATGAATTTGATGTTCTTAATGGTACTTAATTACTTAATGGTACTTAATGGTACTTAATGGTACTTAATGAATGGTACTTAATGGCAAAATGATGCTACTTTTGAACATGGCAACTTGTGGGATTCCATGCGTAACGGGGGTGTACCCAACTTTGTGTGTGATCAGTTTTGAGACCAACATCCAGCTGGTTGTGTTTTCCTCCGCAACTTGTAGTAGTTTAACTCAAAGGATCTCAGGCTATTCCGTGCCACTATAATATGTTTGCTCACAATGAAGACACTGTACATTGATCAGATGGTTAGATTGCTCAATGCCAACAAACAGCACCCAATTCTTGAAGTATGACACTTGTTAGCCCACATCATATTAAATATGGGTAAAACCCATAGGATCCATGTATGGTATATATGCCAACATTTGGGGTATATTGATGGTAAATGTTACCATATATAGCATACATGGATCCCATGGGAAATGGAGTACCAAAACATGGGATAATTCACTTTCTCAACTGACCATCTGCCGATATCTGCCGTCTGCGGTCCCTTGGATCTAAACACAACTTGACATCACATCTGTTTACATTCGCCATCATAGTTTTATCCTCAGTCTTGTTGGTTACATATTGATCTTTTACCCTGTGCTTAGTTAGCATAACTATGGAAACTCACCATGTTTTGGTTTTTGAATATGTGTATATAATAGGTGTATAAATCGTCTACAAATGGGCCATGTTGCATAACTAAGCTAAATTACCATAATGTAATTCTAAAAGCATATCCGTTTACTGTAATTACATCCACCACGGTTGTTCATTCTATGCCAATTATTGATAGCAAATCTCGCGTTTGTTGAGGTTGAAATCGTGTGAAATCCGTTTGAAATCCATGTGATTAGTTGCTGCATTCGTCTGCAACAGAAGGCATCCGTGACCCGTGCAACAAACATAAACTATATCAAAGTGTTGAATAGTTGAATAATATTGTTTCATCATAGTCACTGTCAAATTTATTTGATATATATATATATATCATAGTTGTACAAAACATATGTTGAATATATTACTAATAATATTAATAATCCTGTTTTTTGATATGCTGTATTGATGTAATCCTCTCTGACACTGACATTTTCACGGATCACACTTTCTCTCCACCGTTGGATTGGACCTTCTTCGCCGCATTTCATACAGCGGCAGAAACTCATGTCATCCTCATGGTCGAACCTCGGAAACGTCACGGCAGGTCAGTGTGGACCACAACAAAGCTGGGATTTCACCAAGAACAAACGTTGGGCATGTTATGAAAACAAAGAAAGCTGGGAACCAAATATATATATATATAGGAATTATATAGATGATACGAAAAAATATGGACGTTGAATGGCGTTAATCACATCAAACAATTGTGGATTCATGTGATTTCATAGGCACATGGTGTAAGAATCCCGACCCCAGTCATCTGCTGGGTGTTTAATGAAGTTGCACAGACTGCAGACTTCCCAAATGCTGAAGACATGTGAACATAAAAATACCTCATCATACCGATTGGAAAAGCCATCTGCACCTTCATGGTCCAGCGGGTCATTAGACTGACACATGACACAGACTCAACAACATATATCCACACATAGTCATCAGTATCCGATCCAAACGTAAACACATAAAAAATAGTAAGATTACATCGTATGACATGATGAAACCATAAGCAAACTGTGTTTGCCTCCAGAAGGGATACCAACTTCCATGATTGTTCATGATCTACTGGTATAATCCTCTCAGTAAATATAGTTTTTGGGGTAGTAATCAAACATGGCTTGCTGGAAAATCCGCAAGTTTGGATGATTTTGCCAACTCAAAACCTCCATTTAGTTCTGGAAATGTCCATTGCCATGTTTGATTCCCAGAGAGTTTTTATACCAACTAACCAATGAACCAGCCATATTTTCATGGTCTATAGCACACATTTATGATACGGTAAATTCGGGGTGGATCCTGCTAAAAACCAACATTCGAGCCTCGGGTCCGTGCGTTTCGTATGAATCCAACGGGCACAAGTCCGAGAAGTGGCCCTGTCGGAAACACCTGCGGGATCTAAAAATGAGCATTCCATAGCTGGAACAGATGTGGGGTCATAGAGGTGGTAAACATATAGCCATGATTAAATGATTCATGGTATATGATATCATGGTGGTATATATATATATATCAATATATATATATATAAGATATATATTATATATATTATATATATATATCAATATACCACTACTAAATGATATCGAGGTGGTGAAAAATTGATCCATGTTCAGGTCTGCGAGATTTAAACATGGAAGATTCGGAAGGATTCATGACACATCATGATGCCCATCCCCTTTTTAAAGGACACTACAGTGAACATAGCCTCTGGTAAACGTTTATATAATTTTTATATACATAACTATGGAAAATCACCATCTTTAATGGGGTAAATCAACTATAAATGGGCAATTTACCATAGTTATATTAGTTATGTTAGTTTACCAGAGGGTATGTTCACTGTAGTGTCCTTTTTATAGCTATGTTCAATTACCAGAGGGTAGCAGCGTGACCACGGCACACGTTTGTTGATCTTCAGGCCCCTGCGACTGCGACGCTGGCCTCTTACAGGAGATGTTCCTTTTTCGACACTCGCTCACCTCATGGCCTTGCTCAGAGCACACCTGGGAACGGGAGGGAGCGTCTATGTAATGGAAACTGGAAATGACGTGTATCTCATACGTGATATGTATATATATATATATATTATTAAATATTATTTAGATATATATGTATATATATATATTATCCAACCACTGAATCTTAACAGTAAGATGGATATCAAGCCATTTGGCTTACACAACCGCCACTGCACCAAGAAGGGCCAGAAAAACTTCGCGACTTTACGACAACTCTGAGGCTCCCTACAAAACAGCGCTTAAAAATGCAGTCTTGGCTTTCGTGGTCCAACCTGATAGGCTTTAGGATGTGATTGGAACCCCCAATGAATATGTTGATGCTGATTGATCTTGTCAGGCTGTTTGGTGCCTCTTGGCGCACAAACGATCTTGCAAGGATTGGGGGAAGATTGTAAAACTTGCAGTAAACCATGTTTTTCCAAACATGGGGGCGACAACAGAATGTTCAACCAATACAAACCAGGGCATTTTGTCATACTGTAACTTTCATTTCAGTCATCAGTTGACGGGAGGTCCTCTGAGATTGAAGAACAGCCGCAAAAACAGTACCCAAATTTTGTCACTGCTTCCATGGACGCAGCAGTCAAAATATTGCTACTCTAATAAGTGGTTTGACATAAGATATTTGGAGTGCGGGGGTTCACTGTCTACATGTCTCAGGGGTTTTATTTGGTTATATTATGGAACCCCTTGTGGATGCTCATCCACCAAAACATGGTATTTCAATGTATTTCATAGGTCTCTTGATCCATGCCCTGTTTTTGTTCGGGTTTTGTCTGGAAAATAGATGAACATAGGGAACCTCTCGATCCCTACCGTTGTGGGGCCTGATCGCCTAAGGTCCGCCCAGGGTCCCTGGGAAGCCATGCTTGCCACAGGCCCAGCAGCCCGTCACCACTTTGTCGGCCATGACATCCTTTTCAAATGCAAAAGCCATTGCCACTCTGGTTGGGCACAGGCTTGATATTGTATATGTAATTGTATACATACATATGGTATATGAAGTCGATTCGGGTTGTGACACAATGACCATCTTTAGGTTTTGTTTAATATGGTTGATGACCGTTTCAAGGTTTAAGCGACTCCATCCAGGGAATCAATGGCTCGATTTAAATGGCTTGAACACTGGACCATATGAGCTTGTTGGGACTTTTCCACTTATGATGATGATACAATGCAGTGAGGGTGGAAGATGAGACATATTCAGACCACCCAACAAAAAATGAGAATGAAACTTGAGATTCCGCTGTCGGATGGAGATCTCCCCGTGTCATCGAACCAAACACCACTTTTGGCATTTTTTTCATGAGTGAATTGCCAATCAGTGGATGATTGGATGGACAAAACTTGGATTTCTATCAGAGGCCCCCCAATCCATGAAATCAAACGGCCAGGGGAGATGCCCAACACACTTGTTAGTCTAGTTGGTTCGCAAATGTCCAATTCTTAGGGATGAACCGGGATGATGGGAACATACAGGATTGGTAACATATTTGACATCATCGCAGCATGTTCAACAGTTCACCATTACACAATATAACATAATATATCATAATATATCATAATATATCATAATATATCATAATATATCATAATATATCATAATATATCATAATATATCATAATAAATCATAATATATCAATAATATATTATAATATATCATCATATATTTATAATATATCATAATAAATCATAATATATCATAATATATCAATAATATATCAATAATATATTATAATATATCAGAATATATCATAATATATTATAATATATCAGAATATATCAGAATATATCATAATATATCAGAATATATCATAATATATCATAATATATCATAATATATCATAATATATCATCATAATATACATAATTACTATTCTTGATATACACACTATTCATAATACACTTTGACGGACGGAATGCTTCTCATCAACAGTGTCCCTTCCTCGGAGCGATCTTCGCCGCCGAAGTAGCGCTTGCCGCTGCCTCATCCCAAGCTGGAGCCGCGTCCCGGGCAACCGGCAACTCGCCGATATCAGCAACTCGCAACGTTAAACAATGACGAAAATCCGATGGGTTTGTTGTAACAAAACTATTCAAAAATAGTTTTAAAGCAAAAAAAAAGAAAATCCCATGGATAAACAAATCATTTTCCCATCGACCAATATTTTTTCACGGCCGTTTGGGATTTAGAATCCTCAGACACACCCAGATCTTCTCGCCACAATCGGAGTGATAGGAGAACTCTCACACCAAAGTCACAGTAGGTTTCCCATTCCGAATGACCCAAATTTCTAGCATCTCCAGATTACATGATAGTTCATCCATCAATTTTCATATCCATCATTTTTTTTGTTTATGTCACTGGAAGTCGCACAAATAACCTGACATTTGACCCGGTCTCCAGCTTGCCATGGCTCAGCCTTCAATTTTGACCCAAGCTGGGCCCATCTTCAAATCAGATTCAAGCCTTTCTTGTCTATTGATTTCAGAAGATTTCATTATATTTCCAATCATATTCCCATGAAATTCCCATGATATTCCCATTAAACCCCCGTTTGTTGATGTTTGTTGTCTCTTCTTTGCCTATACATTTCGGAATGCAGGTCCAGCTAGTCACCCGTTCGAACATGCTATCCATTGTAGGTACATGCGGAGGCTTCCTAAACTGGGAGTAGCCCTAAATCATCCATGTGAATAGATTTTCCATTGTGAACCATCCAGCTATTGCAGCTATTGGGGATCCTCAAAAATTATGGAAATTCCCATGTCACAATGTGGGTACTCGGCCTTTCTTGTGGCCTTTCTTTTTCTTGGTGACCAAGGCCTCACACGTCGCAGCAGGTGGCCCGAGTCGTGGCACTTTTTGATCATCCAACCACAGAATGGATATGTTCATATTCAATCCTACTGGGAAAATCATGAACAATCATCTACATGATGTAAATAATTGCAAATTGGCTGATTTTCTATTGCTATCTTGAATTACCCAAGAGTATCCAGTCAGATAATTCCTCCTTTTAGCTTTTGGATCCAGTCAGCTGCGCTACTATCATGCTCATGATATTTTCGGTCGTACCAGGTATCCGAGTTGCAATACATACTACATCAAAACCTAGGTCCTCCAATCACAGGTCTCTCCGTAGTACCATGTGATCATGTGATACTGAATATTACGGGGTACCCTCTGGTAAACAAACAGTTTGCTATTGAAAATGGCCATTTATAGTGAGTTTTCCCATTAAAAATTGTGATTTTCCATAGTTATGTTAGTTTACCAGAGGGTCAGGGATTCCACAAGATCGCAGCGCAGCACACACCTCCGGATGGCCCACCAAATATCTGGCCAAGCAGGGAAGGTGCTGCGGGACGGCCTCATGACATGTCAAGCACAGCGCATTCCCCTGTCAACATATGGGGGGTTCCTGAAATGATTACATAATTATCTATTCCATTGACAATTTGTTTGTCATTAATTATCCATTGACGATGTTTTTTAAATGCGTTTCAAATGGTTCTTGTTTTGATGACGTTATCTTGCGCCTCAAAGCGACGAAAAACAAGGGAACACCGCCTTGAGGCGGGTGTGGGTTTTCTACAATTGTGTACTTGGTGATTGAATCAAAAATCACCTTTTTACACTGTAATTTACAGTATTTTGTGCTTGTGATCTATGATGTTTTGACGTTTGCTGCAAGATGTCAAAATGCCAAAAAAAAACTTTTGCAATTCCGCAACATCTGCTTGAGGTTCAATGCATTCTTTTTTTCCTCAGTGCTCTTTCAGTCGGCATTCTTCGTTTTGAAGAGCTTGCCCAAAGTCTGGATGTATTGATGCTGGTGTGCAAATCTAAATTGCCATGATCTCACATAGATCATGAGCTTTTTATTGAGGCGTCCTCTGTGCAACGTCTTCGGTAGCGTCATCTTACAGTCGAAAGGAACGTTATCATCCCCCCCCCACCCCCCCTCCCGGTCAAGGTAGCAAGACGTCAGCAACAAAGTTGGGCAACGTGTCTTCGGTAGCGTCATCTTACAGTCGAAAGGAACGTTATCATCCCCCCCCCCCCCCCCACCCCCCCTCGCGGTCAAGGTAGCAAGACGTCAGCAACAAAGTTGGGCAAAGTGTCTTCCGTAGCGTCATCTTACAGTCGGCAAGAGCGTTAAACACGTATACTGCCAAAGAGCACAAACGTGGAAAAAACCACGCCCGCCTCGGGGCGTTGACCCCAAAAACAACAGGGATTCCGTGCCTGAAATTGACCTGAAATTAACACCACCACAATCAAGGACTGGAACTGGACTCTTACCCAGAAAAGAAGAACATAACACCTCGGAATTTCCAGGTACATATAAATCATGATCTATTCCATCAAATCCCAGTAACAAGCCATTAATAAGCCATTACGATCCGTTGGATGATCTTCGAGGTAATCCAATCTTTCAACTCCAATCAGCCCAGCCCAAGCATTTGGGCCTCCAGATCTGTCTCAAAGCCAGTGAGACCTCCCACGCTCCAACAAAAACTTGGGAATTACCGTGCTTTAACACTGGAAGAGGCACCCAACACATCCCAAAACATGGGAAATCTATGGAAATGTTGGATGTGTTTCAGCACCAAAAGGGCAATGTTGACAGTTTTATAATGATGTTTTTGGTGTATTTCACTAGGCTGTTTGATTAAAATCTGGAGGTGCATGTTGTAAATTATGTGTCATTCTGTGGGTCCAATGCAAAGACCTGCTGTAAGAGTGTCTTTCCGTTGACTAAGTTGCTTTATTTGCTGTAAGTAGGCTGCCTCTTGGAGCTATGGTGGAAACATAAGCCAGCTTACATAAGTGAAGGCCTGTCTTGAATCTTTCACTATTTATGTTAGTAGTAAGTAGGAAGACCATAGTTGGAATTGACTTACAGTAATTAATGTACTCAATTATACGACTAGTGCTAATAAAAAAGGCAAGTGACAATCATATGTATATGCTGGATGTTTATGTTTGTTTGTTTTGTTTTTTCCGTAATCAAATCATCTAACAGTGCTATAAAGGGCCTACGACTAGCAACAAAAACATGTGTTTCCATGAAAGTGATAGTTCTTTGTCCACTGCAAACCTTCAAATGATATATCCTGATATATCCTGTGGATATCGCTTCCCGGAAACGCGTGTAACCCTCATCTGGCATTGACAATTTCATGTCATTTGTTGAACAAACAAACATCCATTATACATATATACATACGTAATCTTTAACATGGATGTGTCTTAGTTGATAGAGAACATGATGATTAGCCAGTAGATTTGGGGTATTTTGTTTGGATAATCTTCTGTGGACTTTTCCGTTGCCAGGTTGAATTACCAGGGAATGGGGCGGTGATATACCCGCGCTCTCGAAGGTCCTGCTTCAAGGCTGTTAAACATAAATGTGAGTATATACTGTTTTTTTTTAATCATTCTCCCATCTGGCACTGCTAGGAAGATCGTATAGGAAGATACAAGAAGATCCGTCTCCGGTTCATGTTTCAAGTCCTAATAATCGCTTCTCTTGCTGAAATTTGTAACAGGTATGATCTTCGGACCATTTGAGTTTTTGAAAAAAAACCAACAGCAAGATGTTTTGATACATACTGAGATTCCAGTGTAGTGTTTGTCATCTTTGCCGATGCTGTGCGCAAGCTGGTGATTTCGGAACTCGAGGTAAAGTTGATGTTGAATATGTTATTGAAGGATGTTGAAGGTGGGTTTCTTCCAGGACTAGTATGTCAAGGTTTAACAGCTAACAACCATATACATCCATTTACTGGGTTCAGCAAGACCGCCTATATTAAGCGTTCCTATACTGATTTGACTGGGACCATAAGAGCATGCTGTATTTTGTTGAGGATTTTCTTGGATAAGTGCCAAAGCCAAAACGGGTTATACTGTGGGGGACTACGACACTTATCTCTTGAGAAGAGGTCCATGAGTCAATAGTGATTCGGAGTTCGGTCCCTCAGTGAAACAATTTTGCATACCACCTGTCTCTGCTTGGCTCAGGAGTTTCACCTAGATGCCTGGGATGCCTGTGATTCTTGACCCGTGCAACCGAGTTGATTGCTTCGAAACGAAGCTGCTTCCGGTGAAGCGCCCTGTTCTAAGCATAGCGGTGAATCGTCTCCTTTTTCTTCTGCAATAAACACACAGTGCTTTGCGGTGAAGTATGTTGAAGTACAAAATCTCATGCACTTTCCATTTCTTCTGATTCAAAACTGCATATGCTCCGATAGGTCCGATAGGTCCATTTTTGACTCAGAATTCCATGCAACTTCCACCGGCCGAGGTGTGAGTGATCTGAGTCGTGCCCTTTTCTCAATACGAAAGGTCGCTGGAGAGAGGCACCTTCATAGCCATAGGATCCATGTATGTATGCTATATATGGTAGCATTTACCATCAATATATCCCCAATGTTAGCATATATACCATACATGGATCCTATGGGATAGCAATTCCATGAACTTGTTCTTTTCTTCGGTGGTGTGTTCCAAGGCTGACTCGAGTGTGGTTCCTTCTGGCAACCAGAGCAGATCCATTTCCAGTCTAATGGCTTCTGAGTCGTGCAACTTGTAGAAAACTGAATCTTGACGGCTCATGCGCTGCACTGTGTCGATGATGTCCGAGTGTCTACACACCATGATACCACATTATGATCCCGGCCGTCAAGGAATACATCCCTGACACAAATAAGGTCGTGTACCACTATAGTAGTCTATCACCATATAATCCCGTGTGTCTTTGTCTTTGTCTATGAACATGTACTGTGATATAGATTGATATAGTGTAGTATTCATATTCATGACAATATCACTATATAATATACATCTATATCAATCTATATCACTATATTCAATTGATACACTGTGATATAGTGATATAGTGTAATATAGTGTAATGTAATTCTATGTGTGGATGTGGGTATGTGCCTAGGTGACCCACGTCGATGTACTCTCACCATGTCAAAACGGCAACAATTTCCATGATTTTGGTGGCCCTACAGTTAAAGCCTTTTACCAGTTGTAAATGGTTATAAATGGGATGTTCATTCCATATTCCATAAATGGGTTTTTATCAAAATCAATTGTTTATGCCTGGTACAAAAATATAAGTTATCGCTCTTTGGGGGGGGCCTATCGCTTTCCAGTGTTTTGTTCAAATCAACACGAAATACTGCAAAAATGCAAGGGAATTAGCTTCACGGATTCAGATCTAAACTGCCAGGGATGGATTAAGGGCCTTTCGTTGTCTTTGCGTTTGCAACCATGTTGGGGAGCTATCTAAGCACATTCCTAGACTCTTTCCTAAGCAAGGAAACCTGTTCCGATCTCATCTCCGAACTAGAAAGACCGTATTTGATATAGACCAATGGTTCCAAAAAAGAAGCGTTCGTAGCTATGAAGAAGTGCATTAGGCTCCCCAAGTCTGAATACAACGTGGTGGCCTGGTGTCGAGAACCTGTTCACTTTTTTGTTGAGCCCTTCTTCTTCTTCTTGGGATCAAATGAGTCTATCCCTCCTCCGGGGTCCCTTCTTCAACAAAAGGTTATCGCTAGGTTATCGCTAAATTGGAACACTTTGACGATCAAGAAAGGAAAGGAAAGAGGAACGTAGAACAAAAAGGACAACTGAAAAAACAGAAGGAGAAAGGAAGGAACAAGAAAAGGAAACAAAGGAAGAAGAAACGACAAATCAAACATGGAATAGATGGAATTCAGAACAAGATTCGTAATCAGAGTGGATTTGGTTCAGAATTCAGTTGCGTTTAGTTTTAACTGAAAAAAGAAGGAACAAGAAAAAAAGAAAAAGAAAAGGAAACAAAGAAAGACGCAATTCGAATGAAATCTAAACACACAAAGGGCATTCAGAATTAGATTTCAATCTATTGTTTGCTTAATTCAGAATTTGGTTGCGTTCAATTTGGTTTAATTCTACTGCTTTGGGACCTGGGAAGAAAAAAGCAATCTGCCTGCAGAAAGCAATGGCTCAATCACCTTGGACAGCAAATGAAATGGCAACTGCAAGAAACGCGGGCACTGCAGGTTGAATTTTCATCAATTTTGCCCACAGATGGTTACAGGTTATCGCTTTTTGGGAGGGGCCCTATCGCTTTACATGGTTTGGTGCATTTTCTCAACACGAATGGACCCTCCCTTACTAAAGTAATCTACGCTTATTTTGACCGTATCTTATATATATATAATGAGGTGACTTACTGACTTACAACTATAACTGCTATCTCGGGCCATAATTGTAGCTTTGAGGAACCCTTTTTTGCCCCTTGCTTATGTCGCCACGAGATCTCCATGACCCTGTCCTTGCTGAGAAATGCCCTATTGTTTCGCTACATCCTATCATTGGCGCACCTCAATAGCGGGTCTTAACATGATGTAAGATTAACATTAAGTAAGATTAACTTGTTACTCAAAAAGTACCCTGTAACACTTAAAACATCAATCAGCATAGTTTTATAACGTTTTATACACGGAAACAACAAGGAACCTACCAACCCAAGGTGTTTCAACCCAGTCTCCGTTTCCAGGTCACCATCCAGAAATGCTGCGCAGACATCAGCGTCTTCTGCCACTTTGGGGTCCTACGCAGAGCTGACAGCCACGTCGAGTGTGACGAGGGGACACGAAAAGAAATGCTGGGAACTGACATGAAATGATGGCATCTAATGGAATCTAATGGAATCTAATGGGATCTAATGGAAATGATGGAAATGATGGGATCTATATCTATATATATATATATATATGATGCTATAATCTAATAAGGATACAATCATCTAATTTCATGTCGAGGCCACCATATTTCAATGGTCCTCTTGCACCTGCATCGTTGAGCCAATCTCATGTCATATGAATGTCTCTCCCTGGGTCTCTGTCCGTAGGATAAGCCACACTTAAAGCATTTTCCCAATAATCAATAGTAATCAATAGTAATCAATAGTTATAAATGGGATTATCATTCCATAAATAGGTTTATACTGGGGTGACCAAGTGACTTATATCTGCTATTTCGGGCCATTTTATGCGAAGTCTCCGAAGTTTTCCAGGTCGGGCTCCCGCACCAAAACGCCCACATTCCGCAGCCAGATTGGTTCCTAGCAGCGAATCTTCACTGGTGAGCCCTCTGAAAAATCATGGACTGAACGTCAGTTGGGATCATAAAATTCCCAACTGAATGGAAAAAGAATCCAAATGTTCCAAACCAGCAACCAGATATATACATAAATATATATATATATATATGTATATCATTGTTGCTTGAACTTCCATGTTCTGCGCTAGAGTCTGAACGTAATTCTGAGTAGTTGAAAACCCGGTCAATACATTTGTCAAAGCATGTTCTGCTTCAGTGACATCCATTGTCACATGAACTGCGCAGGCTAAAACAAATATTTTATTTAATTATTATGATATGTATATATGGTTATATCTATATATATATATATATATATATACATACATTAATAATCATTAATACATAATTATATATAATATCCGTTACAGTATATCGTATATCCATATCCCATAAAAATCCATAAAATATATCCATTGACCATTGTGCTTGCCTGAATGTCCCATGAACATCACCCTTCACCAACCTCGTCGCTCTCAGCGTCGTCGGCCTCATCGGCCTCAGCCTCATCGTCCTGCAGGCGGATGCCCGGTGAGAATCGCTGGGAAATCCACCCGTTCAATCAGAAAATATGAAGAATTCCTAAAAATATCATCTACAAATGGCTGGAAAATCATCTGCAACTGGTGATCAGTGGGGAATTCATGTGAATTCAAGATTTAGGCTTGGTATTCATGTATATAAATTACATAACTGAGGACATCTTATATAGATCCTTGAAGCTTCACGGACCACAAACACACACACAGACCCACGAGATTCAACTTGGAACCCAAAGTATGACGTATCCAAAACCTGCCTTAATCCTCCACACTTTCGAAGGGTTCCATGATACAAGACTCAGAGGGTACCCCCTCAATAGCTGGCCCCACCATGTTTCCGGATACCTTAAAAGCTATCCCCAGCTGTAAACGCCACGCCAATGACCAGGAAGTACCGCAAACAGGTTGAAGGCAAGGGAAGCTGTATTTGGGGGATGCCCTTCTATAGCTAATAAGTGGTATTTTTCGCCATGTGGCTATCACCCCAACTGCGCGCCCCAAGATAAGCCAAAATTGGAGACAACTGTTGTGAGAAAGCACCGATTCTTTCTTGGATCAGCAATACATGATTAACAATCACTATAAACGATTAATAACCACTATATATATATATAATGGAAAACCATATAATAGTGATAATCACTATTTTATATCACTATATATAATCACAATAATCACTATTAATCATGATTAATCATTTCCAAGTCTCATCACTTGTTTAACAAATGACCTGATACCAGTTTTTCCTTGAACCATCCATCTGGATCGCTCCTGCGGGGTGTAGTCCACCTGGAAGTCAGAAAGTTCGCTCAGTGCCCAGGGGGTTTGCCAGTTATCTGAACAAATGGATTTCCACATCCACATCAATGTCATACGTATGATATCGTATGATGATGGTTGTCAATGTTGTTCTCCCACACAACAACTGAAAAACGTGTTGCTGATTTAAAGCATTGACGCTCCGAATTGGGAGAAAGCCTCAATACTGCGCCAACAATAAACAATGGTTCGAACGGTTCGAGGTAAACAGGGTAGCCCATGCCAAATCAGGAGTGTGGATTCAGTGTGTTCACACTTAAATGGTAGCATGGATAGGTGTAGGTGATGCCATCTCTCCAGTTTCTGTCCATATGTCCAAACGATATCGCGCTGAGCAACTGACGGTACTGCAAATAACCCTACTTAATAAATACTCCAGTTGCATGGCTATCCCATTCATAACACGGGAAACTAACCACATGCGACTCACATAATCAGCTGATGCTTCAAAAGCAGTCCGGTGTGTCCCTACTTTTAAACGGGGCCCTATGAATCCCAATTCACTACACAATCAGCGATCCGCGGCAAAGCAGGCACATGGGTAGTTAGAGTCCTCCAAAGAAATGGCAAAAACAAAGGCAAATTAGTCCACTTATGTGCCCAACAGAATCCCTTCCCCATAATTCAATGACCACCCAGAACTCTCTGGTTTAGTACTGGCCCTATTATGGAGGACCATACGAGGGGTTATGTGAATGGGGTAGGTAACATCTTTATTAAATCTCCAATAGAGCAATAGATTGGACATCCCCTGCAGTATGAAATCTCTGCTATTCCGGCTGAATTACACTATAATTCATTCACCAACCTGAAAACAGCTGAAACAAGGCAATGTGGAGAATCATCCACCCTGAATCCAATTCCCATCATTCCCATCATTCGTCACGACGTGAGGTCAAAAGATGGTTTTCACTGTTTTCATCCAGATGATTGCTATAAGATTCTTGCTACCCTCTGGTAAACAGACAGTTTGCTATTGAAAATGACCAATTTATAGTGGATTTTCCCATTGAAAATGGTGGATCTTTCCATAGTTATGCTAGTTTACCAGAGGATAGCTGGGTAGCTCATGGAATTTTATTCACGGATGATATCCCCGGGCCTCCTCCAGAGCTGTATGGAAGCCAAGTCCTCCGTCAGGTGAATCGAGTCACGACATTGGGATGATCTTCTGGGGATTCGATGTAGGGAAGCATCGTTGATCATCAGATCATCATGGTTTGAATAGAGAACTATCATGTTAATTCATGTTAGATCATGTTACTATGTAGGGATAACAAAAATGATTGACATGATTGAATCATCAATTCTGAAGTGAATTGTCATGGATTTGCCATGATGTAAGAAACAAATAGATGACATGGAAACATCTGGGAATTTCTGAGTGCCACCAAGCATGGAACTGACTTTTCCACACCAACATGGACATGTTCACAGTAGGGGAAGCAATTTATGGGCCGATTGGATTGTGAATTTTGTAGGTCCTTGGGAGAATGGTTAGACCACAAATATGCATGGATCAACAACCGGGTACAGCTGGTTGAAAACCAGGAACACAGTGATGCTGTACAGCTGGATGTTCATGCCATCAACATCCGTCACAGAAATGGCTGTTTTTGGTGTTATAAAAGCGATCCCAGGGTCCCTGGCAACACCGAATGCCCGGCTCCGCATCGCTGATTTTCGTGGTTGCACTGCCAACCGCAGTGTGCTGTGTCCGGTCACAATCGATAGCAGCAGCGCTGTTGGTGTACGCAATGGCCCAATGAAAAAAAAAACACGTTTCACGCCTCAATGATATAATGACATATATACAGTATATATATATATATTATTATTATTATTATTATTATTGTTATTATTATTATATCAGCTTTAGAGCAGCTGTTTTGCCGCAAAAGCTCGATCAATTGTATCCATCATTCCCTTAGCAACAGGTTTGGGCATTTTCTCCCAAGTGGCCGAGGAATGTCCCAGTCAGTCGTTCGGACTTTAGGCTGTCAAAAGTCATCACAGGATAGACTGCGCTTGAAACACCAACCACTGCCTGAGCTGGCTTGGCATTTTACTCTATACGACAGCTTGGTCAGCCGGGGTCTCGCAGACGAGTGAGTGCCTGTTCTTGATGGCCGTGACACAAAGATACAAAGAAATACACAAATAATCTGATCATATCTGATCTATATTGGCGGTCCAAAGAGAAGAAATACATAGTCAAAGTGCATGAGCTTTTGCCCCAGCTACCAATCCTACCAGAACTGAAGATGCCAAGATGTAGTGGATTGGGATGCTATTTCAGACACCAAAATTCCATAACAGATTATTGCAGTAACTCCAAGTAATCATGGGAAATACAAGCTCTCTTGAGACCACCAATTGGATTGCAAACCACTTCATGCATGTATATGTATGGCAATATGTATATATATACAGTTTATATGTGGGGATGGGTCAAAACCTTATACCCTGGTGAACATACAAATAGCTGGTAAATGGATGTTAATCCCCCTGAAGTTGCTATTTATAGGTATTGATCCATAGCCATATCTGATAGATTAATTGTGTGCAGCTGGACTTGAATTCAATTAAAAAGTCAAACGTAAATATGTTTTTTCCCAAGCAGTGAGTCCCTGCGCAAAAGATGGCAAAAAAACATCACTGTACAAAGCCCAGAATAACAAGACATGAGTGCCAATTGCAGATTTAAAGAATATTTGTTTTACACGTCGAAGGGTGTGTGTACTTGAAAACACACAAGCACGTGCTGATTCACATTCTAGCTATGCAAGCTGGTTCTGTGATGCTTTGTGAACTTTTGATATTTTTCGACCCCTAAATAGCTGATCGCTCCCTGCAAATTGGTCTTTGGTATGTTTGGGATTTGAGACTGTTCGGTGAGACTTCCCTTTGGCATGTGGCTGACCCCGCCCTTCTTGAGGTACACGTGGCTGACACACGATGGACAAGAAGACCCACCGATTGCAAACAGCAACGAATGACCACAGGTGCACTTCTGATGATAGATCTGTGGCAGTTGGTGTCTAAAACTTAGAACCTCAATGGGTTTACTTCCAATAGATGAATGAAACAAATACCCTAAGGCCTTTTCGACCCATAGCCGGTAATGAATGTTTTTCGGCACTGCGGTCGCGCGAGCGCAACGTGGCAAAATGGTGGTGAAAACTCTGAAATTTGCATTGACATTTCATCTGATCTCGGATCAGTCCCGGACGTGATTGCCCTAACGGTTGCTGTTCATCGCCCAAGCTCCAATGCACACTTAGTCCAAGTAAATGCATATAAATATATAAGTGCAAATGTATTACCGCATGACTCAGAACACTAGAATCATCCAACAGCTTTGATGTCAGAAGACTCTCCACCTGTCTGGGCCCGGTAAAGGAGATTTCAACTTCTTGACGAAATCAACCGCCAACATTGCTGCATGTCAATGTTATTGAAAACCTGCAAATCAACATTCAAATATATGATTGAGGCATCAAATGAGTACGTAGTGGGTTAGAACCCAGTCTCACATGCATAGATATTCTCATATATTTATATACTATTACAACCCATCAAATCATCAACCAACAAGTTGCTCGGGTGCTTTTGTTCATGGGGACGGGCAAACGGCAGTCAGCAGCCGTGCGATTTGAACGGCAGGCAGCATCCGTCGAAGGGAGAGAATGGACTTTGCCTCTGAAGCCATCAACGCAACGATGTTGGGTGATCTGGAGTGAAATCCACCAGAAAAAAAAACAACAACACTTTTGGGATGTCCCAGTCAGCTGCCAAGTAGAAGATGGTGCCCCCAATTTATGTTGGTTTAGTACTCACCGGCCACCAAGTAGCAAATAGAAGGGCCTTAAAGCTAAACAACATGTACTGCATAGGATTGTATTATGTAAGAGTACGTAAAATTGAATGGCATACTATATAGGTAGAACAAATAAATAGTGCCCAACTGACAACAGTCTCTGACTACCATAGGACATTGATCTATATATGCAGTAACCGTTAAAAAAAACTGAAACCCTGATTTATATTGAATTATATATCCATGCATTTATATATCGCTATTTTAGTGGGATTTTACTGTTCTATAGTTTTGATTCTTTTGGGAGGTTCCTATAACAAACAAGATTCATCGAGTTTCAGGATATCGCAGGGCTTCGATGGCATTTCCTACTGCAGCAGTCCCTTCAAGGTGTTTGCCAGGAACAATAATTCTCAGAAAATCTACCACTTTCTCGCACAAACAGGTAGGAAAATATAGGATCATGCCTATAATTATCAATTAGCTAGCGTTTAGCAGCGACTGCTCATATGGCGTTGGAAACATCACCAAGCAACGATCAACACAACAAGACCGTGAGACGGTCCATTCTCCACCCGCTGGTGCGCTCCCTTTTGAGAAATGGTCGTGCGCTTAGCAGCTGCAGGTGACATCAGGCATGTCGAACCATTCCTGGCAGAACATGACAGGCATGATCTTCACCCTATGACTTGGTCGATCTGGTAACCCTCTAGAGTAAACAGCCACATAGCTATTGAACATGCTGATTTCGTTCGTGGATTTACCCATTACGTGGTGGATGTTTCCATAGTTCTGTAAACGTTTACCCAGAAAAAATGGTGATTTACCCAATAAACATGGTGATTTACCCATTGAAAATGGTGATTTTCCCATTGAAAATACTGGATTGGTTCGTCGTAGGTCAAATCGAGGCTTTACCATGGGATTCCACGCATCCACTCATCCAGTGGGACGATCCAAGGATTCCAAGGCAGAACATGTTGGCCCCACATGGTAGATATTTCAGAAGTTATATAGTTATATGAGCTAATTAAATAACTATATATATATATAACTATATAACTATATTATATAGTTATTCAATTAGCATATGATTAACTTCTGAAATATCTATATTAGTGGGATTATAAAACTATAGTAACTATGAACTATATTGGATAACCAACATATATTAACATTCACTAACCTCCCAGGGTCCTATGGGGGCTATCTCCAACGACTTCACGCAGCACAAAGCAGCGCAGCTGGCAGCGCAGCTCGCCTCATCGGAGGTCTCACCCGTGGGAATTCTCTGCAGCACCTCACGAGTTGAGCCAGAGAATTCCCCTAACTTGATACGCGTCGATATGTAATATATATATATATACATATATATATATATATATACATATATATATATATATGTTTATGTATATATATATATATATCGTATTGAATATATATATATATGTACAAATTGCAATATATATATATATATATATATACACGTTTAACATCGTTTAACATCGTTTAACTGTGTTTATGTTTATAATCGTATGAAGTAGAACAGCCACTAAACATCTTTTTATGCCATGCGAGAATGGTTTATGGTTTAGTTTAGCAAGGTACCCCCAAATCCACTGGTTCAGCATCATTTTTCCGACGTTGCCATTTCGAGGGCCCCGATTCTCTTTTTTGTGCCATATTCTCATATGTGCCATGGTAAAAAAAGGTGGAATTGTATATATACCCATCTTCGGGGGTCATCAATTCATTAAGGAAGGTCGGAAGGTTACCAGTTTCCCATTCTTTTCCACATGAATTCCCTCAACCATAGCTGCCATAGCTGATGGAATGATCCCTGAGCACCTGAAGCTTCTTGAAAAGGTACACAGAGGTGCTCTCAGGATTGATGGCATGGTAAAACTCACCATCCACCTGCCACGCCCAGTGCTGAGAAACCAAGGCTGCAGGCTGGGTAAAGCCCCCGGGAAAATTGAGACATTGAAGCATTTGGTATCGTCTCACGTATGGGGATGGAAATTCTATAGAACAAAAGACATGTTGATTCTTCTCTCAGTAGAACAAATATGAACAAATGACGCATAAACCAAGCAGCAGGGGTGTTGGAAAACATTTGAACAATTGCACCTATGTCAGGGTATTCCATGTCATTTCGAACTGCGAAAACTAGGCACAACAGTAGATCTCAGCAAACTGATATGACTGATAATATGATCAACAGACACCTTCATTCAGTTCAGTTGGTTCAATTGGCAAACAAATTCTGCCTTGGCTTTGCATTGTTTGCTTGCTTTCATTTGATGCGATATGTGTTTACAAAGTCATGCTATTGAGGACATAAGGTGAAAAGTATCCTTGGATTTCACAGATATACCACAGCAATGTATGTGTATATGTATATATATATATATATACGTATCGTATACACATACTTATGTGTTATTGTGAACATAGGGTAGCTATGAATCTGCTGGTTTGTCATCAGTTTCCCTATTTGAATGGCTATACGGGGTATACCGTATACACTATTTTCAAACACAACCGTATTCACATAAATACATCTGTGACATCTGTGTTTCTCCGATTTATACGAGTTTAAATATGTTCATAGGTGTGCAATGGTGCGCATATATATATAAACATACCTAAAACTGCCTGTATCCATTAATAATCCGTTTATTGATATACCATTAATTGATATCCCATTACCTATATCCAATGACACTACATTCCCACTAATTTAATCATAATCATATATGTATATTCCTCTAAACCCACAACACATAGTCTTAGTATGTCTTAGTTATATATCCCATTATATCCCCATGATATTTTGGGATAAGATTCTGGTTGGTGGTCGAGCCACCCCTCTGAAAAATATGAGTTCGTCAGTTGGGACTATTAATGGAAAGTCATAAAATTCATGTTCCAAACCACCAACCAGGATTGGTACTGGGTCATACGAATCGGTTTTCCTCCTGCAACCAGTACCTTGGTGATTTTTCTAGATGGCTAGCCTCTAAATCCTCGATGGAAAATACAGGATGGGGCCCCCAGTCGATAGCGTTCAGGCGCCTTATAAGTGTCTGAATTCTATGGTTTATGGTAGATATATTGCAGATATAAGATGATATAACAAACTAGTTCATGGGGTTTATAAACCAACAAACATAACTGGGGGGGGGCACCATCCTGTAGGATTTTCCATGAAATAAACCAGCTATTGGGATACCCTGGCTCGCACCTCAAAGAAGGCGTGCACCTCGGCACCATCTTCTCCGTGGAAGTACCTTGACTCTCAGTGGCTCGGGACCAATAAACATGGCTACAAGTGGTATTAGTGGACTTAGGTAAATATGTTTATGTTTTTTTCCCTTGTACCATGTAGAGAGGTTGCAGTCAGGATGGCATATGACAACTGTTGTCACTTCCGGTAAAAATATGTACCCCTAACCATGAACTTTATTGGATCTTATTGGTGAGTAACTTAAATGCCATAGCAGCTATTGAACTCCTCACCATGTCCCAGGGCACTCCAGGAAGTAGGGACCGCCCGAACAAACTTTTCGAGCCTGGCCGATGGCGCGACCGCCACCCCCTCGTGAAGCCAGGCCGGTGGCAGAGGGTTTGCTGAGCAAACGTCGCGTGATTGACATGCAAAGAAAAACACTGTTGGAAATCTTAAGAATGTCTTCAAAACTGTTGGAAGGCATGTTATTCTTGAGTGCATGGGCTAGTCGCGGCTAGTCGGAACACCGAAGCTTCAAGAATTTGGAAAACCATGGCACTAAACAAATTGGTCTTACTTCACCAAGGTGGCAGAGATGGGTCGACAAATGTTGCTCACATCGTAGTCAACTATCCGTCCTGGGGTACCCACAAAGCAACTTTGAGTCGGCCATATGATGACCACAACATTTGAAAACGAGATGTACAAATTATGTCCTAACCAAAACCCATCATTGAAAGACACAGCAATGTGGATAAATTGTAATCCAAATGCAGTTGGCAGTAAAACGGCAATACAAGCAATCATACATGTTCCACCCAGCGTTCCCTTAAATCATCAAACATAATGTCTTCTGTCTACATCGAAACCATCCCTATAAAGTCGGGTGCCACACATGTCCATCAAACGACAAATGCATCTTGTTGTTGAGCTCATGAACCCCACGTCCCTTAAGTTTTTTGCCAGCATCGACAGCATCCATGTCATCATGGATGCAACTTTGTGGGTCTGGAGGGCCAATACAAATAAACGCTAAAAATAGCCTAAATGAAGGCAATCATCTTGTAGCAACCTCCAAAAAGATCCCAAAGGTTCAATTCATCTCCGTTTTAGTAGGTTGTTTTTTCCATTTTTACTTTTCTATCCTGTTGGGAGGTAACATGGGTTGACTAGTAACTATATGGCATTTCCAATGTTGCTTCTTGACCTTCCACACCCTCGCCTGATGGACCAGTTTGTCCATGGCGATGTTCGCAATCAAAGGCCTCTTTTCAAGGCGCTGCAACTTGAATCAAACGTGGCTAGCTGGAAAACTCCCAAACGAAATGGATATTAAAATGAGAAAACCATCGAACCAAATAGATCTTTTTTATCATGGATTTAAAAAAAATCCACCATCCCCATTATATCATATTATATTCCATGAAATATGACCATTATGGCTGATAGCCTCAGGGAGTCACCCTACACCAGACACCATAGTGAAACTCTGGAGTTGTAGAGTTCCGTGGGAAGACGGTGATACCTATAGAAACAGCAGTTTCATGGAAAAATTACCCTCTGGTAAACTAACATAACTATGGAAAATCACCATGTTCAATGGGAAAATCCACTGTAAATCACCATTTTCAATAGCTACGTTAAATTACCAGAGGGTATGTTTTAAACGATTAGATGTGGGTACTTAATTTTCAGACCAACCCCAAGATCTGCCATCATTCTGGATAAAGTATAGTAAGCAAACCTGAAAAATGTTCGGCCGCAAAATGAGATAAGTCCCCCAATTGTGGATGGATACATTGACACATCCCCGATTCTTGGTAAACTTGGGGATGGTTTATGGGTCTGGGTTTGCCATTTTTCCCACACAATATCACTAACTCCATGGTTAAGTATCATTCCTCTCCACATACCATTATATATATATATATGTATATATTTATGGATCTATACATATGTAAATAAATCTACATATATATATATTATATATATATGTACACACATGTATATATATATATATTAATTATCAGTACTAAATCCCTATGACATCACCATCTTCTCATCTTCACAACGAGTCCAAGTTCGTTCAGCTGAGCTCCAGGCAACGTGACAACTTCCAGCTTTCCATCGCCAGGGTCCTGTGATCGGAACGCGCGTGGGATCACCCAAAAAACATATGGGGGCTTCAATGGGGATACCCTAAAATGGATGGTTTACAATGGAAAATCCTATCAACATGGATGTTTTTTTGGTGGAAAAAGATCTGTTTACAAATGGATGATTTAGAGGTACCACCATTTTAGGACACCTCCATATGGAAATTGCCTGCAGAAAGGGACACAAAGCATGTAGAAAGTATGTAGTATGTAGTAACTGAGTAGAGTATAGCTGAGTAGAGTAGTTGGTAGTTTGTTTCTTGCTTTGCTTATCATTGATCATAAATGGTGGTGTCACGAATACCCTGAGTGCAAATAGGGATTTCATCAACCAAATTTACTACAGAATGCTAGGCAACTGGTGGTTAGATAGTGGATCAAATCTTCTTTACAAGTCATGTGCAGAGGGGGATATTCCCTTTAAGAGACTGTTGAACATGGCGATGGAAAATACAAACGAATTGTAAAGACACACCATTTGTCGATTATTTATTCATCTCAAGGCTGATCGTTGGTTAGACATGCTGAGTAGTTGGTTGATCCTGCACGGTGAGAAGGTTTTACAGACGATCATATTTTTGCATAATGTTCAAAAAATATGTAACTATTACTAATTTACTAATTATTACTATAATATTTAATATATTATAATATAGTTAGTATGTTGATCCACATCTAATATTGTTATGGACAAAAAAACATGACTATCTCGACTCGCAGAATTCATAACTAGGAAAACCATCCAAAGAAATTGACAAGTGAAATGAACTGTCGTGTATGCCATGGTTATCCATCCCATGCCATTGGGGTATGGTCATACATTCATATACATTCCATGCGATGGGAATGATTGCAGTGGGTACGTAAATTCCTATGATCATGGAATAATTTAATGGGTAAATTATAATATTTCACTACCCTGAATTAAGGCCTTTCACCTTCATTGAGAGCCCTCACCCTGCCCAGAGGCCCAGATGAGAACTCCGCGGACGTGGTTCTTGCCCTTATGTTAAGGGCGTGGTCTTTGGTGAAACCAATTCATTCTCTGCTTTTGCGGACCATCAAGAGAGCCTTACGTGCCCTTTTGTCTCGTTCTTTCCAAGGGACATCCTTTTGATCTTTATCCACCTGATGCTCATTGAAAGGAGGAAAAGAGAAATGCGGCATTCCTTCCAGTCTCCTGTTTGTCGTAGGCAGAAACTGCTTAAGGATTTCATTCACTTCTTTTTGTTTGTCAAAGCAAGGTCTTCTCCTCAAACCCGTAGTAAAGTCAGAATGACCCTGATAATAAAGTGACTTGGTTTTGCCCATATCCACATGCTGCGGTAGCATCTGTTGTGGGATAAAAGACACGCAATGTTGCACGATCGCGTACGCATTTCTACTTTGTTCTGACATAGTCGTCCCCGCAAGTTGAATTTCTATCTCCGTCTTCGGTTGAATGACGTATTGCACCTCGCCTTTGAGTCTTTTCAGTGGCAGAACTTGTCCATGATGAAGCATGATGGCAATCGCTATTTCAGTCCAGGATATTCCCAGATCATCCTTGTTGATGTTTTCATTTTTCGGCCATGTGCATGTTCTTAGCCAGCTCATAACAGACTGCATGATACCAACACCCCAAGCATTATGATTAATCCAAGTAGTATCCCATTGTTCAGAAGGTTGCCACGGATCCGCAATAGTCCATAAACGCAAGGTCTCCTGTAGCTGCACCTGTTGGGAGAAATTATCTTCAATTATAGCCGTACCTACCACCTGGTTATCACATGCTCGAGATCGAGCCTCTTGCAGTTCCAGAAGCATCTGATATGTTTGTGAGAGGAGCTCAATTTCACGAACATGTTCGCAATGTCGTATCTCCAGCTGCTGCACTACTTCAGGAAAAAGGAGTTTACAAGCCCGGTTGGCTTGTTCATCAGCAAATGCATTTCCAATGGCTTTATATCTATCCAAAGAGTCTTGAATATTCAGTAGGTCTTGGTGCGCCTTAATCTTGACAATCTTCTTCTCCTCAGTGATGGAGTTAAATAGTCGTATGAGAAGGTCATAATCATCATGTTGGAAAATCCTCTGTTTCATGGTAGGGTCCCGGCACATATCCACCATTGTGAGCACAAATGCGCAGTCTGTAAAAACTGTAAACGCCGAAAAGTTTTCACATAAAATGACTACCGCAAGAAGTTCAGCTCTGTGAATGGCTTGGACCCCAGGGATGTGTCCCCATGCAATACGCTGAAAAGTACTAGGCCATGAAAGCGTGGAAACATATTGGTTAGCATGATATCTTCTTTCCATGTCGTTTTCTGCTGTGTCCACAATGATACTAAGCGCTGCATACCTGGTGAGAGGATATCTTGCATGTTGACAACTGCCGTCTGTGTAAAAAAACAGGTTATCCGCTGTTCGTCCTCTCTGCAAGATTTGTTTGATATCTTCACGAATAGAAATTTCAGGCATCGCATCATTCAAAGAGTCATAGAAGTCCTGCATGGGATGTCTCGCAACAACTGCAAGTTCACACCAGTCGTTCCCTTCATCTTCCAGATAAGCCGTGACTGCAGGGAATTTTTCTCTGATTTCATTGAATGCCTGGCATCTAAGGACTCTGTGTTGTCTACTGTCTTCAGTTGCTCCGCAAAATTCACATGTAGTGCAAGTGGTTGGATCCCATTGTGATTGTTGATGTTTGGTCTGGAAAGCTCCCGCAATTTCTCTGAGAATCATAAGCTGCTGTTTTTCCTTGAATTGTTTCAAAACCAGACAAACACTAAGTTTATCGATTGGCGGGAAATAGAATAGCTTATGTCGTTCAGTGAAAAACATCAGCAAGTGTTCTTGCCACGCTTGCATAACGTGGCGCTTCAAGACTGAAAAAGGTGATTGCATAATGTTACCAGATTTGTATTGGTTAAGTTGAATATCCCCATTATTTGAGCAAGTCCATCCTATTATCAGCAAATATTCTCGTAGTGCTGATGCAGGTCCTTTGACATCTCTGCTGTTTTTGGTTGGTGTCGCCAACACCTGGAGGAATCTTTTTCTGTCTTCATCATCTGCTCTAAACAAATAAAGCCTTGCCTGCTTGATCGCCTGTAAAATTACAAAGAGCTGTGGATCCAACTCATTTGAATCAGCGCAATGGAGGAAAATTGCTGGATTCATGCTTTTTGCCGTCTCTCCCACCAAGGCTTGTGCTATTGCCGTCCTCAAAGAGTCAAAGTGGGATTGTCCGATGTAAACAATTTCTGCTCCATAAAACGCTGCAGGC